AACGAGTTAGGAGGGAGGGGGGGAAGCATGCAGAGCCAATCGTTGTGTGCCCAGGCAGCTGGCAGATAGGTAATATGAATCATGATAGCATCGACCAGGCCCATGATCTCGAAGGTCTAGCCCCTGGGAATACAGGAGAAAGTATCCGAAGGGTGGAGGGTGACTTTCCACTCTTTCACTCAAGGATGACCCCGTCTTTGCTGGTGGAGGGGGAGACAGCTTCAAGGTTGCTTGCCCCAACCACGCGTCGCAGAAACGAGCTGGACGGAGTCGGGGCCTCAACTTTTCATTTCGAATCGCAACGTCGGTTGGTGGCATTGGTTGTGGAGGTTGTCATGACCTGGTTGACTTGCGTCAACTCGAATCCTGCAGGATACAATGGACCATCTAGAACTCGGACACGATGAACCAAGACTGGTAGGGTATCAGACAGGTTTGAGCATTTGAAAGGGGCAAGCAAACCTCAGACAGCTTGATCCAGGCGACCGTGAAGTCAGAAATGTCCGGTAAATTCGCCGGATGGGGTCCGGCCGTGACATCATCCATGTCAAGCTGTCACCTCCCGGCCAAGCCCTAATTATAGAAGAACGCCTCTCACGTGTTTGTTCAGTATTCCATGCTCAGTATTCATTGTTCATCCTGTCTGTGAACTGACCTCGTCTCTTGCATTTGTCCGTCCGACTCCCGACGCTCACTGTCGATCCCAAGATCACCAGATCTCTGCGTTGGCAGTTCGATCACACTGTGACTGCCTCTTGTCCCTGCTTCTTGCTTTGGAATTCAGGACAGGACCGTTGACAAGTCATCAACCTTTATGATCATTCATTATTATTCCCCTTTGACGATATTTCCGCCAATCTCTAAAGCCAGCTTCAAGGTACAGTTGGGAACAGAACGGACCTTTTCCTCCAACCGTCCGGACGCGTGATTCCTACTCGGAGGGGGCTTGAGAATAAGGGAGGCTTGCAGTAGCGCACCAGCCCGACGGTCTGGATAGGATGGATGAACAAGACACTTGACGTTATCAGTTGCTCTGAGGCGTCGATTCTCGACAGATCGATTTTACTTCTCGTCTCTTCTGCTATACTTTGCTGTGATGAATCTTCCACACCACACCACACCATACCATACCACACCATCGCATCATGAGCCTCTACCCTTACCCTCCCCCCTACCTGAAAGTGAAACAAGAAAGAAATAAAAATGAAAACTACAAAAGAAATTCTAAAACGTCAATTCGCATCAATGTGGCTTGCAGGGCAGTTACTTCGTATTCAAGGCCTGAACCAGGTAGGTCTTTGTCGATCGGCGCCTTGACGCATGTCTTGCTTTCTTTTGTGCTCCCTGGTGGTGTGATACTTCGATGAACTCTACTAAGAACCTAGTCAACTCCAAAACCTTCATGTTGCAGGGTTGCCTTCTTTTTTCTTAATCTTCCCGTCCCTCCTCTTCCTCCCTTCTAGCTTCTGGTTTGTCGCTCGCCTTCCCTGCTTGTCTTTCCTTCTTTCATTTATTCTTGCCCCCTGAATCTGACAGAAATCTCTTCCTGGTCACACGCACCAAACCTCCACCCTCCTTTCCACTTCATGGCGTTCTTATTTCGACATGACATGGGGCTATCTTCCGTCGATGAGTTGTCTAGATTTTCAACGCTCAGCCTCAGATAAGAAAAAAAGAAATCTGAGACATGACAAAGTACCCTCTTTGCTTGCCGAGCTGTTATCCACTGTTCCTCAAACGCCCCGTCGAGATGATCGTGTCAAGTGCCGCAGTAGTAAGTACCTATAGGATGGACTTCTCACGTGTAAGGTCGCAGGTACTTTGTAAGATCATCTCATTGTTGGAATAGAATAGGATCAGCACCACCAGATGATGTGGTTTTGTTACCTTGCTTGCTGAGGTGTTGTAATGTACATACTTAATCATACCTAGATCGGTGAATGATGGTTTGGTGCCTAGATACGCTGGTAGGTCCATTTCCTCGTTTGTAGAGCCTGTTTGATTGGAAGGGTGAACACATACGGGCTTCAAAAACAATGAGTTAGCGTCAAGTAAACACGCCTATTAATGATTAAATCGAGAGACAAGATGGTTTGTTATTCGTCAAGGATTCATACTTATTGTTTATCTGTCCGTTAAGATTTACTCTTATGATGTCCTACTACCTCTTGAAGTAGATCAAAGCTGTGTACCCAGAGACTCGAATGCAAGCATAAACATTTTCCCTAAAATCTCTGAAACGCTTTCAAGAGACCTACTGGTTTATGATCAATATCGAGACAAAGTACAGAATGTGCAAGATATGAATCTGTCACTCTGCCGGGGATATTCCTAGGAGTCAACTCTTGTTATAAATTTTCGAGTACTGTTGGTAGGCGTACAAGCTTAGGAGTTTGTCGCATTGCATGTGCAACGGAGGGGGCATTTGGGCAAAGTAAATCTTTCCTACCAAGACGATGGAGTGCATAGAATTCTGTGCCAACGTAACGCTCATACAGATGTGATCTCGATTAATTGTTCCTAACGTATTATGTTATACATGAAATGAAGAAAACTCCACACAGCATGAACTGCATCGACACATGATCCCCACGTCCTATAGACTAAGGGAATCGCCGCTCCCATCCGATCTTGACACCCTTCACAGGTCCAGAAAAGAGAGACGAGTAGTCAGTCTCTGGAACCCCTTTCCGACCATCCACATTGAAAAACTTGATGTTGCGCACGAGCGTCGCCACAATGACCGCGAGGTTGAGGTACGCGAACTTCTCCCCGATGCAGCGGTGACGGCCGGCGCCGAAAGGGAGATACGGGCTCGCCGTCCCCTTGGAGACCTTGCCGTAACCGTAGTCGACTATCTCTCCGCCGTCTTCTTCCTGGTCCTGGTGGTTGTCCCAGCGGTGCGGATCCCATTTGTTTGCGTTGGGGAAGTGCTCGTCGCTCATGGCTGTCATGATAGGAGATGCAAGAAGCACGTGGTCGGTGGGGATGACATATGAAGTTCCAGGGACAGGGAGGGGGTTCTTGACCTGTCGCATAATGGAGTGAATGGAAGAGTTCATGCGTAGGGTTTCTCGAATGACGTTTTGATGGAGTGGCAGTTGATCCAAATGCTTGAACTCGAGAGGAGGCAGGTTGGCCGAGCCGTGACCGATGTTGGTGACTTGCTCCTGATATAGTTCCTCAAGGACGTCGGGTTCGGAAGCCAATCGCAGCATAATCCAAGAGCTAATGGACGACGACGAGTGTTGGCCGGCCATAAGCAAGGTGATCATCATGTGGGCAATTTCCTTGTCTGGAACCGGGGTTCCGTCTTTGTAAGTGCACTGCATGAGATTTGCGATCATGTCTGAGCTCTCCTGGCCAGGGCTCTTGCGTCGGTTGTTGATAATATCCGTGTAGATCTCACGCATACGGGCATGCGCAGCATCGCGCTTCCGATTTTGTGGCAATGGGGCCCAAGGGAGCATAAAGTTGATGGGGGTAAAGCCTTTATCGAGATCATGATACAGCTCAGCAAACTCGGCCGTGAGCTTCTGGCGCACTTCCGGGCCTTGTAGTGCACTGCCCGCGGTGAAGATAGTAATCTCCGCCATAGCTGCCGAGATATCGACAACCCCAGAAGGCCCTTTGAACTTTGGTGACGTCTTGAGGAAATCCAAAACCTCCTTCTCGATCAGGTAGACGTGCGACTCCAGCGCCTTCTGCGTAAGGCCGAATTTCATGAACTTCTTTTGTTCCATAAGCTTAGAGTTGGGGCAGTCGTAGACGACATCGGACCCGAAAACAGGCGTGGTAAGAGGACTATACACCTCCTCGGCGTTCACATCTTTCAGCTTGCCATTGAGGATGAAGTCGTTACCCTGGACGCCCAAATACACGGTTGTCTTCTTCCCTAGCAGCACAAAGGTAAAAATATCGCCATACTGTTCGAGGTTGCTCATTAGCACATCATTCATTGGGCTATGTTTCATCTCTTACCTTTTGCTGACAAGACAGGAAGAAAGAGTACGGTTGCATTCCATAGCTAATGGTGTTCCCAAGAAATGGCAACCAGTGAAAAACAACAGGTGGCTTGGACTTGTCATGAAGCAACAGCTGGCGTGCGAGATTCCACACAATCAAGGCCAACGCGCTCACGGCGGCATAAGCAGAAGCCTGAGCAAGAGACAACATCGTGGCGAACACCTCCAGCTTACGGTATTAGGGAAGGATATGGATTTGACCGGTGGCGAATTTATAAAGGAGCCTCTAGAGCTTCGTCCCTGCCGGAGAGCTGTAGGCATCTTCATTTCTCTCTAGTCTTTCCATACTTGAGCACTGCCCCTTTGGACAATCGGAGCTTCTCCAATTTCGCTGACACCACCTAGAGGAAGGGGGAAGCTTGGCACTAGCGGCGAGTTACGATCCGAGTCGGACCACCCTGGATGTCCGATCAGACAGAAGAGCTACTGAGGATATGGTGCTGGATATATAACCAGGGGCCGAATCCATGCCTCTCGATCCGTAGTGTTGCCCCTAGCGAGATGATCAGTCAAGGTACGATCAGTCGTATTCGAGGAATTACTAATCGCACCTGGTCATTGGCAGTCCTAGGCAGTCGGGTCTCATTGGCTGTTGAAATGTAAAGATTGATATGCCTTGGTTCAGAGGATGAGTCATTCCTTGACTCTTCCCAGCCAAATGAGACAGGTTGGCATAGAAGGATCGCAAAGAACTGGGGCTGAGGAGTCATCGTGACTCCAAATGAATCATTTCGCTTTGTTTTGCCTCCACCAAATGACGCCATGCCTCTTTTGGACTAGCACCATCCAGGTAGCTGAGTCAGCAGATCAACGTCTGTAGTTTAAGTTAATCAAATCAAACACTGTCCATCTATATACTTCTGCCCTGTGAATAGCCTCGTTTGCTGCTTCAACTACTGCCTTTGCTTCCTCTCTGTACCATTGAGTATCTCTAGTTACATGACCCCGCTCCTCTCTTCTATCACCTCAGGCAGCATGAGCAGCACCAACAGCCCCGCGGGTCAGAGACCCCTCTCCAAAGCTGAAAATGCAAATCCACGAGAGTTCCAAATAAATCAGCTCAGGCGACGATTTCATCCAACTGAGACTTCAGATGACTCTGGATCGACTTTCACATTTGGTCTGGTGCCGTCGGATCCCGACTTTCCATTTGACCTGGACAAACTCCAATGTGCGCTGCATGTTCCAACGTCATACCCGTCTGGCAGAAGACCCACTTTGAAGGTCGCCAATCCTGAAATGGAAAAGGCCTTTCAAGATAATGTCTCGCGAGGGTTTGATGATATTGTGGATAGCACGCTGCGAACTGGTGGTCGCGGCACTTTGTTGACATGGATGAACTCCCTCGATCGGCACCTGGAGCGCCTACTCACGACTACGGAAAGAGGCCCTACGCTGAAGTTTGTCACGAATGTCAACAACCCCAAACCGAATGAAACCCCGGCCATTCGAGAGATAGTGGGGAGATTACAGTCCTTGCCTGTTCCTCTTGAGGGTGACCGGAAGGTCACAGCCACGGCTCCTAAATCTAAACCGCCAGCCCCGGTATTCTCTGCCGAAGAAAAAGCACAAGCCGCGAAAAGACGGGCTATGGAGACGAAACAGATTGAAGCACGTCTTGGTCGGCTACCGCTGTTCCAGAAGTCGAAAGATGAGCTCTCGTTTGTTATTCCCATTCAGCCGCCGAAGGTCGAGCGACTTCCGCCTGCCCTGCGGTCTGTCAAAGCCGTGAAGCTATTGGTTCCGAGTCTGTATCCTCTGGAGCCCAGTGCCGTGGAGCTACGCGGCGTCGATAGCATAGAGGCACGGGCAGTGGAGGCAGGATTCACGCAATGGATCACCAAAAACCTCAATCTCAACCTAATGTCCCAGGTCAATTATTTGACGAGCAACATGCACAACTTTGCGAAAACCCCTCTGGAAGAAGCGTCTGATTTGGCCGCAGCGGGGCCGGGACTCGCGGAGCCAGAAATCAAGGAAGAAGCACCAACTACTGGAAATGTCCAATTGGGAGATAAGCCTCACGTCCACGTTGTCCCCCGGCCGCCCGAGTGGTCTGTTAGGGAAGGGGGTGATGACAGTGGAGGTACGGATGTGTCTACATCGGAAGAATACTCCTCGGACGAGGAAGACGAAGATGGTGGAGCACCAGTTCCGAATCTCCCAGAGCCAACTCCGGAGCGTGGCGTTGCGATTTCATTTCCCTTCATTGAACTCTATGGAATCGAACTTCTAGATCTGGTTGGACTTTCCGTCACTGTTAAATGTGAAAGATGCAAGGAGCAGTTGGATGTGAAGCATGTACCACAAGTTAAAGACAAAAGTGACACCTTGCAGCCGAAAGTCGAATCTTGCAAGAAATGCGCGAATACGATGAGCTTGGGTATGATCCTATCCCGTTAGGCACGAATATTCACGCAGCAGCTAACCTTCGTTATAGGATTCCGCCGTCAATTGATCCATTCACATTCAAATCGTGCTGGATACCTAGACTTGGATGGCTGTATAATTGACGATCTTCTTCCTAGGTGGGCTATTGTGCATCTTCAGCATCCCACTGATCATAAATAATGACAATATCTGACGTCCCAACAGTAGCTTCATTCCTACCTGCGCGGAATGCTCAACATCTTTCCCTGCACCTGGTGTGGTGGCTGTTCGTGGTGAAAACGCAATGGCTGCATGTCGGCAATGTCATCGGAAGATGGGTAGGTATCTGCCATCGCGCACCTTCAGCTACATGCTAATTTTATCTAGTTTTCAAACTCCCCGAAGTCAAGTTCCTGAGAGTAGGAACTGCTGCATGTGAGTCTATCTACGATGAAGCACGATCCAGAGCAGAAATTCTAATGCGATTGTTCTAGTCACCTCTCGAGACCAAGCTCCGCAGCGGAAGAAGGTATGCAATCTCAACCGAAGGTGAAACGCCCGTGCTAATATGTTGCAGCCTAAGGAGGTTCTCGGCATTGTCGCTGGCCAGGAACTCCCTCGTCGTGGTCGTTGCATGCACTATGGCAAGAGCTATCGCTGGTTCAGATTCAGCTGCTGCGCAAAAGTGTTCCCTTGTGATAAGTAAGTCAAGCTGTCCGTTTCATAAGAGGCGGAAAGCGCAATACTTAATATACATGTGCAATGCTAACCCGATTAGATGCCATGATGCAGCCGAAGATCACCCCAATGAGCACGCAAACCGCATGATTTGGTAAGAAACCCAGCTACCTGTCTTTACCCATTTCTGACGTTGCTTTCTAGTGGTTTTTGCTCACGGGAGCAAATATATCGACCCGAGGACTGTGGAGTATGCCGTGCGGTTCTTGTAGGCAAGGCTGGCAGCGGTTTCTGGGAAGGAGGCAAGGGCACTCGCAACAGAGTCTTGATGAGCCGCAAAGGTATGTGTGAGCTGTGCTAGGGCTTAATCAATCCATGCTAACTATTTTAGATCCGCGGAAGTTCAAGCGCCGTCCGGGCTCGACCCCAGGAGGCTCATCGAAGAAGAAGTAATTATAACAAACGAAGTAGACGGAATTCTAGGATATATAATTTCTCAGCAGTGGAAGTCCAGGGATTCAGATAAAATAACATTGACATTATCAACGCTACAAATAACAAGACGTGCTATACAGAGAACAAAGCAAGCCAAATGCATGGTCATATACATCATCCATTTTTACCCCACATGTCCAGACTAGATCAAGTTTCCACGGAGCTCCTGCTCCCGCTCAATCGCCTCGAACAACGACTTGAAGTTCCCGGCTCCGAAGCCCGAGAAGTTGTGTCGCTGGATAATTTCGATGAAGACGGTAGGACGATCCATCAAATGCTGCATTCAACCGTTAGCGCGCACTCCAGAGACCGGTGTTGGATGAAAATCAAACATACCTTGGTGAACAACTGCAACAAATACCCGCCCTCGTCGAAGTCGATCAGAATATCCAAACTGCGGATCGTCTCGAAGTCCTCGTGCAGCGACAGACCAGCCTTCTTCAACCGGATCTTCATGCTCTCGTAATACGTGTCAGGCACCTTGATGAACTCCACGCCACGAGCTTTCAGGTTGGTGATGTCGCGGATGATATCGTCGGTCAGGAGAGCAATGTGTTGCACGCCGGCACCGTTGTAGAAGTCAACGTACTCCTCGATCTGCGACTGCTTCTTGCCCTTGGCGGGCTCGTTGATGGGCATTTTGACGACCTCGTTGGGTGAGGCCATCACGATACTCTTGAGCGCGGAGAACTCGCTGTGATTTGTTAGAGATGCTCTGTATCGACTGGCAATTTTGGCGAGACTTACGTGCAGATGTCCTTGTCATCGACGGACCAGAACCGATGGAATCCAAGAGCCTTCTCATAGCTGCGGAACTGTTAGTTCAACCTGCATATTGGCAGAGTGGTGACGTGATGTGACATACTACTCGCAGATCTTGTCCATCTCATCCCAGTCCTGGTTCCCAACACAGTGGTCGATCTGAAGCAAGCCGACGTCCGGCAGCATACACGAGATCGGATCCACCTCGTCCACGATCTTATAACCCGGCAGGAAAAGGCCGCGGTACGCACTGCGCTCCAGCAGCGTGTGCGTCGTCTGCCCATAGGTCTGGATCTGCGCCAGCTTGACTTCCCCGTCCTCGTCCTGCAGCACGCGAGGAGAGAAGACGGCCTTGGCGCCATTGCTCACGGCGGCGTCGAAGACGGCATCCACGGAATCCACCTCGAATGCAACGTCCTTGACCCCATCGCCGTGCTGCTCGAGATGGTGGTGGATCTCTCTCAGCTCCTCCTGCTCCGAGGGTGAGAATCGGTCGATCTGGTCGAGAGAGCGGAGTGGCGAGGTCAGGATAAAGGTGATGTCTCCGTTGCGGATGACATGCGAGCAGATGGCGCGGCTGCCGGTCTCGAGGCCGCGATATGCGATGCGTCGGAATCCCATGCGCGTGATGTAGTATGTCGCGGCTTGTTTGGCATTTCCGACGTACCACTGGACGTGGTCATAGCCCTTGTAGCTGGCTAGACTGTTGTCGATGGCAGGAGTTCTGTTTGTAGGGGGTGGCGAGACGGCTGTGGGGGCCATGTTGAAGAATGGTACAAGCCTAGAGATAAGATAGAGTTGTTTTCAGGGGTTTATCCACGATAAAACAATCTGATTGTATTCTTAGGCTCTTAGCATTTCTGTGGAGGAGGATCAAGACGAGAGAGACACAGAGGGCATATATAGCTTCTGGATCCAACATGAACGAGTAACATCGATCAATAGAAATCCCGGCTGACGCAGACACGGGTATCTCCTGTAGATCCATGGGAGCCCCAGTCACAAACCACGAACTACCCGGCGGATGACAATAATAATGAAGCCATTGGGGGAGGCGACGGGTGGTGGCGGATGTTGGCAGGCAACCGACGGCTGGACGCGGGTATTTCACAACACCCGCCCAGCTCTGAGATCATAACATCCCGTGCGTTGCCTTCGTATCGCCATCGGATATTTCCTGCAGGGATCTATGAAGCTAATCTTATATTATATTCTCCGATACACCTCCTCTCTCTGGTTCTACACAGCAACCCAATCCAGCCAAGATGACCACCATCCAGCCCTCCCGTCCGTCTCTCACCTCCAATGACTCCGCCGTCCTCCAGGCGCTCTTTGACGCCGAATCCTCTCCCTCTGCGGCTGTCACTATCGACCCTTCTCTACCTGCGTATCCAGTCCACTTGAATCTTCCAGGCCCGGACTCAGAGGCTTTTGAATCTCTCAAACAGCGCGAGCTCTCCATCGTGCGCTCCCTCCAACAACCTACCTCCACTTCCAATACTACCACAACCACTCTCCCATCCCAAACTATCCACTCAGCAATCCAAGACCTCGACGCCCTCATCACCGAATATCCCACCTATCCATCCGCCTACGTCAATCGCGCACAAGCTCTCCGTACCTTAATCGACCACCAATCCACTCCCCCCAGCACCAGCTCCTCAACCTCAAACCAAGAAGACCAGACCTCTTCTACCCTCTTCTCCCCCCAAAACGCCCCCCACACAACAACCCTCTTCAACGACCTCAGCCAGGCAATAACCCTCTCTACGCCCCTCTCCCCCGCAGACCCGGCCTCGTCCACACAAGCGCGCATCCTCGCAGACGCGCACACTCATCGCGGATACCTGCTTCTCCGCGCGGCGCGATGGAAGCGCACGCATCCGGACAGCGAGTCCGGGCCTGAGAAGCTTCGGGGTGTGGAGCCGGACCAGCTCGAGGAGATGGCGAGTCGCGATTTCTTTATGGGAGGACGGTTTGGGAATAAGGTTGCTCAACAGTTGGCCGTGCAGACGAATCCGTATGCGAAGGCTTGTGGGGCGATTGTTAAGGAGGCGTTGAGGAAGGAGATGGAGGGTGGGGAGGTTTGAGTTGGGTTAATATGTGTGTGTGTGTGTGTTTTAGCCTGCAGTTGGTGGTGTTGGGTGCTTTTGCTTGGTGGTTAGTTTGAATAGATTTGTTAAGGAGATAGGGTTAGCATTATCATATGATGCAATGAGATTAGTGACAGACAAGCTTCCCGCTGGAATGCAAATGCTTGGCCAATGTCTTCAAGTTCTTTTGCTTTTACAATATATTGTTGGGAACAAAAATTCTCTGGTGTAAGGCATAAAATGCATTGAATCCGTCGATAGATGGGCATAATTTGGTACTCACCGAGTATTAGAAGACAGTATAGGATACGCATGTGTGTATATTGGTAAGCGCATATCTGTTGACTACGCAACGCTGAAAACACTTCATCATTTGTTCAAACAACACATGGATCAAATTGATATCATAAAATAACTATACACACTCAAGCCTTGTTCGGGTTCTGGAAATGTCTCTTCAACGGCCGCCAGCTATGTTCATTATACTCCTCCTGCACCTTCTGACACGTCTTGAGTCCCCATTCCGATACGCCCACCATCAAAGAACTGTTCCAATTAGCCTTTATTCAATACCTCTTCTGGAAAATGACTTACCTTTCAAACATGAATGCCATACTCCCATCCCCCACCTTCAGCGGCTTCAACTCCGCGTTACTCGCCCCCTCGTAGGCATCCGAATCCGGGCCGTGAGCACTCATCACATTATGCAGACTCGCTCCGGCAGGTTGGAACCCACCGCCCGTCTTCGCATCGTAGTTCCCAGTGATCAAGCCCATGAACTCGGACATCGTGTTACGATGGTACCATGGCGGCCGGAAGGTCTTTTCAGCCACGAGCCACCGCGGCGGAAAGATGACAAAGTCGGCGATGGCCGTGCCCTCGTGGTCAGAGGGGCCGGTGAGAACCGTGAAAATGGACGGATCGGGGTGATCGAAGGAGATCGATCCAATAGTGTTGAATCGTCCCAGGTCGTACTTGTAAGGGTAGTAGTTGCCGTGCCAGGCGACGATGTCGAAGGGGCTGTGGTCCTGACGTGCCGAGAACAGCGTGTTGGCGAATTTGCTGTAGAGACGGTATTCGGTCTCGTCGTCGTCGAAGGATGCTACCGGGGCTTGGAAGTCGCGGGCGTTGGCGAGACCGTTGGATCCGATGGGTCCCAGTTCGGGGAGTTGGTAGTGTCCCTGGTAGAGCTCGCAGATGTATCCGCGTACAGGACCTGTGGGGAGAGTCACCCGGTATCTGACATTAGGTGGTCAGTCTGGATGCTAGCGGAAGGAGGGAAGAAATTGCATACCGGACACCTCGAGGAATCACGCAGATTTCGTTCGGACGAACGACTAATCGTCCCAGCTCGGTCTGAATATCCAATACCCCATGCTGCGGTACGATCAAGAAATCTCCGTCCGCCGAGTAGAACGCCTCCTTGCCCATATCTTTCCCCGCAGCGTATAGAAGAATCCCCAATCCTTGCTTCAGGGTCGGGTCGCCCGCTCCCGCGACGAGGTGAAGACCATGTACCCAGTCGACCTTCTCGTCTAGGTCGAAGGGGTTCCACCGCAGCTGGTTGGGGATGTGGTGCAGTTTGTGGGTTTCGGTCGTCATGCGCGTATGGTAAGAGTCGGATTCCTCCGCCACGAAATTCTCGTGCGACGCAGCAGGGATGATCCGGTAGACCCAGGTCTGTCTATTCTCGTGTCGAGGGGCTGTGAAGGCCGTGCCGGACAGTTTCTCAGCGTAGAGACCCAACGGGGCTTTCTGGGGGGAGTTGTGCCCCACGGGGAGAGCTCCGGCGATGGCTTCCGACCTGCAGAATCAGTTAGAGCCAAATCCATGCGAAAAGATCTATCACATACTCATGATACGAGTCGAAGCCATTCTGGTAGGTGTAGGGATCAGGGTGAGAGAATTCGGTGACGGGCATGATGTCTGAATCTCAGGCGGGTAGGGTTGCGGTTGAATGCAATAAAGAAGACTGGTCGGTATATCGACGAGAGTGTCGTGCTCGTTTTAAGAGACGACGCCATCACCATCAAGTCACGAAGGCACGGAGAGCGCGGGAATTGGAGAGCAACGGCCAAGTCGAGCTGATCTTCCGTGGCTCAACATGCGGGGATGGCGGAATTGGCTCGAAGCCCAACAGCCGGCAATAAGCGGGGGCGGGACGGTTCCGCGGCGCTCGTCATGAGGGGAATTTACCCCGAATGGAATTGAATTTATTTGTCCCGCCGGCTGTTCTCGATCTTGCTTTCTTTCATCATACGATTCTCCTTCGTATTCATCCTCAGTCATGGTTTCCTGGTTCTCAATCCCCAAGAACTCGCCCTTCTCGTTGGCCAACATCCCCTTTGGCATCATCTCCTCCGCCAACGCCCCCGCGCGAGTGGCCGCCATCGCCATCGGAGACCATGCACTGAACCTCAGCGTCTTCGCATCCTCTGGCGGCTTTTCCCAGCTCCCAGCCATTCAGTCTCATCTCGGCGTCTTCTCGCAGCCTACGCTGAACGCCTTCGCGGCGCTGGGTCGCCCCGTGCACCGCCAAGTGCGCGAGTACATCCAGAGTGTTTTCCGCGCCGACACAACCCTTCCCCAGATCCTTAAGGACAATGGAGCTCTGCAAAAGGATGCCCTGCTCCCCTTAAGCGAGGTGACCAACCATGTCCCCATGCAGATTGGTGACTATACCGATTTCTACGCGGGTCTGAACCACGCATACAACGTGGGTGTGCTGTTCCGCGGGCCCGAAAATGCCCTCCAGCCCAACTACAAGCATCTGCCCGTCGCATACCACAGTCGTGCCTCCTCCGTCGTCACATCCGGCACACCTATCCATCGCCCCAACGGTCAGATCTTGACCAACCCCACGGCAGACCCGAAAATCCCCGCCTTCTCTCCTTGCAAGAAACTTGACATCGAGCTCGAGCTGGCGGCATTCGTCTCTAGACCCAACACCCTGGGCCATCCAGTCCCCATCAGCGAGGCTGAAGACCACATCTTCGGTCTCGTGCTCATGAACGACTGGTCCGCTCGCGATATCCAGGCATGGGAATACGTGCCCCTGGGCCCATTCAACGCAAAGAACTTCGCGACGACCATTACCCCCTGGGTCGTGTTGCTTGATGCCCTGGAGCCGTTCCGCTCGGCAGGTCTCGAGCCCGGAGACCGCGACTCGCTACTCCCGTATCTGCAGGAGAAGAAGGCCGCAAATGTCTACGATATTCCGCTCGAGGTGGAGCTCACGAGCGCCGGTGGCAAGCCCACGCTCGTCTCCCAGTCCAATGCGAAGAATCTGCTGTACTCGTTCCCGCAGATGCTAGCTCATCACACTATCACGGGGTGTAACATGAACCCGGGTGATTTGCTAGGCAGTGGCACGATCTCCGGCACGGAGCCGAAGACGCAGGGTAGTTTGCTGGAGCAGACGAATGGGAAGAGTCCGATTACGTTGGCGGATGGATCGGAGCGTATCTTCCTGGAGGATGGCGACACGATCGTTCTTAGGGGTAAGGCGGGTACGGAGGGTAATTATGTTGGATTTGGAGATTGTACGGGGACGATTCTTCCGGCTGTGAAGTTGGAGTTTTAGTTTGACAGTCGGGATTATGCTCGTTGGACGTTCAAAAGAATGTTTAATTTGTGATAGCTATACCTGACAAGGATGAATAGATTGAACCATTTTCTTTTCATTTCTTTTCGTCTCCTTCACTACCACAGAACGAGACACCATAGAAGCCCAAAGGGTCACCGACTAACCCTTCCCATAGACCCATGTATAATAGATAAATCAAACCCTAAACTCCTCCGGCGTATCCTCCTGATTCCTCCAATGTCCCAACTTTACAGCCTCCACCTCCTCCAAGTTCCTCGCAACCCTATCAATAGTCGGATATCTCTCCAACTCAACCCCGACTCTCTGAGCGCCCCAAACGGCCGGAATCAAGCACACATCGGCCATAGTCACCTCATCCCCCACACTGAACCTCCCCGCCGACTTCTCCGCAATCGCCTCATACGCCCGGAACCCGTCCTCGATCAACTCCTTCGACCACGCACTGCGGTCGACACCTAGCGGGGCCACGCGCTTCAGGATCCGCAGGTTCGTGACGGGCTGGACGTCGCAGGCGATGATGTGCGAGAGAGTGCGGACGAGAGCGCGCGCGGAGGGGTCGCTGGATGGTGGGAGAAGGGAGGCTGTGTCGGGGAAGGTTTCGTCGAGGTATTCGAGCGCGGCGAGGGATTGTGTTATTTTGACTGTGTGGTTGTTGTCTGATTCGATGAGGAGGGTAGGCACCGTGGCGGAGGGGTTGAGGGTGGTGTTGCTTGTGGAGTGCTGTTCGTCTTTTAGGAGGTTGACGGGGATGGCTGTGTAGGAGAGGTTTTTGAGGGCGAGGGCGATGCGCAGACGGGCGGAGCAGGAGGAGCGGAAGTAGGTGTAGAGGGTTATTTGGGGCATTTTGATGGTTTGATTTGGTTTGAAAGAGAGATGGTATAGAGGTAGTTGGTATAGGTGGGTAATAGGTAAGTATAGGGTGGAACAGTTACTATGGATGCTACAGTATAAATACGCAACCCCGCTTTTAATCCCTAGGAACTATTAAATATCAGTATCTCACATGTAACCACACAAGCCATGGCATTGCATTTATTCCACCACCCCTACAACTACAGCTACAACGACCGGGGATCCTCCCGCGGGAGCATTCCGTCTCCCCAATATCCGACCCAGCGCGACGATTTCCGCGCCTTTCCGAAGGTTACGCTCGTTCCTCCATTTGAATCTTTTCGAATCATTTGTTTCGTTTTTGTATATTTATCACTGATGGACCTATAAAATACAAGGATTCACTTCATATACCAAACTCACTTCGTCCGTACTTTTGGTTTCAGCGTTGGGCCTGGGGTATGGAGGTATGGTCAGCCAGAGCTCAAATGATCACGATGATGGCCAAAGTACTGGCATACAAGCATACAGGCAATACTTCCAACCATTCACTCTGTATGGGGGTCGGGTGAACTTTGCCTAGCTACACCGCCTCCGACGATTTCTTATCTCATACCGGTACCCCTGGCGGCAATCGGAGTCAAAGTGAAGCCTTTCTGGACAATTGTCGTAATGGGGTCTCGCCCACTTGGTGTCTTCAAACTCCCACATAGACGGGCACTTTCATTAACACTTTGGATCACGTCTGCTTCTCTCGTTCAAATGATCAAGTAGGGAAAATGATTCTTCCGCTTCAAGATCGCTTCGTACTCGAAGGCCCTAATGGCGTTCATCCTTGCTATGTGACAGCACCGGCAAGTTGTAGCATCTCCGGCTCGAAGAATGGATCGTACCTACGCCTTTTTCAAGCGCGGACGGCGCGCTCCCTTATCGCACAGCTTGTCATGGCTGTGGATTATATACACTCTCGGGGAATTGCCCATGGAGGTACGTCTGCATGTCTATATCTCGACCAATATGACCCCCACCTTTACTAATTGCATAGACCTTCATCTCGGTAACGTTCTTCTGCGTCTTCCAACCGAGTTTGATACACTCTCGATTGAAGAGCTTTATGGTAAATATGGCGCACCTAGTTCAGAGCCCGTTGTTCGCCAGGATGGAAAACCGCTTGGGCACAACATTCCGCACGAGGCCATTCTTCCGCTGTGGCTAGGAAAGCCTTCGGAGAAAATGACTTCTCCCGAAGCCAGTATTCTACTCTCGGATTTCGGGGAGGCATTCCTGGCCTCCACGGAGGATCGATATGAGTCGCACGCCCCTATTGCCTTTGCACCGCCTGAAGCCGTGTTTGAACCAAACAAGCCCCTTTCCTTTCCATCTGACATCTGGACCCTTGCATGCTCCATATGGTCGATCCTGGGACAGCGCCCGTTGTTTGAGGAAATCCTTGCCACTCAGGATGACATCACGGCTGAACAGATCGATGTCCTTGGGGGACTACCTCTGGAGTGGTGGAACCAATGGCAGGGGAGACACGAGTACTTTGATGAAGATGGAAAGTCTCGTTCAGATCGGCACATTAGGTCTTGGGAGGACCGCTTCGAATCACATATTCAACGTCCACGATTGGAAGCCGGAATCCCATGTGTAGGTAGTGAGGAGAAAACTGCCATTCTGGATATGTTACGATCAATGCTGTCTTTCAGACCTGAAATGCGGGCCACCGCGAGGGATATACTGGAGTGTGAATGGATGATTAAATGGGCACAGCCGGAGTTCAAAGAATCAAAAGTGCCGAAAGGCTCGGGGTGAAGGGGGATTCAATAATCCAATACCTCATAATCACCAGGCACATGCCATCAAAGAACATCATCCAACCTTCGTTGACTGATAGGTGTCGTTTGGATCGAATGCTACGGATCCTTTCTGTTGCTCTTGCGGACCACTACGAGAATGTGTCTCTCGTTTGGTAGTCGTTGTACGGACTGTCTAGCGATCTTCTTTAAATGCCACTCCTAGGTGGTGATAATTGCTTTCATTGATCGATGAATTCTCTAAATTTACAGATAGGGAGGCAAAAAATCTCAAGCTGGGTTTCGCGAAGGCTTTGACGTCGCCATCAATCAAGTACACGAATAAGTAGCAAGTAGGCCTGGAAAATCAATAACAAGTCCATCACTACAATCCCTCTAACTATCCCGCGGAACCCTTCCGCCTCCCCAATATCCGATCTAGTGCGATGATTTCCGCGCCTTTCCGGTGGTTACGCTGCGCAGGGATTAAAATCAGGGTAATCCCAGGGCAAATCGATAGTTCTTTTTCATGGGTTCCTAGTCTTGAAACTAGTAATTTTCTGCTCTAGTGGAGATCTGTGCGGAGGAGCGTGTTAGACGGCGGACTACTACTGGTGATGATTCCGCGCCGTGAAGGGCACCCGATGACATCATATGTAGGGAGCGGGCTTGAATGTTTTGCAGTGCTGTCAGATCTTCGAAAAAACTTTCAGTCATTCACAAATCCAATCGGATCGTGTTCGAGAAGCATTTTTGCTGCAGAATCATGCAGGATGCGATGTGAGGTGTCTGCTGTCGGCATGCAGCTGATGTTATGGTTTCTTTCTACTTCATGCGAGTGATCAAAATTGTATCAGAGTATAGCTTTGCGTGAGGATTAACAGATTAACATGCTTATCAATAATAACCTCTCATTAATCAATCCTCTATCATCAATAATATCAGATATTCTATAGTGACACCTACTGCCGAGACGGGATCCGAGGCGGGTATTTCCCCCTCTCCGCCCGTCGGCAAACACCGGCTATTTTCTGCCGCTTGTTTCATTTTCATCCGCACAAAACACCCTCTCCTGGTCGCATCGAATCTCGGCCCCAGGTCAAGATCTCGAATGTTGACTCTAATTGATTGCATTCCTTGAATCCCACTCCATCACCTAAGGAAAACCCTGATTGGCCCGCTCCGTTATGCGTGAGAATGGAAATCAGGAGACACTCCCGCCCCGGAGATGCCCCCGACCGAACCTACCAGCGCACCTACAAGGCCTGTCTCGCCTGTCGCCAACGCAAGGCCAAATGCGAACTAGGTACCGGTCCGGATGGCGTCTCGCTGGGTCCACCTTGCGCGAAGTGTCGTAGGGAGCAGAGGCCCTGTGTGTTTAGCGAGAAGCGGGCATGGGAGAGGCGCAAGAGGAGAGGTAGGGTGCTTCTGCTTAGACGATATAGATCTAGGTCTATTTCTAGGCGCAGCTCTTGGTTAAGTAACTTGACTGATACATCTGTCCATAGATGCAGGAACATCAGACGATGGGGCTCCCAGAACCCGGCGCAGGTTGTCTAGTAGTTATGCGCGTGACGGGGATGCATCACACCACGTTCGGACTGGCGATTCGAGCGCCGTAGAAGATAGGGGTGTTGAAACGCAAGATGACGATGAGGATATTTTACAGGGAGCCGACTCCTCGGACCAGCACGGTCAGCGGCAGTCAAACGCTTTCGCAAATTCCATGATGCGCACCGTCGTTTCTAGCGGGAATGATGCGCTTAATATCCTGTTCGAGGCGGCTGCCGTGCATAGTCGCGAGAATGACATGATCGAGTCGGAGATGCAGTCGCGTAATGCGCAGAGTCGGTCGCATCGGAATAGGCAAAGCAATGCGTCGAGGGACATGAATGCCATTTCTCCGGAAGCGCTGGCTAAGGCTGTCAGGCCGGTGCCGTTGTCGCATGCGTCGAAAGACGTCCTCGCTGTTTGGGAGACATGTCGGTTTGTTAGAATGGGATGGTTCACTTCGAGGGAGGCCGTGACTTTCATTGATCTGTAAGTGGGTCTGAATCTGTATTGGTATGCGTACGGAGAGCTGATGTGAATTGGGATCTAGATTCTACAAGAACATGTCTCCCCTATCGCCCATCTTGACCGACTTCTACTCAGATCATAGGAATCATGGCTGGCTTGTCACTCGAGACCCCGTTCTATGCTGTACAATTCTGATGATCTCGTCTCGATACCATCTACTGCCTGGAGCCGGAGGAGAATCGAGAAACTTCTTCATCCACCACCGACTCTGGCAGCATTGTCAGCAACTGGTGATGCGACTGACCTTCGGTCAGGAGAGATCCTTGCAGCCGAAGACCAGGACTATCGGAACAATCGAGGCCCTCCTGTTGATATCTGAATGGCATCCGCGGTCTTTGCATTTCCCTCCCGAAAGTGATGGCTGGGACTTTGACCTGGCGTTTGCAGCCCCCGAGCCGAAGGAACCCGACGAGTCATCAACCAGTCGATGGCTAGAAGATATGATCGAGCCTGCACGGCGGTCGGATCAGATGTCATGGATGCTGTTAGGGTTGGCCCTTTCTTTATCCCACGAGTTGGGGATCTTCGAATTGGACGATAAGAAATGGAGCTACTTTGATGGTTACGAAGGGGCCATATCCACGGAGCAAACCAAACTTCGGAGATCACGAGTCCAGAGATTACTTTACGTATATATCAATCAGCTGGCATGGCGCATCGGATGCGTTTCCCTCATGCCACAGAGTCTGAACCACGCCGTCCTCGGCCGACAGGCTCAGCGGGATATGAGCCAGCCTGGAGACCAATGGCTAGCGTTTATGGACTCTTGGATGGACTTGACCAAGCTGGCGAAATCGGTGACCGATATGTTCTTTCCTACGGTCTCATTTGCCCGACAGCAACTGCACACCGGACGGTATATTGATCTGCTGGACCATTTTCGGCCTCTACTCACGAAGTGGAAAGATGCCCACCTTCAACCACACCGTAAGTTCGAGCTTTTCCCGTCCTGATGTATATCACTGACCCGAGCAGTACTCAACGAGCAATTCTACGACATCCTCTTTATTGAGTATCACTTCGTACGCGTCTACACCCACTCCGTCGGCATGCAGGCAGTAGTCGAGCGCGTCCTCGCCGACAGCGATCCCAACGCCGACGAAGTGCGCGCCATGAACATCGACCCGATCGACTACGAATACATCCAAGAAGTCATCGAAGGGTGCTGTCAGATCCTACACAAAGTCAACCAGCTCTCCAGGATGGAGGTACTCCGCTTCTCGCCCGTGCGCATCTTCCTCCGCATCACCAGCTCTTCCATCTTCCTCATGAAAGCCCTAAGTCTAGGGACGCGTCAGGCCAAGCTCCGCGAATCGCTCGACTGTCTCGAACAATGCTGCCAGGCCCTGAGGTCAAACGCTCTAGATGACATCCACCTGAGTACCCGCTACGCCACCCTGTTGGAGCTGCATGTGGCGCGTCTGCGGCGCAATCTGCTCGCCTCCTCCAAAAGTATAAATCTCAAGACGAGCCATGGTAAGCGCCGATCGTCCACAGGGCCCCTACCCAACCCCGACCTAGAGACTCCTGTCATGGACGAGTCGCAGAACATATCGGCGGTGGGCCTTGTGCCGTCACTCAATGATATTGCAGCCGACGATTGGCTTTCTTTGCCGTTCGACCCGTCTATGGCGCCGTTTGGCATCAGTAGTGGCGGGCAGTTCCCTGCGTATGAAGGTGGAGCTTTAAATTTTATTTGGAATTTGCCTTCTTGAGCAAGTATGCTGGTCTAGGCGGGATATTTGTCGGTTGTAATGATAATGATGATGTTAGCTGTATAGTCCGAGTGATCATGAATGATGAGATATGTGTGTCGACTAGTTTAGGGCTCCATCTGGGGTTGGTCTCCAGTGTCTCCGCATGAACAGCTCGAAATTCCACCGAGAATTGTCTTCTTAACATAATGTTCTGGAATGGTCTGAGGGTTTAGCAGGAAGCATAATTGGGGGTTTCCCGTCCGTGCAGATATATTGATTGAAATGCAAGAATGTATACAAATATAGAAAGAAGTTTCCAGATTAGCGATTCGGTAGTTAGATTGCGTATTGAGCACGGACAGCTCATTCAGCCCATCTAGTCCCTTTGTCTCATCTGTAGGAAAACTCTGTAGTTGACAGGGATCGGAAGGATGAGGAAGCACAGGCCGGGGAAGAAAGGCGACACATTTTCGCCACTCGAAAGAAAACCGGGGAAAAATCGGAGGTCTTGGCGTGTCCGGGTTATCGGCACGTGATGTCAGGTCACGTTTTCGGGGGCGACAGAAAAAGATTGACGGAACTTCCTCATCGCCGAACCTTCGATCTCGACTGCGACCTTCGACCCCATCAACAACTCCGCTCGAGACCACCCCGTGTGTGTTTTCTGTACAATACCGCATTCTTTTCTTTCAGCTGAACTCGTCGATTCCGGTTTCGTTGAATTGTCGCTCCGGATTACGCCTCGCCTTTTTCGGTCGTCCCTCGTCATCTCCCTTCTCTCTTCACAATCACAATGGATCACTCCCGCGACCCCTGTCCCTGGGTTGCCCTGAGCGACTTTGGTGGTGCTTTCTGTATGGGTGTATGTTCCTGACCGACTTCTTTTGTTCGATTCCGCTTCCCCCCGATACTGACGACGTCTTTGTTTAGGCGATCGGTGGTGCCGTCTGGCACGGTGTCAAAGGTTTCAGAAACAGCCCCTACGGCGAGCGACGGATAGGTGCCATCACAGCCATCAAGGCTCGCGCACCCGTTCTCGGTGGTAACTTCGGTGTCTGGGGTGGTCTGTTCTCGACTTTCGACTGCGCGATCAAGGGTATCCGGAAGAAGGAGGACCCTTACAATGCTAGTATGTGGAAATCTTCATCGCTTTTGTCAATCTTGCGAGGGGTCTTCGTGCTGACCTCTAATAGTTATCGCTGGTTTCTTCACCGGTGGTTCCTTGGCTGTCCGTGGTGGTGTCAAGGCTGCTCGAAACTCGGCCATCATGTGTGCCGTTTTCCTGGCGGTCATTGAGGGTGTCGGTATCGGTTTCCAGAGAATGATGGCCGACAACACGAAACTAGAGGTACGTTGACTGGATTGCGTTTGAATTCAAAGGCAAAAGATGCTAATCAACTATTGCTTCCTACAGCTCCCTCCTCCCCCTCCTTCTCCCGAAAAGGCCGTCGCCTAAACTTCTCCGACGACCATCCTATGATATCCCGTCGCTGTGTCCGTCTATGCTATATTATTATCTCACGTCTCTCTTCTCAGGTGTTGGGTGGGTCATTTGGGCTTCAGTATAGAGGTTGCGTTGTATTGTTGCTTCTATCAGCTCTCGACTTCTTTTTCCTCTCTTCTATTTTACACTTATTTATTACATCTTATTGTGGAGCATGTTTTATGGCGATTGGATTGCTCAGCCTTTGCATCCCATGTTTTTTTGTGACCGGAGACGACAAAAAAAGCGGAAGTGCCGGCTGGTCTTGTACATTAACTTGCTAACAGGAATAATGCATCAAGTTTGTTGTTAGATTCGGAAGTTTATCTGCTGTGGCTTTTAGACCCGTGACAACTAACTCACTATTTATAAATCTAACCCCTCTCTCTTTAGCATCGCACTAACCATCCTTACCAACACACCATCCCATCACAACCATCAACATCATCTTCGAACCACCGATCGACTCCCCCGAAAATGAAATATAAACCCACGCTCATCATCCACGGCGGCGCCGGCGCCCTCTCCCGATCCTCTATCCCTCCCGACCTCTACGATCGATACCACGCCTCCCTCCTCGCCTACCTCCGCTCGACTCGCGATCTCCTCAACTCCGGCTCCTCCGCCCTCGACGCCGCCGTCCACGCCGTCTCCCTTCTCGAAGACGACGAACTCTTCAACTGCGCCCGCGGCAGCGTGTTCACTTCCGCCGGGACCATCGAAATGGAAGCCTCGGTGATGGTGACGTCGGTGAATAGTCCTGGTCCCGGCTCAACTAAACGCGGCGTCGGCGTCATCGGGCTCCGTAACGTACGGCATCCGATCCAGCTCGCGAGGGAAGTTCTTCTACGGGATGGACTTGATGAAAATGATGATGGCGGAAGCATGCATGCACAGCTTTCTGCGCCTTATGTTGAAGACCTAGCTAGGCGGTGGGGTCTTGAGTTTCAGCCTGATGAGTACTTCTGGACGAAGAGAAGGTGGGATGAACATGTACGGAAGTTGAGGGGGGAGGGACAGGGGCAGAGACGGACTGATAAGCAGGGTTCTTCCTCTTTGGTCTCGGATTCCGATACCGATGACTCGGTGTGCGATGGCACTATAGATTCGCAGGTAGCGGTGCCGGGTGGCAAGGTACTTGACCCGGATCTTGACCTTGATCTGAACTCCCTCCCGCAAGGAACAGTCGGCTGCGTCTGTCTCGACCAGTACGGCAACTTGGCCGTCGCGACAAGCACAGGCGGCATGACGAACAAGCTTCCTGGACGGGTGGGCGATACCCCGACATTAGGGGCGGGGTTTTGGGCGGAGAGATGGACTGGATCTTCTCCTTTGGATATCAGGCCTACTTCTCGTCTTCCCTCTTCTCCGCCTGGTCCGTTTTCTATGGAAAAGGAGGAAGAGGGAGAGATATCATTTTCCTGGACCGCTTGTCTACCTTCGTTTCTACGTTCGAGTTATCCTTCTCCTGCATCTTCTTTGGAGACATATACCGACAGACATAAAGGATACACTGATACAGAAGCACACATATACACACCCAAAACCAGAAACCCATCAGTACCAGGTCTACTCCCACCACTAGTATACGATAGAAACGAGAAACAGCCCTTACTCGACCCCTCCTCTTCTTCGCCATACAGCACCCCTTCCATTTCTTCTCTCCCTCGCCCTCCACCTCCACACCCTAACCCTAACCCCCGATCCGGATCCAGATCCAGGTCTCAAACAATAGCCGTCGCCCTCTCCGGCACCGGCAACGGCGACTCCTTCCTCCGGACCTGCGCGGCGCGCACAGCCTGCGCTATGGCTCGCTTCTCGCCGCATACGCATCTTCCCGAAGCGGTGAGGGACGTAGCCGGACCGGGCGGCGAATTGCAGCGTTCAGCTGGGGAGCGATGGGGTAGTGGAGAGGGGGAGGGAGGGATGATTGGGATTGAGGTGAGAGGTGTAGGTGTTGGGTTGGAGGGAGAGGAAGGAAGGTATATAGATGGGGAGGTGGTTGGACGGGGAACGGTGGTGTTTGATTTCAATTGTGGGGGGATGTGGAGGGCTTGGATTGAGGAGGATGCGATGGGAGAGGAGATAGAGAATGTGATGGTGTTTAGGGAGAAGTATTATTAGATTAGAGGCTTGGTATTTGTTTGTATGTAGACCGTCACATCTAGGATGTTTGACCTTCCTAGTTGTGATGGTCGGTGGCAGGTGCGCTTCTACCACCAAAAGACTAGAAGACCAAGTCAACAGACTTGGTACGCGCATCGCTCTATATAGTGGTTCTTCGTGGTCGTCAGTCAGTTCGTCACACTAATGTAGTTTGGTGTACACTAGTATGCAACCTCGCTGTGTAATAGAATTGATCAAGCATTCCATCAATTTCATCGCCAGCCTAGCTGTCAGTACAGGATCGAGAAATTTCAGTTGGATGATTCGCACTAGGTCACCGGAGACGAGATGGCACCGTGAATTAAGCCGGCTATGGAGGGAGTGGCTAAGCTACTGGTTGTGCGCTTGGTGGTATCGGCAGCTATAGATCCCGCACAGGTATACGTAGGTCTGTAGTATCAGATGTTTATAGCAGTATAAAATGCCTACCAGTTCTAATGTCGTCTTACTCCTATACACACTGATACAGATAAACCGTATGCTCCAGGGTTTCAGGGACAAAGGTGTCTGAAATAAAGTTCTAACCATACAGACATATATCCCAGCACATGCTAGCTTGGGCGTAAGAAATTGAATCTGCTTCATAGCCCTATCCCTTACGTGGGCAATCCAAAGCATAGTGGTCCATGGCATCACCTACCATTTCCCAAATCTCCGGCGCCTCCAGAGCTGAGCCAAGCGTTCCACAGTCAGATCTAGCGAAAAGTTTGACAATTGACGGTATATTTCGCAGAAACATTGGGAGCATATCTGCTCCAATTCTTTGCCTGCACAATTGGAGACTGTTGGATGTTTCGCATAGATCCGGAGCGTTCCCATGTCTTGTACATTTTTCCCAGGTGAACTTGGCTAATTGATCTGCCAAGTCCATTATGGTGCTTGAATCCGCGGCATTATCGTTACGCCGTCCCAGGTGTTGGGTAACCAGCCTTTCGGCAAACGGATGAACCAGATTTTCCTTCACGATGTTGTTATAGTTGTCCTCCGTTAAAGAACATCCTTTGCCACAGACACGGGATCCGATCAAGTCGAAGATTAGGTCCGACTGTTGCCTAGCGGTATCAAATGCTTTTAGGCAAGCGAGACCGCTGGCCGTTGCCAGACGCAGCGATAGGATCGAAAGGAGAAATAAGAAGAGGATATTGCGCATCGTACTGTTTGAAAACACCTGATGTTGTATTCCAGGATATGGGGCAAGATGTGGAGGCCGATGTATTGAGCGCGTAGGAAGGTTGAAGGTTCTTAATGGGATATAGCAGACGTGCGGAACTGTTTAATATATCTTGCGAGAAATATACGCATAGAAGCGACTCCCTTGCCTGTGGTACGACGCCTGCAAGCAGAGCTGGGTCTCGATATCCCTTACTGTAGTGATTCCAGGTACCAGGCATTACTTCCGACTAGACTAAAAAGCTCAGCTGGCTGATGGTCAGTCCTTGCAGTGACCTGATATGTCAACACTTACACATACGGAGGTGTGTACCAAAAGTAATCAGACTGCCGCTAGTAATATTGTTGGCCAAGCGGAAAGCTTTTCTGAAGAATAATTTATATATGTGATATCTCATATAAAGACACCTTTTCTGGTTACTACTAAAGTAACCCTTTCTGGTTTAGAGAAGGCTTTAGATAGCTTTATGATATGATTAAATGACCAACTAGACATAGAACAATATGATATATCCATTAAATGTAAGATGTTTACGAAATCTGTCTGCTTGGCTGTCAATATGACTAGTGGCATTCTGATCACTTTTGGTACACACCTCCGTACTCCGCTAATGTCCCTTGCGCTCATGATGTACTAGGGTATGAGAATGTCCCTTCTCATGATCTACCGGGGCAAAATATACACGCAGTTTAGCTTGAAGCAGGGTTGTAAGAAATCGTGTTTATGAATCCTGATAACCAGACATAGGTAATAGTCAGATAGTCATCGCACGAATCAGCGGCCCGTATTAGTTTGGATATGTACAATGTTCCAATCGACGAACGAGGGAGCCTTTTCACTTATGGAGCACAATAACCCGAGTAGACAATCTAGGGATGTGTCTGGAGTTTGGAGGAATGGTGACAATGAGGCTTCGCCGCACAAGCGAAACTCTTGAAGGAAAGATCATCGGTCACTAGTGGCTACGACAATTGCCATAGTTGAAGCGATTATTAACCTCTGAAAGCCACTAGATCAATTCCAAGTAACCTATCGGATACGTACTAGTGCCTTAATTACTGCCAGGTAGGATAATGTTTCTAAGGAATCTGCTTAACTGCGCTCTTGTCCTATCCAATATCAGTGGAACCTAAAAATAACGCAAGGGGTCCATTCTCCAAGACAGACGCTCATCGCTACTAGTCCCCTCGCTAGGGGAAAATGACCTAGTCGTGTACATAAATATCCCATCAGCCCCCTTTCAGTCTGATGCCACACAGGTTCATAAAAATAAAACTCTCTGACACATTTCATTGGTCTATAACCTTCGCGCAGTATGGACGTTGTTGATTTCGAGTTCCAATTCTCTAAGCCGGAAGATGAATATACGCCGCCACCAGGATATTTTAGCATCCTTCCATATCGTGTGTCGAAAACTGCCGCAGATATCATGAATACAGCCTGTAACTACCAGCAAGATTGTATCTCCGTTTTTACTGGCAAACGTGCAGAAGACCTTAAGGGAAAGGGGGGAACCAGCGCTCGCACACATGCTGCTGCATACATGATACCCGAATGCCCACCAGGTCGAGCCAACGAGTTCGCAAAGTTCCTGGAAATGGCGTTCAACTGGGATGGTATAGTACCCAGGAGATCATGGATGAGCACGTATTGGTCGCTGACAAGGGCTCAGACATATCAGAATCGCTTCATGGAGTCGATGTGGGTTTTGCCCTCATCCTAGTCCCACGCCATCAACTCTGATTCCAACTACTAACTGGATGAACAGTACGATGATTTCGATCTGGATATGCAACTGATGCTTTTGTCAATCATCAGAGACGAAGGGTCTGCCGACGTGGAATATCAGATCAACAAAGAAGGAGCTAAGATTCTAAAGAACCTTGCATGTGGGCACGAGCACCTGATTCCCGAATGGCACTCCGAAGTACGAGGCGTCAATAAGGCACACAGGGCCTGCAATTTCGATATGACTTTTGAAGACTACAAGTGTCATCGTCCCCCCTCGTTTGGCGGCAGGTCAGTGTTAACCTTGTTACAGGAATATTGGTGCCCTTGGCTAATGCTGCAGCAGACTATTTTCGCTCTCCGTCGCGGTGGCTTACCCTACGCAGCTGACAAAGGAGGAATTAGCTTCAGTTGAATACATCTTCAAGCACGGGTACTTGAGCGCCGCCTTGACCAATGATTTGTATAGTTTCACGAAAGAATTTGACGAGCAATTAGCGGCCGGTAAACTGCAATTCCTACAGAATGCTGTGGGTATACTCATCCGTGGCTACGGGTACAGTGAGGATGAAGCGATCCACATCATCAAAGAGGAGGTCAAGTGCCATGAACATAAATTCTTAGACGAGTTTCGAGCATGGTACACCTCGTCTGTCCCCAAGTCGGAAGGCTTGAAGAGGTATGTAACCTTCGTGCTTCTCTGCTTTGGCGGTATGTGCCGGTGGATGTCAGAGAGTACCCGCTACAGCGTGGTTTCTTCGACTACCCGAGAGGAGCGAGAACAGCTCCTCCGTCAAGATATTCAGCATGCCCCGTGGAAGCTGAGCGGATACGGCCCGCCTCAACAACAATGCCGGGATACTAAGACGGACCCATCCTCTATTCGACTCTACCACGGTGAGAAGTCGTATTCATTGGAGCCCTTTCTTGGGCCTTTTCAAGCGGCAAACACCCAGAAACTCTGCCTTGAACCGTATGAGTACACGAGGTCCGGGGGCGGCAAATCCACTTTCCCTCGATTCATCGACGCATTGCATGTTTGGTTCCCTGCTCCCGCCGAACCTTTACGGGTGGTGAAGACCGTTCTAGTCAAGATTCTCAACGCTACTCTGATGTGAGTTACCCTAGCCTGATGTCGATAGCCTGACCCCATGGCTAACCAACGAGAAGGATGGATGATATTCAGGACCGGTCTCTCTTCAGACGTGGGTTTCCAGCTGCGTATACCGTGTTTGGAATCAATCCAGTAATTAACAGCGCTACTTATCTCTATGCCAATGCCGGGGAGATGCTGCTTCACCTAGAGGATAAGCGATGCGCGCAAGTCTTTTTTGGTAAGCAGAGCTTATTCATTGGGCCTATCGCGCACTAATAATTGCTTAGACGAGCTCCACACTTTGGCTCATGGGCAAGCCCTTGACCTCGAATGGGATGATCTCACCAACTGCCCGACAGTCACCGAATACATTACTATGGTCGATAACAAAACCGGGGGCTATTTCCGGATGTCGGCTCGTTTAGTTCAGGCAACAGTAGGGTCCTGTAATATGCCGTCTAGTCTCGCCCACTTCATCACTTTATTGGGGCGCTATTACCAAATCCGTGATGATTACGAGGACCTGAAGCCGACGGAGGTAATATTATGTTTCCCTAGCATGCCTTCTCTCCGCCAGTCGACTCAATGCTAATGCCAATTTCTCTATATCTAGCACGGTGCACATTTCGGTGATGACTTGAGCGACGGCAAATTCTCGCTTCCCGTAATTCATTTCCTTCAGAACGCGCCATCTGCCAGCAAGGTGCGCCGCGTACTTTTCCACCGCTCGAACAGCTTTGAGCTAACGACCGACTTTAAACTCTGGATCTTATCCGAAATGAGGATGGCCGGTAGCTTAGCCTATACAGAACACGTCCTGGAAACGCTGTACATTGAGCTACGGAGGACGCTGAGCCAGGTAGAGGCGGAGCTGGGCCCGAATAAACTGATGAAAGTATTTCTTCTTGCCCTGAAAGTATAACAGCCAGTCATTCCAATGGCCTTGTTCTTTCTGCAAAGGAGCGTGGGTTCTATAATGAGCGAATGAGGTTAAGTTGTGTATCATGCGCTACTTCTTTCATCATCGCTCATCTACGCTGTGACAGTAATTTCCAACTGCCGCCATGTTATTTTGAACTTGCGAGGGCGCTCGGCGCCAGAACAATCTGTCATTCTTAATCTTAGGTGATTAGTCTCATGGTAGATATAGAGAAGATATGACTGATCCAACCTTCAGGGACAACGTAGGTGACCCAATCGTGTATTTATGTTCTCCACATCTCTGGATACAATCAACTTCGAGAACCTGGAGAAAGACATGTAAGCCGATCAAAGTCTTCGATCTGGCGAGAAAGTCAAGTATGTATGTATGTATGTAAGATTGATGGAAAGGAGTGGATTCTGGTTAGATTGTCAGGTATAATACATTGAAGAAATAGAGCAAAAGAAGAGAAAGTCGTTTGCTGCCGAATTCAATCATCTTCTTTATAACCCCATCACGAAGGATCGAGTTTACCACCCCTCCAAAACACTCATCTTCACCAAAACCCCATCCTTCGGACAAATCGTCGCACCTTGCCTCACCTCTAACTTCTTTCCTGGGTCCGCAAACACCATCTCGAATCGACCCACCAAAGACGCCACCAGACATGCTAGCTCCGCCTTCGCGAAGCCCTGACCGATGCAGCTGCGCGGACCGTGCAGGAAGGTCAGATAGGCGTAGTTGTTCGTCGCGCCGCCGGTGTTGGCGCGGCCCGGACCCAGCCACCGCTCCGGGTTGAACTGGTCGGCGTCGGCGCCCCAGAGCTCCTTGTTGCGGTTGATGACGGTGGCAGCGACGTTGAAGAGCGTGCCCTTGGGGATGTGTGTGTTGACGAGGGTGGTGTCGCGGTCGGCGACGCGGACGGTGGAGGGCACTGAGGGGTAGAAGCGCATGACCTCGTTGCACACGGCGCTGAGGTAGGGGAGCGCGTCGAGAGTGCTGGCGGATAAGGGCTCCGGGTGATCGGTTGAAATGGAGGGGAGGCTGGAGCGGACTTCGTCGCGGAGACGGGCCTGGACGTCTGGGTGCTTGCAGAGGGCGTAGATGACCCATTGCAGGGCGGTGGAGGTGGTTTCGTGCCCGGCGCCCAGGAAGGTCATCATCTGGTCGATGAGCTCTTCTTCGGTGAAGGTGCCGCTTCGGAGGGCGACGGAGAGAATGTCGACGCCGGTGGCGCCGGTGTTGGAGTCGAGCTTTTGCTGCTTCTCGCGAATCATTTGGCGTGCGACACTGCGGATCACCTCGGAGGCGCTCATGATGTCGTCGTTGCGTTTCACAGGGAGCTTGTTGAGCCAGCGGAGGCTTCCGATCATCATCGCGAGGACGTATAGCAGTTTCATGCTGAGGGGAGGGTCAGACATGATCTTCTGGTATTGTTTCTGGAGCTCGTTGTTGGGGCTGCGGAGGGCCTCGAAGTCGTGGTCCATTCCCGCTACTCCGATGATATCCAGCGTAGCTCGAGTGGACCAGGTGCCAATGCAGACGACGTTATCCGTCGGGTCGGCGCGGTTCTTCAGGTCATGCTCGATGCCTTTGGCCATCTCGATACTTTTGGCCCAGAAGATGGGGTAGATTTCTTTGATGTGGCGGTAGGCAAATGCCGGCATAAGGTTCTTTCTTTGTCTCTGTTCCGATGTCAGCTATCGGTTCAACATCATGGTGTCGTGATTCCCACCTTATGTTCTTCACCCTCAACCAACAACAAGCCATGCTCACCCGTGACGCGTGCGAAACTGGCCCGGATGATTTCCGGCTTCGGGAACTCGTACACCTTGTGCGCCAGCAACTCGCTCAAAGACTTGGGGTTAGTCAGGAGCACCCGTTCCAGGTTTCCGGCGATATAGTAGCGGATCAAGCCGTTATTTGGGATAGTCTCGACCCATTTGCGCATCTCGTCGAACGGCGACTCGATGAAGAACGAGCTCGAATTTCCCGTGAGCCATGATCGGTGCTATGGATAGTCAGGACCCGAACACATCCAAGCCAAGGCTTACGGAACGAAAAATTGCTTACCGGAGGCGTTGGGATATGACCAATGGAAGAAAAATACTCTGGATACAAGACCAGCTTGTAAAACAACTTGGCCACGGTTGCGACGAAGGAGAGTAGAAAGAACATTCCCACAGTCGACCGAGTGATCGTGTAGGCCGCGATCCCGATATAGACCGTAGACCAAGGAAGGCCGGCCATGATTGTTTGCTGTGTTCACTGATCAAGGAGAAGAGGACTGTGTAACGAGAAATCTTCGTGTTCAGCGAGATATAGTCTCGTACCACTCTCGGGAGTATGTGTTGAAGAAGAGAAGGTTATCCACGGCCGTTTATATAGGTAGAAACCGATCCGATCGGGGAGATTCAAAGCCGACACGCCCACAGCCCGTGCAGAGGCTTACAGCGATCTCCAACACGCTACCAAAGGTACTGCATCGTAACGGAACTAGCCCGGGCTCCACTTGTCGCGGTCTTCCATGATGTTTTATCTCATTCATCCACGAGGATTGGGTCCGGAAAGTCATCGCGGCCGCAGACCTGAGAGCACGAGGACCGGGATCGTAAGATATCCGACCGTTACTGATCGGGTTTTAACGTGGCTTGGAAGTTGGAGGGCAGCGAGCATCAATGAAAGGATGACAAGAAGAGAAGGATTCCCGTCGATACAAACACGTCGGTGCTGATTGGCTCGCACGTGAGGGTCCGCAAGGTTGGCTGGATCGGGACTAGTGGCTTGGCGGGTTGTCGAATTGTCCGGGGAATCGCCTGCGCCCTCTTTTGTCGGGTCACTTTCTTAGTCTTTTTGTGTTCTCTGGTGGACTCACAGTGCGCAGTACAACATTATATTATAACTAGAATCCTAGAAAGATTTCATTTCGCCTAACTTTAGAACAACTTCATATCCAAAACCTGTTCTCAGACTAATGAAACACTCTATTTTTATCTCCCCCTGAATATCTCTTACTGACATCTGTGGTTCTTCAGCCGGACCATGAATCGCTTCTCAAATTCCATGGTACCCCGATAAGATAAGCGATAAGATAGGGATAACTCAACCTCGGCGGTGATGAATGCGATTACCAAGCAGCGACTGTCATGATGTCATGCACTGGAATTCCACATTCCATTTATGTCTCTACTGCCCTCCCTTCCTTTCAACACACTCCAGAAAGCATAATAGATCAATCATGGCTCCTCAATTCCACGACATTGTGAACAAGCCCGCCCCGGGCATCCCCTACTTCACTCCCCTCCAGGATCCGCCCGCAGGGACCGCCGCAAACCCTCAATCGGACGGCGCCCCGATCCCCAAACTGTTCCAGCCCCTCTCGGTGAGAGGGTTGACGTTCCACAATCGTCTCGGAGTAAGTTGAAAGAGATCGGGCTCGACTCGAGCATGGCTCTGACAAGCATACCAGCTCTCTCCCTTGTGCCAGTACTCTGCCGACGATGGCCACATGACGCCCTGGCATATGGCCCATCTGGGTGGAATTGCCCAGCGCGGGCCCGGATTTCTGATGGTCGAGGCCACCGCTGTCGAGGCGGAGGGCCGTATCTCCCCTCAGGATGTGGGATTGTGGAAGGACTCGCAGATCGAGCCCATGAGACAGGTGATTGAATTCGTGCACAGCCAGAACCAGATCATCGGCGTACAGATCGCCCACGCCGGTCGGAAAGCGAGTACCGTAGCGCCGTGGCTGTCGTTCACTGAGGCAGCATCTAACAATGCTAGTGGCTGGACGGACCGCGTCAAGGGGCCCAGCGGTGAGCCATTCAGCGACCGCTACCCGATCCCCACGCAAATGACCAAGCAGGATATCGAGCAGTTCAAGAAGAACTGGGTGGCAGCGGTGAAACGGGCCATTCGCGCGGGCGCCGATTTTGTCGAGATTCACAATGCCCACGGATACTTGCTGATGTCGTTCTTGTCGCCTACGGCGAACACGAGAACGGACGAATACGGTGGTAGCTTTGAAAACCGTATCAGACTGAGCATGGAAATTGCGAAACTCACCCGCGAGACTGTTCCCGAGAATATGCCCGTGTTTCTGCGCGTGTCAGCGACGGACTGGCTGGAAGAGGTCCAACCGTCGCAGCCGAGCTGGCGACTTGAGGACACCATCAAGTTTGCGCAGGCGCTGGCAGAGAGCGGGGCCATCGATCTGCTAGATATCAGCAGCGGTGGAACCAACGCTGCCCAGAAGATCAAGCCGGGACCTGGGTTCCAGGCACCGTTCTCCGTCGCCGTGAAGAAGGCGGTTGGCGATAAGCTGTTGGTGGGTGCTGTCGGTACGATTGACACGGGTCACTTGGCCAACTCGTTGCTCGAGAAGGAGGGTTTGGACTTTGTTCTGGTGGGACGTGGTTTCCAGAAGAACCCATCGCTGGCATGGACTTTTGCTGAGGAGCTTAACGTGGAGATTTCCATGGCCAGCCAGATTCGCTGGGCTTTCTCACGACGGGGTGGTGGACCTTTCCTGAAGAAGAGACAAGAAAAGATCTAGACCTAGACATGTTAGAACTTCTTGAAATTTTGATAGTTAGAATTGGGCCGTTGACTGATTATAAAAAGCTTTACATATTTTAAAATGAAGCCGAGGCCGCACATATTGGACGGGGGATCACCACGTAATCAGGCTGATTTTCACTCATTTCTTACCATCTGAAGTACTTCTGCATAAAAAAGGATGAGCGCGTCGATGGTATCCTGTAAGGGGTCTCACGTGGCATGAAGACCACATGTCAAGGTTATAGGAAGTCTAGCCATCAAAAGTCTGCATTGAAATCCGTCAAGTCATCGAGCGCTTGCAAGGGATCTCTAGATTGTCTGAAAGCGGGCAAGTCAATGAGAGTTGTCTCAAAATTTGTGACACTAAAAGCTAGATACAAATTGTTTCATATCCAGGTTCCTTATCCATTGATTTACTAAACATGGAAAGAGCAAAATATATGACTTAGATATAGGCAAAAGAACTACTCAACAAACTGACATTAATTGACCAAAACATATTCTAGGAAAAGATGAAAAATCTATATCAAAAATTAATAATGCAAATATATAGAAATACGTTATGTGAGCCCAACGATGATATCCATCGGCCAACCTAAGCCGCAAGTGGCATCCAGCAACCTGGGAGAGACTATGTAACCTCTACTACCGATACTCCAGAATTTGGGCTGTTATTAAGACCCCCGGTTCACATAACAATCATAACACAAGTTTGGCATTACATACAATCGCTATATTCGGGTCATCGTTTTGATTTCAATCCCAATTTAATAGACATAAATGACGGAAGCAACAAGCTAATGCAAGAGACTCTCTTGTGTCTTTCTTAGCGCTAATGTGTCCGTCGGTCTATTGTTTTGAAATATCTTGTTCTTTTCGACTGCCGCTAGGCTAGCTAGTAAGAATAGATAAAACAGTGGCTTTTCGGACATGCAGATCGTTTACGAAAAGATAGAGTTAACTAGCTCTATACTTGATTATTACTCGCTGTAAACCTAGGCTGCTTATATCGGACCCCTGTAAGATTCCCGTAGAAGGTAAGAATCGTCTCGACGATGGTTCAATAATAACATCCAATCTTCGAGATAATGTTCATTTTGGTTGACATAAGGCACTGAAATATCACGAAAGGCAGCCGTTAATTCAAAAACTGATCAATATTCATCTCGCTGCCTTAGCGCCACAGATTAGTGAATCCCACACTGCAACAGGATTTATGACGCGGTGGCTGTTAGCGAAAACCTGGAGCTCGCTTAAGAGAGTTCTCGGAGGCTCTTTTTCGGGAGTCGGCAACATGTGTATATAATCATAGCTAGTCCACGACCAGTAATCAAAAAGCATTATTTCAGTGACCCACTCTCACCTGTCAACTGCAGAAAATGCATACCGTAACCATGTACGGCTGAAGGGTCCCCACATTCCGCAAGCAACATAACATTAGTTTCCCAAATTTAACACAACAATCAAAACACACCCCATGCGTCAATTCCAAGATCGGAAGAATATAGGCCTAAGTAAAACGCCACTTTCCTTGAAAATCCCCGCTCTACCGTAGTCAAACCGAGGTTTCGTCCAGCGGGAGACATAGGACCGCTCCCTCCCTTTGACATCACGGCAGCCGCATAAAATTGACGGACTCTAAACTCTCCTGCATCCGTCGTACCCGTGGTAGTACCACGGGTGGGATATTGCTCTGGAGGAAAGACCGTTCTAGTGCCTTAGATCATGTGCAGGCTTAAATCTAATAGCTTGTTTAGAGTTTACTCTTACCCTGGCCTCGCAATATGAGTGGCGTTGCTTTTGGATAAGCTGGTTACGCCTCGAGGTATATACGTGAGCTACGAATGTTGATTTAAGTTATGTGTTTTAAGCCTCAGTGTAAAGCTTAGGCGCAAGTCTCAAAACGATTAAGTATTAAGAATAATCCGATCTCTTTGTTCTAATAGACCAAAATGGACAATCTGCCAATATCACAGCCGAGGACGGCAACCACACTTATAATGTAGTATTCTTGGTTATGATGGATCGGTCGTCCAAAAAAGCACTGCCCTACGCGGGTAATACGGCAAAGAAGCTTTTAAGAAAATCCTAATGACGTGCACATTGCAAAGCTTGCTAACGGTTTGCGGACAATGATACTATCCTCAACCTGATCCACCCTATCTTGTGCACATATAAAGGCTAATGAAAACCCCCATTGATGAGGCCCTAGATAATTGATTATCTTTCAAGTGTATGTAATCACAGAACATTCACTCCACAAGATGTCACAAATTCAAGAGAAAACCATGAAGGCTATCGTTTGGGAAGGTAAACCCTTCCAGTTGGCTTCGAGAGACAGACCTGTTCCGCATATCAAGGATGCAAATGATATTGTCATCCGTATCACAACAGCTGCAATATGTGGAACAGATTTACACATGTATCACGGCCTCTTCGGCAGCAAAACGCCTCCGTGGATCATGGGCCACGAAGGACTTGGCACAATTGTGGAGGTAGGAGACGGGGTAAAATCCCTCAAGGTCGGAGATCGCGTACTGGCACCTGGAGCGATTTACTGTGGATACTGTGAAAATTGCCATCGTGGTTTACTTACCTATTGCCTCACATTCAACCCACCCACGCTCGTTGATTTTCCTGGGTTTGGGGAAGACTTTGGACCAAACCTAGGCGGTGCCCAAGGTATCCATCGCCTGGCTCAGTCTGTAAAAAGAAATCCCCATAAACAGAATCTATACTGATGAAGTTGTCTAGCGGAGTACATTCGTGTTCCGTTCGCAGACACGTCGTGTCTGAAGCTCCCTTCATCAACGGAGCATGACCTCGACTATATCATCCTGACCGATATCTTCCCATCAGCCTGGCACGCAATTGACTGCTCAGACTTTCAAGCGGGAGATACAGTGGCGGTCTTTGGCGCTGGCCCACTGGGGCTACTTTCTGCCTACTCGGCTATACTACGTGGAGCAAGCACGGTCTATTCAGTTGATCATGTTCCTTCTCGACTGAAGAAAGCAGCCTCGATCGGTGCTATCCCTATTGATTTCACCAAAGGGGACCCTGTTGATCAAATCCTAAAATACGAGCCACGGGGTGTGCGGCGCAGCATCGATTGCGTGGGGTTCGAGTGCGTGAACAGCAAGCTTGAGCCGGAAGAAAACCTAGTCTTCAATAATTGTATCAAAGTTACGGAGGCAACGGGGGGGATCAGCCTTTATGGAGTATACCCTCCTTCTCCGGGCCCAACAGCAGGAACGCCTCTATCAACGGATAAACAAGGAGAGTTTCCTGTGCTTGTAGGGCTTCTCTGGTTCAAGGGTCTTTCAGTCCGAGGCGGCGTGGCTGAGATACAAAGATTTCAGCCCATGCTACAGAAGTTGATTGAGAACGGCAAGGCAAGGCCAAGCTTTATAATTGACGAGGTTCTTTATAGCCTTGATGAAGTACCCCGCGCGTATGAACGGTTCTCCAGTCACAAGATCGGAAAGCCAGTTATACAGTTGGGTTCTTGATCTAAAGGCACAGCTTCCAGGGAGTAAATCTGTATCCGTGGCCATGTTAGCTTAGGGCTTAGGGTCGGAAAGCTGAAAAGTTCGTTCTGTTCTATAGGTAGCTGTAAGGGAATTATCATTAATCATTATGGAATATACCAACCGTGGACATAGGGAGATCTTCTGAAGCTGAAGCTGGAGAGGTCAGAGTTCGCCTCTGTCCAAGTGACATATACACTATCTAGCAGTAGGAAATACACACACACACACAAACAATTTACTAACGACCAGCTTCTAAGAGAAAAAGGCAACTAATACTAATCTATCATATATAGTTAATCCGAACAGCCCTCGGGTCTTATAAGATACCATCCGAACGTAATCTGCTTCTGACGGTACTGTGCCCGAATCTCTCCATTACATCTCGTTGCTTTGTCCTCTGTGAAAGTTTAGCAGTCCTTCGTTGAATAACCTAGATTCTTCTTGATTTGATTATAGGGCGCATACTGCTCCATGGTAAGCTTTTTGAGGATCCCTTAATGCTACTAAAGAGGAGCTATAGGTATATATTTACCTGTGAGTTCTACATATTGCTAAGCATACGTGTGCTAGCATATTCTTGAAAGAAAATTTAAAATGATTTGGTACCAGGACGTTTTGGATATGTGATGCATTCGAAGCTGTGTTGTTTGGCTGCTTCGATAATTGAAAGGTTCGGTGAATGCTGGTGGTTTAAACCAGCCCCTTCGCGCCTTCCTCACAGTATTCTAGGGTTTGATAAACTTGATGATGAAAAGCGTTGATATTGCCAAGCCAGTAATCTTACTATATCCTTTCGTATAAGATGTTTCTGGTTTAGAAAGAGACCTCTGCTAGTGCGATTTAATCACCCTGAACAGGAGTTGCGCCCGCCTCTAGAAGTATTGCTACAACCTGTGGATGATCCCGTTGAATAGCTGACGTCAATGCATTAGCATAAACACCACCAGAAGCATTCACATCAGCACCAGCTTGCAGTAAGATCTTCACCAGATTTTCCCTTCCATATCTCGCTGCAGCCTGGAGCGCATTCCCATGATAGCCGCCTTGAAAGTTAACATCTGCACCAGCGGCCAACAGAGCCTGGACAGCACCTTCACTTCCATAATGAGCTGCTGCTTCGAGTGCACACCCATACATAGAGCCCCCTGCGTTCGGACTAACCCCTCTAGCCAAAAGAAGCTGGACTATCTCCACGCGTCCATATTCAGAGGCTGTACACAGTGCACGATTCGCCGATGAGAGGTCGAAATGCTCTTGCGCGGAAACATGATCTAAAAGCATTCGCATAATCGCTGGACTCCCAAGAGCGGCATGGGTCAAGGCATTTCCGTGTACGCCTCTATGTCCCGTGACATCTGCTCCGTATCGGAGAAGTAGTTGAATGACGGTTACATTTTCCCTGCATCCCCCCACAGCAACCTGCAGTGGGGTTGTAGCTTGTCCATCCTGCATGTTGACATCTGCTCCGTTTCTCAAAGTCTCCTCTAGTCGAGGAATGTCGTTTTCTCTGACAGCTTGATGAAGGTGGGTGGTTTGCAGGTCAGCGTGTGGAAGGAAATAATCATAGTCGTCCAAATCGTCAAACATCCTATGAGACCCGCAGAGTTAGGAACAGCAGGTACTTTCTCAAGGATAAGGCATAACATACATGAAGAGAAGTTTGTATGGCAGTAGGTGCTCTGATACCAAGTGTTCCAGATGTGTACCAGAACTCAGTCCATTAGTTTGGGGCAGCGATGACTTTATGCCACATTTTACCCCGCTCTGAGCTCCAAGTTCTTCTCCGCTATGGCCTCTCCTCCTCCGTCAGGACACAGAAGGCTGTCGTGGTACTTTTGTCACCGGCCTGCGGGCCACTCACAATGCCAATCTCGAGTTCGTGCTCAGGGCTGTGATCCCCAGCTGCCCCGCTTCCTCCCAGTTGCCAGCGTAATTCGATAGCAAGGCGAGGGATGCATTTCATACAGGAGATACTCACTACGCATAAAACATCTCCGATTTCTATGAGTGCCTTTTCTCGAAAGAACTGCAAAGTTGATCGGCTCTTCCGGGCGGAACATCCGAGCCGCCCCGATCCGCGTTTTGAGGCCTACTCACTCTGTAGTAAGTAGTAAAACTTTTGACGTAGAAGTTGCAAATTGATGAAAGTGGAGGAAGTTTTGGCTTTCCAATAGCCAGGATTGGCTATCAATCGCCCGTAGTGGCGGCGGATAGGCTGGACCGTCCATCAACATCCGATAATGAAGTCTAATAGCTCTGCTATAAAGACTTGATGTACGTAACCCTCTGTGAAATCCCCAGGCATGAGTAGGATTCGATACTGGAACGTTCTCGCAAATTCCTTTACTCTGCCACCGCCACAACTCTTTCTTTCGAGACCGATCATGGCATTCCAGAAGACAAATCTTTCTGCTAGAGGCGAGGTCTTTGCTGAGCCGAAGAGTAAGATCCAGTTATTGGAAGTTGTCTGCGACCTGAGGCACCCGGAAACGAATCCAGGCGGGTATATTAGTCTGGGCGTTGCTGAGAATGTGAGCAATTTCTCTTCAAGGTGGTTCAAACCACTTCAATTACTGATCCTGTGCAGACCTTGATGCACGATGAGATAACCGAGCATATGAACCAGAATGTAAGTGACTTCAGCCTTCGCACGTTACATGTGCTCATTGTCCGAGAAGTTTGCCGTCGACAGCCATTCTTTAACTTATGGAGACGGCTTTTCCGGCTCCTATCGCCTTAGAGACACGATTGCACAGTTCATCACTCGCCAATTCAACCCCGTCAACCCAGTTACCAACAACCAGCTACTTGTCACCTCTGGCGTGGGCCAGGCAATTGAGCTCTCCGGGTTCTGTCTCCTGGACAAAGATGACGGCGTCCTGCTAGCTCGCCCGCACTATGGCAATTTTCCAATTGATTTGGGCTACCGAGTCGGGTAAGTGGCTGGCATCCGGATAAACGTCATACTGAATCTGCTGACATGAAGTAAGAGCCAAGATAATCGGTGTCTCTTTTGGTGAAATGGATCCTTTCGGTCCTGAGACGGTGGGCATCTATGAGAAGGCTCTTGCGGATGCCCAACGCCGAGGGATTCGCGTCAAGGCCTTTTTGCTATGTAACCCGCAAAATCCCTTAGGTGAGTACGCACCCTCGAACTTTTCACACATCTTTTGATCCACTAGGACAGGCCGTTGCTACACTCGAGAGGTCCTCGAGATCTATATGCGATTCTGTCAAAAGCATAATCTACATCTTATCGCCGACGAGATTTATGCTCTATCAACTTGGAAGAACCCAGACTTTCCCGATGCCCCTAGCTTCACATCAGTTCTTTCTGTCAAGAAAGAAGGTCTGATTGACCCAAGCCTCGTGCATGCCCTTTGGGGAATGAGCAAGGTCTGAGCCTCAGCTATGTTGCTTGGGTGGGATATACTGACTTTGGTATAGGACTTCGGGTCCAATGGAATTAGACTTGGCTGCGTGATCAGTCAGGACAATGTGAACTTCCTCCGTGCTGCTGAAGCAAACTCCTATTTCTCTTGCCCTTCGTCTCTGTCAGACTTGGCCACCTCACGTATCCTCTCTGACGATGCCTGGGTGGAATCCTTTATACAAACAAATCGCCAGCGCCTAGCGGAAAACTATACCATCACGATCCGGTTTTTGGAAAGCCATCAGATCCCTTACAAAAAGGGTGGGAATGCTGGCGTCTTTGTTTGGGTTGACTTATTTGATCCTATCCGAAGACAAGTGAATGCCACTTTGAAAAAGCAGGCAGAGGCAAGCGTGTCATCTGAAAATGCCGCAAGGGCTCTCGAGACTAAACTCCAAGAGAAGCTGCTGAAGCACAGAATCTTCCTAGCCCTGGGAGCTGACTTTGGGGGCGATGTGTCTGGCTGGTACCGGATCGTGTTCGCTCATGAAAAGGAGTATCTCAGGCTGGGCTTAAACCGTATAGTTGAGGCTCTTGAAGGCTTCCGATGCGAACTTGACACAGGTCTAGCATAAGTTTCAGTGGCTGGAATAAGTTTGAGATAAAAAAGGGGTGGGTTCCCTTCATGGGAGCCCCTCAATTGATCGTGTCCCACTTAGATCATTGGTCACCAGCAATTCGACTTTTGCAAATTCTTCAATTAAAATGCGTGGGCCTGCCATAGACCAGCAAGAGATGATGTTTTGCATAGTTCTATCTACTTCTCGCCCATATTTCAGCACTAATGCTAGCACACCAAACAAATCATAACCGCTCTAAAGATGATATCCTTGCTCTTTATCTAGGCAGTGCTACACTTCAGGATGTTTGTACCTCTATAAGCTCTCGGAAGTCTCTTAACACCTCGTCTCGTACGATGAAGAGCTGACCAGCGTCATTCTAGAATCAACCTCAAATGTCATGATACTCTCATTGATTATGTAGTTAGAAGCATATAACTAGGATTTTGTTGATGTGATTGGTTGATTGGTCTGGAGGTTGGATCCCCCCATACTATATCTTCCAGGTTTTCCACATTGTCTCTCTTTCCTTTCCTTTCTCATCTTTATTGAGGTAATTATTTTGTTTGATGCACTCCTTTCTTTCCTCATTGGTTTAGTTGAAAACCTCGACCGGAGGATTTTGTCTGCTAGCAGTAGGCCACGTTACTCGAAGCTCGTTGCCCCCTTGTTCCTCTTCCTCGCTACGGCACCGTAGTACTTAGAGACGTATGGCACCGGTGCCAATAAGGTTGCGAAGACACACTGAGCAACACGACAGAGCTCCTGGATTACTCGTCTTCGGGGTCCTTACCCCGCATTATCGTGTTAATGTTATGCCCACCAGAGCACTCGCCGCGTTAATCTCGTAGCTATCAATGGTGTACTGATAGCATGAGATATAGAGTTGCATGACCGCGAAGCCGAAGGTTACACTGGCCACAGGGGGCGACCAGAGACTGACATTGGGCCAACTTGTTCCAACCCATCCAGAAGATGCTAATCGGCAGAACAGGCGCCCCAATAATTGCATGGGTAGGACTTTACTCTGGCACGACTCTGTGTTTTCCTTGCGAGCCTCAAACAGCTTACATTTGAAGCGAACATAGGCCGGCCAGATTGTACAGATCTGGAGGTTTAGCTTGTCCGTATGCGCCTATAACTCCTTAGAAAGACTGACAAACCGATAGAAGAAAGCCAACATTGATACCAATGTACTGACAATATACACTGGATTCCTTCCCAAGATCTCAGAAAACGGCGCACTACTCCAGCTCCCCAGACCGAAAGCAATCATGAACAGCGCTGTGCCGAGGAAAGCGAGGCAGCGACTCCATGACAGTAATTCCTTGTCGATATGTTTTATAGGTTCTAACAAATGTACGAGAATCACAGCACGGGGGCTAGTTAGCTGAGCGCGTTGGCGGGCTCATTTGGTATATTTGTTCAGGGTCGGAACCAGGCGGATCATCCGATTGGAGCTTGCCGATCCGCCCCGACCGTCTTCCGTCCACGTCTCGAAGCATCGTTTCTTGTTGAGACATTCACCGAACCAGGACCCGTCCGACCACATGGCGGAACAGTCGGGAAGTACTAGGGGAGCGCCGCGTCATAGGGCTCTCAGGGCATGTGAGCCTTGCAAGCACAGGAAAAAGCGCTGCGATGGCACGGAGCCGTGTGTCACCTGCGTAAGATACCAGCACAAATGCTACTTCTCCCTCGAATCGCATGTTCGACTCAAGCGAGCTCTCAGTCAAACATCCAGGCCGGAACAGACTGCCCCTAGATCCAATCCTGCAGCATTGGGGACCGGACCGACTCTCAAACGGCATGCGGAAGGCAAAGGCCGACAGCTCGGGCGGTCTCGAGAGGCCATCTCTCGAGAAGCCCTCTCTTATGCTTCGTCTAGCAAGTCGCTCGTAGATAGACTACAAGCACACCGTTACGGCGAAGAATCCGACCAGAGGATGCAGTCCGCGCCGTTGTTGGGACCTTCCGCTGAGAATGACGCGACTGCGACGTTGACTTCAGCTCTATCGTTGGACCATATGCAACAGTTCGCAGCAACTTACTTTGAGAGTGTGCATCCAGTATACTCCTTCATGCGCCCAAATCTAGTTCACGAGATGATAGCTGCAAGGTTTTCCTCTCCAGGCGGGGCTCAACCATGTGATGCTATTCTCTTTGGCATAGCTGCCCTTGGCTCGCTTTTTAGCGATGATGTTGACGCAACCCAAGAGAAAAGGCACATGGCTCTTGCTCGAAATGCACAAGCCTGTCTAGATGCTGACATTACACGGACTTCCACACCAAGCTTCGACCTAATATCAGCGTTGGTGCTCAAAACGCTATATCTGCGCTCAACTGCCCGAACCTATGCCACGTGGATTACAAGCTGCACGCTCATGCATAGCGTCGCTATGATGGAGGCAGATATCGAAGGCCTGGATAGTATCGCAAAGTGTCGGGACTTATACTTTGAGCCCCGGCGGACATTGTGGATCGCACGCTTGTTGAACACTTGGATTGCAAACCAGTGTGGTCGGTCGCCAATCAAGACTGCTTTTGATACCTCAATTGTACCACCGACGCCTTCCGATCCTGTTTCTGCTACGCCAGAAGAACAGATGATTTACCTTTATCATATCTCGGAGGAGCTTTCTCCGGATAATCAACCCACATATGAGGAAATCGAACTCGGTATCATAAAGCTAGCTGCGCTCAATTCCCAGCAGTGCCACGACGGGGTTTTGCTATCGCGTACTATAATGGCTCTCTCTTTCCATCGCGTTCTACGATCAAGTGAGAACGCTGATATGGACAGGCAGACATTCGCTCGTCTGGTTGAAATTGGGCTTGATGGTCTACAAGCAGCGAAGCGCCTTGCGCAGCGCCGAAAACCTTGGTGGCATCTAGCCAATGTTCCTTTCCAATTTCTCTGCGCTATGCTCGTCATCGATACATCGAGCTCGTTTGCACAAATCCCAACAGCCTTGCAAGTATTCGAAGACGTGGCGCGTGCCATACCTAGCTCGACGATAACGGAAGCGTTGAAACTCGCAACGAAATTAATTGGTCTCTCAAAATTGCAGAAGACCGAGCAGCTCCAACACCTCGACCAATGCTCCGAGTCTCTTCATCAACATACGTCCCAGTCCGAAGCTACTTCTGACGAGGATGTGCAGATACAGCCTCCAGTGGCCGGGCTTTCCGTGCCATGGGAGATGTTCAATATGGAAGAACTAGGGGGGTTCAGCAGTTTCGATTGGAGCTTACCTAATATGGATATACCTATATTCGATTGCGACATTCCAAATCCTATCATTGAATCTTAACAATCCTTCTCCGGGGAGTTGAAAAATATTTAAAAATGTTTCGAAAACGCTTGGAAATCACTACAAAAAGTAATATCTTCTCGGATCTATAGATATAGGGAGATAGAAAATTATAACCTTTTTAGGTTGGAAGTCGTATATTATAATAACACGATGCTGGCCAATTCTCAACTTATCGCAGCACACTTAGGTTGAAGCGTAAAAGTGGCCAATGAACGAATTACCTGGTTGCCCAATTTGGTCATTGGCCACCTGGCCACCGTAGCACGTCGGAGCACGTCGGAGCACGTCGGAGCACGTCCACAACATGATGAGTTTGCAACGTGGCAATTGTTGGACCTGTTAGACCTGAAGCTTCCGCGGATCATCCGACCCGACTAGGTAACCCGACCCGCTCCTTTCAATAGTTCAAGTAAAGTACAACTGATTCTTCAGCGGCATATATCATAGCTACATCCCCTGTGGTAGTCTATGGCCGATGCCTTCATACGCATCCAGAGTCGATTAGTATACGAGAAAGAACAAGAGGCTCCTGTGCTTTTTGAAGCATTACTCAACCTCCAAAATGTTCGGCATGACGCCTACTGAAGCCACTCGGATGGCCGTTATTAAAGTTGGTATCATAGGGTCGGTTAGGGTCATTTACACTTCGCTCTTGGAACGTATTCTAACTGTTGATAGATGTGGCATGATCACGCAAGTCGTTCATGTGCCCTCTCTGAACTCCCTCTCCCATCTATTTCAGGTCACATACCTTTGCGATGTCTCCGAGGAAGCTATGAAACATAGCCAGCTCAAGATTGCAGGTAGCTGCAGGCCCAAGACTACCCGAAGCGTCGCAGAACTATGCAATGCGCCGGAAGTAGAGCTAGTGTTGATAGCAAGCAATCATGCTTTCCACGCATCCGACGCAGTAGTCGCGCTGCAAGCCAACAAATACGTCTTCATCGAGAAGCCAATTGCTTTAACTTTACAGGATACGGACCGAATCATTGCTGCGAACGAAGCTGCAGGTGGGGCTAGAGTATTCATTGGTTACATGAGGAGATATGCTGCAGCTTTCGTCGACGCAGTCAAAGAAGTTCGAAGCATTGAACAAATACGCTATGTTCGCGTCCGAGATATCATTGGGCCGAATTCTGTCTTCGTGGCACAATCCGGGACGTATCCAAGGACATTTAACGATTATCGCGAGGCGGATTCAGAAGCGCTATGTACAAAATCACGTGATGACATTGAGCAAGCTCTCCAAGCCGAGCTTGGAATTGCCGTCACGAAAGAGACAGGTACGATGTGGGAGATGCTCTCTATCCTTGGCTCACATGATCTGAGTGCTATGCGGGAGATCATGGGTATGCCCAAGGGTGTCATAGGATTCTCACCTTGTGCCACTGTCGGGTCCCCATTTTGGAGGTAAATTTCACTTCGAGACAAACACTGTCTTGGCCAGGCTAACGATGCCATTGCAATTTTCCAATACCCCAACTTCGCGGTCGCATACGAGTCGGGCGTCGACCAAGTCGCAAGATTCGACGCCTCGATAGAGATTTTTGGTGACACCAAGACTGTTAAGGTGTGCATCGATTCTCCGTTCATCAAAGGCTTGCCCACAACGATGGTAGTTAAGGAGACTTTACCGGACGGGTCGTATAAGGAATCCACCACGCGACGGACATACGAAGATCCTTTCATGCTCGAGCTAAAGGAAGTGTACCAATGGGTCGCGGAGGGGAAGATTCTAAAGACCACTCCGTCTGATGCTAGACAGGACCTCGAGATCTTGGGGATGCTGATGAAAGCTGTGACGGCATGGAAGGTTTAGCGGTATACCCAGATATTGAGGGTGGGGGTGCTAAATGTTATTACTAACCGCTATAGTAAGCTTACTACATTTACTTAATATCCTGACTGTTCTACTTTATGTCTTATATCTACCGCTCTGCTTTAGAAGTTTGCTTATGGGGTCATTAGTGCAGATCATGAAACACAGATAGTTCAATAATTAGTATACAGTGAGTCGAAAACAGATTCTACCATGGACGCACACACATTATTACTAGGTCCGTATCCGAAACCGCTCGATTATGCATTAGGCCTGACTGCAAACTTCAGCCTTTTAGGGAAAATCATGTTCGGGGCCCGTTTTATGAGCAGATCAACCTTAGGTGTGCCTTGTATAACAAGGGTATCCTTAGACTTTTCGGCTAACTTTGCCATTATGGATAATCCAGGCGAGGTTCGCTCTGATCGTATTCTAAAGACCAATTCTGCCTACGGGATTGCTCAGTTGTATGATGATGAACCATTTCAATGCCTGGCAAAACCAATATGCTCCCTAAATGACATGAACAAACCCTCCCCCACCCTCATCTAGTTACTCTAGAAGCAGCGCACCCAAAGACTCAACATAACTATACCTTAACCCCCTTCCTCGCAACAATAACCCGCAAGTCCACGGTAGGCCAAAACATATCATACTCCTTCTCAACTTCCTTAATCCACTCCTCCATCTTCTCCCAAGCCTCCTGCATACTCCCCACTCGCCCGGACTGTACCATGACATGCGGAATCGTTGTTCTCCAAATCGTCCCTAGCCATTCTCTCGCCTGACCGCGCAGATCCGCTCTGTCGAGAACAGAATAGGTATGTGTTTCAACCCGAGCGAATCCAACCTTCTTTGCGACGTGTTGGATCTTGTGTGGAGGGTTCAGACAGAATCCGACGTGCGACATGCCTTCGTTTGTGAGTACGACGATATTAGAGATAGTTTTGAGTTCGAGGCTAGGGAGTTGGATTCTGCCGAGGGTCGAAGAGTCGGTTTCTGTCCATTGGAGGTAGCCGTTTGGCCCTGCGGTTTTGTAAGCGAGAGGAAAAGTGAGAGGAGCAGCGCGGATTAAGAATGGAAAAGAAGAAATAATTATGTATGGGGGAGTGAACGTACTCAAGATCTCCAACAAATTCCTCACGGAAGCCTCATACTCCTCCTCTCGAAGGGCAGCAACTAAAAGACTTACATTCACAAGGTCATATTTTCCCCGATATTGCTCTGGAAACCGGTTCCGAATGTCATGGACCAGGAATTCGATCTCATAGCCCGGGGCAACCGTCTTCTCTGTGGAAGGGAACTGGTCGGCGGAGATATCAAACCCGTGTAGAGTGAGTGACGAGCTGTGGTTGTTAACAGAGCGAAGATAATCAGGGAGAGAAGTGATCCACAGCCTGGTTTCATTCTGTCAGTGTCTCTGCCTGCCTTATCCCATGGGGCTGGGTTATGTGCATACCCCGTTCCAGTTGCGACGTCTGCGATAGTAATCAGCGAGTGCCTTGGGATCGAGGGATGAATGAGCTCGTTGTTGACTAAGTTGGTGAAGTCTATTACACTTCTTCCGTTAGCCAGATACAATCTTCGAAGAAGAGCAGAAGAAGACCTTTTGGATTCATCGAGGTGTCGATCAAAGATGTAGGCTGATTCGGCTACTTCTCCCATGACGATCGATGTGTATGATAAGTGCGCTTTGCTTTTGATGGTATGAGGGCTTGAGACGTTCTTCCAGTTCTATATATAGTCTTGTATCGATTCATTAACCGGTAACTGATTCCGAGAGTTCAATTACGCCGACGTTACTTATCCAGAAAAGCCGCATGAAAGAGGTTTCTCATTTAGAAGGAATGCATGAAAGACGCCGTAGCACAAGACGAGTAGAGTCCGCATTTGGCTTCCTGGAAACGCAAACCGGTTTTTGGTAAGGTTCATAAGTTCGATTTAAGTGTTGCGAAAGTATTGGTCTTCGGCACGAGACTTTAATTCAATCATACATCCACGCTCCTTATATTGCAATTGCCTTCATGACGTCAAATTTCTTCATTCAGTCTACTACATTTGCCCGATCTACCCATCGCCATTCACTTGAAACCTAGCCCTAGACACCAAACGCCACGCCATACAGATACCATCACGCACCTCGAACCTTACCCGGAAGTTTGGAAAAGAGGTAGCTGAAGATTTCTCGGCTCTTATATAGATTCTCCACGCGTAAACGTTCATTGTACAAGTGCGCGTTGTCACTGGCTTGTCCGCACGGCAGATTAGCTGCCGGGGCGGAGAATTCCTTCTCGAGGAACCGAATTGTAGGGATGGATCCTCCCTCTCGGATATAGATGGGTCGCACGCCTGACGGCCCGGAGATGGGCCCGGTGGCAGGTGTGACAGGCGTCTCATTATGAGACACTGGGGAGGACTCGCGCGTCGCGTCGCTCGAGGAGACGGCGCCCGATTTGTGTGTTAGCGTCGACGAGGTCGGAACGGTCCTACTGAGGGATGACCGTTTCCGAGATGACCTTTTCCCAGCGGAGGATGTAGTGGTCGACATGATGATGCGGTCGATGTGGGAGGCCAGGCTGTCGGACGAGTCCTTCCGTTTGATCGCAGGTCCCGCCGGCTCCTTGGATGGGGCCGCTCGTTCTTGTGGGCTCCGCTGGATAGGGGGGTATTGGTGCTTTTGGTTCTGCTGGTCCGGTGTCCATGCGGCCGTGATGGCCTCGTCCAGAGTCTCAAACATTTCGTTATCCGGGTCGCCGAGCCAGGGATCGGATTTGCCCGTGATCTCGACGGTCAGATCGTTCTGCGAACCTAAAAGGTCATACTGTTCTTGGGCATACATGGTCAATCTAGCGGCTATGTCGTCCGCTTCTTGATTTGGCACCAGTCGCACCGATAGACTGGCTTTCGCCTTTCGAGAGATGGTGGTCGTCGTGCTTTTATTGTTACCCGGGACTTCGACGGAATGAATCGTGAGTGACGGCTCGCGCCAACGATGCATGAGGGAATTTATCAGGGCCTCGCGGTCCGCGATCTCAGGATGCCGCTGGAGAAGAATTTGTGCAATATCGGCGTAGCGCTGCTTTTCTGCCTCCGTGAGAGGCAGGACCGGGTCTTGAACGCCGGGGATATTGATGCGCCCCCTGGGCCCCACTAGGGTGCCTAGAAGTAGCGTGAGGTCCTTCAAGGGCTCGTCCAACAGTGCACTTCCATCGATACCACTGTGAAGGTCTGGATGATCACTGGAAACAATCAAGTTGGCATGGACGACGCCACGCAGGCCATACGTCAAGCAAGGGTTGAAATCGTCTAGCCAGTAACTGTTCGCCAACAGGATATAGTCCACCGGACCGATTTGAGATTTGTGTGCCCGGACTGTCTCGTGAAATCCCTGGGAACCGGACTCTTCCTCGCCTTCGATAATGAACACAACATCGCAGGGAAGTGCCTTCTGTCGAGCAAGTTCGGCGGCTGCATAAAGGGCTGCCAGAATGGGACCCTTATTATCCGAGACACCTCGACCATACAGAAACCCGTCCATAGAAGTCAACTGGAACGGATCAGTCTTCCATTTGGCCCGATTGGCGTCGGCTCCGACCACGTCGTAATGTCCGTAGAACAAGATGGTTTTGTCAACCTTATTCGGAGATGTCGCATTGAACCGCGCATGCACGATGGGGTTTGTGTCCTCTCCAGTGGTTAGGAGCTTTGTCTTGGCCCCTAAGTAGATGCAGTGTCGTCGTAGAAATGCTGCACCTTGGTTGCATTCACCGGAAAACTTTGGACTAGCCGAAACGGTCTTGAAACCAACAAATTTCGCCAGGCAGTTCACCATTTCGTCTGAGCATTGCGTTAGTAAGTTTTCATAAATAGGAACTCTCTCATCATACCGTTATTGATTCGAGGCAGTTCGCCCTGGCTCAACGACACCTCCGTCACATCCCAAATACCAACCGTGTTATCGTTGCCTCCGGTGGCGTAGATAAGTCGGTCCTTGTATTGACCAGCAGCAGATGCCAGCATCGTACCCTCATGAGCCGCCCAGCTGCCAACCTCTTCAAAACGAGAATTGAATTTCTGATTTCGGAAGTTAGTAATTCTCCAGTGCCGAATCCACAGGGCTCCAATGCCGTACCTTCACAATTCCGTTGGAATCGCCACAAACTGCTACACCGTGAATGATATCGACAGCCCATAAGTCGCCCGTATGCCGAGTGATGCGCTTCACCAACTGATGAGAGTCGAGGTTCCAGATGTTCAAGGCACCTCCGGCTAGACCACAATAAAGGAAAGATCCATCCACAGCGATCGAAAGAACCGGGTCCCCATTCTGAAGCTTGGCCATTTGAGTAGGAACGGCATTGGATTTGTTTTGTTCCAAGCGCCATAACTTGACAACGCCATCACCAGCACCGGTCAAAAGCACCTCTTCGCTCGGTGCCGACTCCATCAATCCTCGAACTAGGAGCATCGTATATACATAGCCGTGATGCGAGAATAACCTATGATGGTCGCGCTTGAAGGTCAGGACTTGACCACCCTCGGTGACCGGGCGGACTCCATCAGATCCTGCCTCAGGTCTCGGAGCGCGAGAGCCGTCGGGACCGCGAGAATCAAAGAAACGATGTGTACGCTTCGAAAGTTGGGCGGTCGACAACTGCGTCGTAGCAGCGTCGGCCTGGGATATATCACACCACTGGAACACTGTCAGACCACTAGTCACGGATGATGATGACGATAACAACCTACCTGAATACTTGTGTTTTGTCCACCGCAATAGATGGTGTTCAAAGTCGACGAGTAGGCTACCGCGAAGATATCACCCACATCATGGTGTGTATGAATAGAGTATAGTCGATCGAATGTTCTGGTCGACCAAACCTGCGATATCGGTCAATCCTACGGACCATAATGAATGGGGCTGAGAAATTGGAGATACATTAATGACGGAGTCTCCACCACTCGAGAAGAGTAGATCGCCGTCTTCAGACAGGTAAAGATCAAGAACACTTTCTTGATGCGCGTGCACCGAGAGGACTAGATCATATGTCTCGAGAGACCAAGCCTACCACGGATGAGTCAGTCGGCTCCCGGCAATGAATAAGACACCACGTACGACGATGTCTCCGCCTTGGAGACCTGCGAAGACACATTCATTATCTATAACCAAGGCCAAGACCGATCTGCTGGCCTGGACGCGGTGACCGATACCGCACTCTATCGGCGACTTGGGGTCATTGAGATCCTCGTGGGCGGAAAGTGAGGATTCCCAGGTTTTGGTCTGTTCATCGATTTCCGAGGTACTATCCGACTCGACAATTGCTGTGGGATCCATCGCCGGCATAACGAGCCGACTAGAGCCTTAGCCTATTTGTCCTTGTCTGGGGGTTGATATATACGTTGGGAAAAAAAAGATGATTCAATGGCCTTTGTTCACGTGACAGCAGTGCAACAGCTTCGGAGTTACAGGGCCACAGGATTTAAAGGGAAAAAAGATGTAAAGAAAATAGAACAAAAAAAGATAGAGGTACAGATTAAACGGAGCACACAAAATACATCACCCTCAAACCAGGACGGGCAACGTCGCTAAATTTGCGGTGGACAGACGGAGCAGGAAGGAAGAAATGATGACTGGTCGAATGTCGTGATTTCGATGGCGGTGATGGCACCTGTGGCGGTGCATCCGAAACGCCCCAATGCGGAAAGGCTCAGGAGATGCTGTGACGGCGGTCGACTCACCTCGTGTCTCCTGTCCACGGTATCCCTGCCGGCAGTAGCTCGATGCACAGAGCGTTTTGTCGGATGATCTTTTCGGAGGTGTTAGTCCGCAGAGATTGAGAGGCGGAAAAGATACTTCCATTAGGCTTTGGGGAAGGCGTCTCTCGGACGAAATACGAGCCAAGTCCGAGGAGGACGGCAGGAAGGTGTGGCAATTACTGACCTGGGTTCCCAGAGCAGACGTGCTATGAGAGAGTCATTCTTGCAGGGAGGCATCTTTCAATATGGCCCATTGAAAATGCGAGGGAGAAGAAGAAAACGGAGTGGCTGAGAGTTGAAATGTGTCGCCAAAGAGACCTATGACGGTGACCGCCGTATATATGTCTAAGGACAGCAACCAAGTGACCTTGCTACGTAGGTTGGGCTTGGGATTAGATAAAGAACCTGATCTGCACAAAGCCCTGAGATTTCATTGCATCTTCTAGGATGACTCTGCATGCCGCTGCTGGTTATCTGCGACCAGGGGATGCGTAGAAGCTGCGATCGGAGTGACGGGGAGAATTGCTTTTTCCTTTCCCCTTTTTTTCTTATCGTGGCAGAGCTCCGCAGGATGCTTTTTCCCAGCATTGTCAGGGCAAGATAGAGAGATAAGTCAAATCCGAGCAAGGCAAGCAGTGCAGGCAGAACAGTTGGCAGATATACTTCAGTTGGTCAACAACGAGCAGCTGCTGAGTCAGGGGCTGTATCTACGGCGTATGGTACGGTAATGTTGGTAAGGCTGACGGGAGCCCCGCTGTCCGTCCCGAATAGGCAAAATGTTGCATAAGCCACAGTGGCGGTGGCAGCCTGCGCCAATCAGGGGGCGTGACATCACCGCCATTTCTGTCAGTCCCTCCATCGGAGTCCATCCCCCTGCACAAATCCTTCCGGCTATCTTACTTCTTATTCAATATTACTCCCAGACGATGAAATATTGTCGTATCGCCTTAGTTAACTCGTCGGGTCAAATCATGATTCCGTCCAATATCCATGATTCAATCTCTGCAGTGTCATCCGCCTCATCAGGTACCATTGGTGTCTCTCTCTCCCCCTCCTTCATCTCTACCCAACTGTTCCCCGACCACCAATGATGCGGTAGAGTAGCGCCGTGACAGCAAATGCGGTCCCCACGGATCGCCTGTTCGTGCTGCAACCATTCATATTCCTTTTTCCCAGGGGCTATTTGACACATCCTGCTGCCTTGTTTCTCAGCATCACCGGCACCCAACCAGTCCAAACGGTCCTAAGCGGGCCCTGATCCTGTTCGTTGCTTCGTGCCCATAATTTTAGGCGCCTGTGTCGGTCTCCTCACTTTATTTGATGGTCATTTAATTCCCCAGCCCCCTCACTTTCTTTCCTTTCTTTCCTTGTCCTCCATTCTATCTCCCCATCTTGCATTTTCTTTCGTTGCCGCTTAGCGCTTTTGCAGCGTGGCCGTGTCGTCATCTCGCTTTGGCTGCTCAGCTGCAGGCAACTCGCCGCTTTATCATCACTAGAAGCTCCGACCATACAGAGCTGAATTCGCAAATCATCCCCGAAGGCATCAATTTTCTGGTCTATAAAAATTTGCCTCCCCATACTTCAGCCTTTGACATTTTTAAACTAGCGGTCCCGTCTTCCGATCTTCCCCTTTTCTATCGCTGTTGAACTCCTGTTCTAGACCCCAATCCAACAGTTCAAACTCTGAAAGAACGGGCCAAATTTCTCCACCCGCCGGGATTTAGTCGCGATAATTATACACTGGCCCGCTCGCCTACACCGCTCGTCCGGAGCTTTTTGCGGATCTTTAAAGGGCGATCCCTTTTTTCCCTCTTCCTCTGATCGCTACTCCGGAAATTTTGATGTCGTTGGGCTTGTCCTGTCGACCGGCAAATCGGTTGCAAGAGTTGACTACAATTGTCCGCTTCCTGAATCAGCATAGACTTTAGCATACGACATCTCCATTGCAATCATGCCTCTCGGCGAGACAGTTACCGTGCTTAACAAGTCCGGCAAAGTAGTCAGCACGGTGCGTGACGAATGCTCATACTCTCTTCGATACTCGAACTGATCCTAACCCTTAACAGGGTAAACAATTGTTTGGCGTCTTCAGTCATGCCAGAGATGCATATCGCGAACGCAAATCCCAGTTTCAGTCGGAACGCAACGCCAAAATCGCCGAGCAAGAAGCCTTGAGAGGCCTGCAAACTTATACCATCGAAGACGCGCCCTCAGTTGCCTCTTCCCGCAGGAGCCGTTCTCGACATCATTCTGGCCGCAGCCATCATCATCGTCACCATTATGAGGGTTCTGAATATGAACAAGACTTGCATTCTGTGGCCTCGCGCCCGCACTCCTCCCACCAGCGTCCTACAGACATGGTTCGCCGCCACACCCATCATGAGATTGCGCTTCGCGAGCCTCAGGGGCGGCCGATGACCGGTCGCTCTCGCTCGGATGCCCAAGTTGATATGGACTTGGCATACGGCGACTTTCATCCCTCTGCGCTGGAACGTCAGCCGGACAATCAGCTGCAAAAGATCGATGACCCGGAATTGAATGGCCTCGTTGGTCGGGCACAATGGCTCCTGGAGGAGGCTAACTGTGTCCATCACAGTGCAACACATACAATCGCTCACCTTCAGAAGAACCCGGACGCCATGGCAGCCGTGGCGCTTACTTTGGCGGAGATCAGCAATTTGGCCACCAAGATGGCGCCCGCCGCACTCTCTGCTTTCAAGACGGCGGCACCCGGTGTTTTTGCCCTGCTTGCCAGCCCTCAGTTCTTGATCGCAGCCGGGGTTGGCCTTAGTGCGACCATCGTCATGTTTGGTGGATATAAGATCATCAAACACCTGCAGGGTGGAAATAACAAGGAGATAAGCGCCCCACCGGGCGATCCAGGTGTTCCCCCAGGTGCTGAACCACAAGAATCGATGGACGACATGATGGAAATCAACACCGAATGTTTGAGCGGCGTGGAGATGTGGCGGCGTGGCGTGGCTGATGCCGAAGCATTCAGCGTCGGCACGTCGGTTGACGGTGAATTTATCACGCCAACAGCTGCCGCCATGTCCGGCATTGATGTGACGACGGCGCGTATGACGAGAGATCCTCGTTTCAAGTTCGACGACGATGGTTCCGTGGCATCTTCACGGCGGTCTCGTCGATCCCGGACTTCCCGAGCCCCATCCCGTTACTCCAGAATGGAGCCCATGCCCGAATCCTACATCGGCTCTCGGGGAGGTGGTGCGAAGTCTTTCTTTGGAGGAGAATCGAGGGCGCCCTCTAAAGCTCCCTCGAAGGCCCCCTCAAGGGCCCCGTCCAAGGCCCCATCAAAGGCCCCGTCCAAGGCTCCTTCCAGAGCCCCGTCCAAGGCGGAATCGCGATACTCCGAGAAAGAAGTGAAACCGGAGAAGAAGAAACGATCAAGCAGATTGCGACTCATGTTTACTGCTTAACCTACGACCTACACGGATTATTGATTATACGACAGACCACACGACCATTGTATATGCTTTTGTGCATCTCCTTGCCTGCTCTCATGCCTCGCCAGAGAATGTTTATTTTTTCTGATCTCATTTATGGCCAGCAACGGAATTGGATATTTGATGTTCCCACCATGGGCTTAGCGAATTGTGCTTTCTTTACCTTTCCTTGCACTTTACACATTTTGGACTTTCTTCGCTTTCTTCATGTTCCTCTTCTGTTGGTTTTCTATTCTTTTTTCACCTTGGGCCTCGGATTTATGATGTTTGTTTGATTTGATAGTTTTCTGCATAGCGGTGTTGGAGTGATATCCTTATTTACATTTTGTTCGAAAAGCGATAAACCCGCGGTGGTTCCTGGGCTTTGATAACTTAAGCTTTCTATATCTAGAGATCCCTGAATGGAATATAGAACTGAGCTTACAGAGACTAGCGCATTCTATGTGATACCTATGTATAACCTCAACATCCAACTCTGATTCTCATTAGATGCAAGATTTAATACACCATCCCCAAGCATACATATGCACGATTTTCACGCTTACTTGGCCCTTTTTTCACTAACATGAACATCAGACCCGGTACTACTCTCCATGCTTTCTTGAGTGTCCCTATCAAGAGACATGCTCTGAAGGCCTTGTTGAAGAGACTCAACCTCAGGACACTTTCGCTTTTCAGTGATGGCTCTTGTAGGGATAATAATATTAGCTGCCCGGCGAGCCTTAACGGACCAGTTAAAGCAGATACGCGCGCATTCGACGACTGCTTTGACTTTACTATCGCTAAAGTTCGAAATCTGGCCCCCCAGAATAGCCATCTCCTGACACTGAACCCAGAACTTGTTATATTGGTCTTGACTGCGAGAGGCCCTGGTGCGTGAGAAATCGGGCCGTTCTCGGAGAGCACAGGAGGGTTCGCCGATAATTTCGCCAGGCTGTAGCAGTTGAATTGCATCCAGCCTTGGCATGGTCTGATAAGCTCCTCAAGCGATAAAATGTTTGACTTCGGATCATTCTGATTAGCTACATGGTGTCTTTCGGTTTCCAACGCCTCGCTGAATAACCGTAGACCACACCGCATCAACTCCTCAAGCAAGGCAAATGCCCACGGAAGGAAGTCGAGATGTCCAATTAGATAGCCACTCCAGCTCAGGTGGTCGTAGCTTGCAAACCTCGTCTGCCCAGTAGGTGTGTATGCCCTCCACAAGATAAGGAAGATCGGTCCAGAGGTGTTGGCCGTTCGGAAAGATCGCCTCTTCTTCTCGATCCTCAGATGAACCACCACCTTCTTTAAGTCTGGTGATTGTCCCAAGCTGTTTGAATTGTAGGATCATCAGAATCAAATCTCTCTTGCCGAAACAGTGAGGGTACGTAGATTCTTTGGCGAGTTCAAGGAAATGTCTCCACGTCTTGCGCATCGGTTGTTCCATATCCGCGGTACTGATTTCTCGCGTCATATACCCGTTACCCAAGCGATGCACTGCGATACAAATCTCGGGGTACGTTTTACCTTTTGTTTCGGGGGTGGCGCTGGCTGTGCTAATCGAGATATCGGGCATTGCGGTGAAGTATCTGCGGTGTACACAAGGGAGGATAAACAGGGTAAATGCTTGCGCTTGAACTCGGATATAGAAGGAGTTGAGGTAAACGCAAGAAACAAGAAGCTAGGATCTTTCTGTTTCGACGGTAAGGGGTAATAAAAGGATTCTTGATCTGCGACGTTTGGTCCATTGAGAAGATGCACTGGCTTGACTTCTTCAGAAGTGCATTCCCTCTTCGTTCCCTCCCTTTGTCGGTTGGGCCTGTTTGCATTGTCTTTCATGGAGCAATTCTAGGTCCTTCCATACTCCCAATCGATGAGCAATTTCTGTTCCTTTCTTTTTTTTCGTTTGCTTGCGTACGCCAGCATTTGTTCAGTGCGTTGACCAGGTTCCTGATGTGTTTCTTCGCCTCCCTTTCCCTTCCCCTCTCTTTCTCTCCCTCTCTTCACCATCTCTTTCTACCAGAACAGAATCCAAACACCTACCTGACTGGTTGGATTGGAGCCAGTTTCTTCAAGTCTGGTCACAGGGGATGGGACATGGCCATTGGAGTCGCACTTGACATATAAAGCATGAAATATTGATAACGGCGCTTCTGTCTCTCACGCTCTCTTCATGAGGAATTGTTACTGACGGTACTAACAGGCATCCAATTCTCCATTATACGGTTCCTTATTTATTTCCCAGTTAGAACCCTAGAGAGGATTACACACACCAAGCAAGTAACTGTTTGTATTCCAGAAACTTTTTGACTTGGCTCAACTAAATCTTTGTCGGTTTCGCGGCACCATGTCTCTAGTGTCAAGGTCTGGTTGATGCTTGTTGATAGCCAACCAAATCCGGTCTTCATTGGCAAGGACAAACGGAGGCAGTAGGACCTGGAAAGCTAAGAAACAGGGATGAGCAGACTAGGAGTGCATGCGATTCAGGTAATACGATAGCCCCTCCATATCAGGCTGAGCGTCAAGCAAGTCCATTGCAGGAACATGGCATTCGGAATTCCTACAATTTCCACAAACCCGCCTCAGCCCAGCCATTACGACATAATGCCGGCGAATCTCAGATCACCTGCATTCGGCCACGCGGATAGCTTCCGACATCCTGACAACCAGCAAACAAAAAAAAGAGACCATGGCGCTGAGTCGAATTCGGCGGCGGAATTCGCGAGGCTAGCGCGGATGTGCCCACTCAAGGCAGTCACTTTCTCAAAGCTACATTCTTGTGAGCGTGGCTCTCTCCTGTCTAGCTGGGAACCTGTTCAGGGGGTCCGGATTGCAATATCAACCAGGCAACCCCCCGAAATTGCGCGTGACTTCGGAATGAGGCAATCAGCGCCGAAGCCGACCAGGGACGCGATATCGGATTAGACTAACAGGCTGCATAGCCAATCACGTCACCAGTTCGAGAATATTTGTCCTTGATGATGATTGTTGAGTTGGAAGAAGGACCCCTCATCGGCACAGTCTGTTGTCTTGGAATTATTTGCGTGGGTGTCTGCTGAGGAGGTAACTGTTTGGAACGCAGGACCTAAGCCGAGAGCATACCACGGCATCCACGGCATCGACCAAATGCCGATATCTCACCTCAGTCACCGGGGGACAAGTTCACCCCAGTCTATCAGGATAGCACCCACATGGGGACATGCGTCGATCCGTCCACCGGATCCGCACTGCGTGGGGCCGAACTGGACGTTGGTCTCATATTGCATATCGAGGATTTTTGGCGAGCTGCATCACCCTTCTCCGCTTCAAAGAGGGGGGTGGGATGCCTGTCGAATTGCTGGGATTGAGAGTGGCGAAAAGCCCAGTCCTTCGAAGCGACCAGCTCGACAGACACCCTTACAGTCGGCCCTTGCGGAAAGGTCCTTTCTCTACCATCCTTGTTTGCTGAGAGTAAGCACAGTCGAAACAACCCCTTGTCCCCTTGCTCGCATCTTGGGGGCTGAGATGAGTGTGATTAGGAAGAGAAAACAAAGGGAAAAATAACGAGAATCGGGGATGTGCTTATACGACATTATTGAGTAATGTTCACCTCAGCATTGGACGGAAGGGAAGTGAGTACAGTGAGTCGTTCTCGGCAATGACCACTGCCGTGCTATGGAGATGATCAGAGTCACTTTTCCCATCAACGACAGACCAAGGTGGGTCTAATCAAATTACCTCGAGAACAGGAATACTGGGGAGGATCCGGGGGAATAGTGCTCGGCAAATAACGCTCCGCCAAAGAGCCGTTGTTCCTCCCAGCAATGAAGTCGCAAAAAACGGAACCAGGAGGATAACCGACCGACGCCGAGAGGAGTTTTTTTCCCTTTCATTATTCGGTTCCAACGCCACCGACGAACCTCGCAGTCGAGCACAGCACTAAATTGTGTTCTGGCCCAACCTTACCTTCGAGGCACGCCCGTCCTTATCCCAGCTCTACTATTTATCGCTTTATCCTAGCATTTGTCCCTGGAAGGAGTGGAGACCGAAGGATTCTTAGTCTCCGGCATTATTTCCGGTCAAAAAGCTCGGGGTATAATTTATCATCATTTATAAGGCCCGATGTATCCGGCCTGCGATGATGGAATCTGCTCTCGCTGCTCTCCTAAAGTTCATTCAGACGAATACTGGGTTTCTATCCTACGTCTCGAACTTTTTTTCTAGCACAATGGTGGCTCAAGCTCGTACGCCTCTTAGGGTGGTGGTGGTTGGGTAAGTTTTTGAAAGTCTCTTCTACATCTTCGTCCATTGGCTAATGTCCACAGTGCTGGTATGCTTTCTCTTCATTATTGGCGTGGTATTACTCATATTCACACTTCGCAGGCATCGGGGGTGTGGCTGCAGCCTTGACACTCGGTCTTCGTGGGCATCAGGTCATTCTTTTAGAAGCTGCTCCTCAGGTAAGCACCACCGTTGATTGAGTCAGATACGCTTATTTAGCAGTTGAACCGTGACTGAGCAATTCACAGCTTGCAGAAGTTGGGGCCGGTATCCAGATCTCCCCGAATATGCTGAGAATTCTAGACCGTAAGCTCCATTTGACGGCCCGACGGCCTACTACATTTTGGAGACCTGGACAGTACTAATTTAATCACAGGATGGGGAGTATCACCGACCATCCATTCCAAGGACGTCGCTCTAGAGAACATTCACGTCCGACGATGGAAGGACGGTGCCCTCCTCGGAACCATGCCGGTGAACAAGACTTATGGCCAGCAAGTCGTTATTCACCGGGCAGACCTCCACAGTGCTCTCATTGAGCACGCCCTGGCGCTTCCTAACGTGGAATTACGAGTCAACTCGACCGTGACGAGTGTAACTCATAGCCCTGCATCGGTCACTCTTGCGAATGGTGCCGTTATCGACGCAGATATTGTCGTTGCTGCCGACGGTATCAAATCAACCATCCGGGATCATATTCTTGGTGGCTCGCCTTCCAAGCCTATTCCTACCGGCGATGCAGCCTACCGCATCATGCTGCCCCGGAGTGCTATGGAGAACGACCCTGACCTCAAGGAACTTATTAATGAGCCTCAAGCGACGCGCTGGCTTGGTCCATCACGGCACATCATCGCTTACCCGGTACGCAAGCACGAACTTTTTAACGTCGTCTTGCTACACCCAGATCGACATGGCGTCGAAGAATCATGGACCACCAGAGGTTCAAAGGAAGAAATGAAGAATGATTATCTTGGTTGGGATCGTCGAGTCACTAAACTGATCGACTTAGTCTCGGATGACGAGGTCCTTGAATGGAAGCTCTGTCTACATAAACCGTTGAACACCTGGATCCGGGGCTCCGTAGCCCTCATCGGCGATGCCTGTCACCCCATGCTGTAAGTCCATATCATTCTGGCCCACCCAGTACCAAAAGCTTAACATAAACTAACCTAACATCCCCAGCCCCTACGTCGCTCAAGGCGCCGCCCAAGCCGTCGAAGACGCCGCCGCACTCGGTGTCCTTCTTTCCAACATCACCTCCCGACGAGAGATTCCACAAGTCCTCGAAGCATACCAGCTATCTCGCAAACATCGCGCAGAGACGGTCCAACAATCAGGCACCGAGAACCGAATCACCCTCCACCTGCCCGACGGCCCGGAACAAGAGGCCCGCGACGAGCAGTTCCTGGCCTCGATGAAGGGAGGCTCCAACCCTGATCGATGGTCAGATCGTGAGACGCAACGGTTCCTTTGGGGCTGGGATGCCGAGATAGCGGCCTTAGAGGCCTGGGATGGTATGTTATTATCTATTAGACTATTCATTCGGCATTGTAGATGGCTAACTCGGCACTAGATTTGAGAAGTGGACGTATGCCGGAAGCTAGACATCATTTGTAGGACGTGAATGTTTCCTTCATGCTGGACACCAACAGGACGATCTACCTACGGGCTTTTCTTTTTGAGCGTTGGACTTGAATTTGCATATGTGAGCAATTTGCGTTTCCGTTGATATTTTCTCTTATCATGAGACTGTAAATACTACTTGCTATGACTGTCATTTGAGATATTAGTTTGGATCTTTCCCATATTTAAGATCAATGCCTTGCAAATAACTGGAAGCAGGAACATTCCGGAATTTAACAAGCTTCTTAAGATTAGTTGCATAATGTTATACGCTACCAATGATCAAATCATGGAAATCATAGGGGAAAACTTTTATCGTGCCAGGTTTGTTCAACATAAAGAGAATATTAGACGAGACACCTTAAGGCAGCAGGTGTTGCCTAGCCACCCGCGTGCTCCTCTCTCTTTACTTTATCCTGCATGCTCTCTCCCCTCTTCCTCTATCTTCGTGCATTCGATCGACTTCGTTATTTCATACCATCTTAACTTCAGTCTCATGTCCATGACCGCTTGAGCCATTCGTTAGCTCTTTTCTCCCAGTAAAAACCTAAACATGAATGGAGGTTGAATAAGACCCAAAACCCTTGAAGACGACTAAACAAATCAATCAAACGATCATTGCAAACATACCTAGACGCAGTGCAAAGATACCATACGCCATCCAATAGGAACTAAGGTAATCACCCCCTGAAATTCCGTGAAGAAAACCGAACGCCATCCAAACCAGATATCGCTCAACCAGAACCAAGCCCCGAAATCCCAAACCTCAATCCCGCCCATTAGTCAGTAGACTTCTCAGTGAACCTTTTTGTAGACCTTTTAGTAGTATCACCGTACCACCACTTCGCAAGAAGCAAAGAAAGCTCATATCCTTTCTGATCATCATCAGTAAGATCAAACAGCTTTGTAGCTCGCACTATCAACTTTGTTCCATCAAAGTTGCCCTCTAGAACACGGACACTGGAGTCAATGAATGAGTAGAGAAAGACCTGAGCAGCGCGTTAGTATCAAGTTTATGTACAGGATTTAGGAAAAACAAGACGCGAGAGAGAGAGAGGCAAGCTTACCGGAGCATCGATGTGCAGGCGGGTCTCTCGGGCTCTCAGACGCTGCCGGATGATCTCGAGGATTGAGACCATCTCGCTATATAAGAGACGGTCCTCGGCGACAATGTCGGTGCAGAGCATGCACTTGATATGGGGCTGATTGCGCAGCGGCATGTGCCAGGCCGTCATGAATTGCCAGGTTGGTTTGCCGAGAATTTCGACGAGATCAGGGAAGCCGAATTTGCCCCAGCTGTGAATAAAATTATCAGAATAGAGAACCTGATAGATCATAGAATTCCAAAGAAGGCAAGGAAGATTATTGCACGGGGTGGAGGGAAACGAACTCCTTATATTGAGGTACAAGCGGAAACTCTTCGTCCTGCGGTAATATGCCACTCTGGATGTATTCATGCACAAAATGCTGCGCGGAGTCCGCACGGTCTTCGAAGATGAGTTTGTCAAATCGGGGGAAGCTGTCTGCTAGATCATTGATGGCTTCCTGGTCCTGAGGTGGGACGATCATGCCTTTGTAAGGGGCAAAGAATCGAGGCAGGATGGCGTTTTCTTCAAGAGACATGGGTTGACGGTTCACGCCAGCGGCTTTCAGGTCGGAGTCATCCAGGTATCCATTTCCGAGCTTATTGATCTTTTTTCTGACGACTTTGAGACTTGTGCGTCGAGCACTGCGTTCGGAGCTTCTGTCCTCGAAGGGCATTGTCTTTGTTGAGCGAGGTGACTTTTCAGAAAAAGCCAACGACCAGATGTGAGATGGAGATAGAACTGAGGCATGAAGGAAGTGAGAATCAAGTGAGAACGAGATAATGAGGTGAGAGGGGTTAATCACGTGGGTTGGTTGATAATTCCTGCTCTTCCCGGAACCTTCCTCCTTCCTTCTTTCTCCATCCTCCATCCTTCGACAGATTATTCACAATGTACCCCAAGAGAGAGTCTCAGTCATGCCTTCCAAAAATGCAGTTCCTGGAAACTTCCAATTGGCAGATTGCTGCGCACCGAATAACACCATCACGTTTCTTGATATTTTCGGTTCCCTAGCTGCGCTTCTCTTGTTATTATCACTCACCTCCCCCAACATTTTCAATATGCCAGTGCAGCCGAAACCATTACCCGCAAACCCGAGCCAGTGGAAGCAACGAGTCCGTGCCAAGAAGATCCAAGATGCCAATATTCACAAGGTTAAATTGAGATCTGCTTCAGTAATCAAAGAAGAGCAGTTCCTGGCACTTCGGGTGCTTTGGAAACGTCATCGACACAGAAGCCCGGATCTGGAAAGATTTGACCTAGAAGATTGGACGAGCAAAGCTGAGGGAATGTTAGAGGAATACAGGTCATGGCAAATCTACCTTAAAAACACAGTGCCATTGACGTTTGTGAAATGCCAGAGTCTACGTTCGTAATGACGAAGTATTGGCAGGCATTGGCGGCGGAAACATCGTCGAAGGAATTCAGGCCTACTGTCGCTGTCACGCCCAAATTACACAACACAAGGAGCAGATCAGGCCGCTTACCCCAGAAGAGGCATCCATTACATCCGGAGACACCTATGAGGTCCACAGGGGCCGCCCCAGACTTTTCGCCTGATACCTCCGAGCAAGAAGAAGAGGAACATAGTCCAGCACTAGAGGAGCTTATGAACCAATTGTATACGCAGACCAAAGACGAGGAGATCGTCACCTCTGCACTATTTAGCCTCCTCTGCGGTCTTACTGTTCATACCAAAATTGGAAATCGATGGACGGTCCACAGGAAAGCTCTCAAAGCTTGTTTTCGTCACGCATCTTTTGTCGCGCGCGTGGACGGGTACCTCGAGGACAGAACCCCGGTTGAGAAAGTTCGCGCGGTAGTGGAAGTTAAGCCTATGTTTCGCGAAAAGCGAATACTCCAAATCTGCATGCAAGAATCAGCCCAGATGGTCGCGTGGATTTTGAAAGACCTTGATGAATTTGGATGCTTAAATCTGCCTGGACGGTAAGAATCAATCACTGACAATGCTCCAATATACTTGGCTATTACTTGAGCTGACAGACGTAGTCGTCTTCACGTGTCACAGAACCGAAACGAGATCTACATTACATTCGCTGAGTATGACGACGAGTACATGAATTATCTGAAAGACCGTTCCAGCTCAGATCCTGACCTTCACTTTCTCACGATGCACCAATACGGTCCTTGGAAAACCAGCATACAAGCGCATATGCGCGATCTAGGCCAGCTTCTTCTGGCCATTTGTCTTAGGGCCCATTCCGATATGCAGGAAGAAGGAGCTGATGTGCAAGAGAGCATGGATACGAGCGAGACAGACGTGGACGGCGACATGTCCGTGGTTTCAGATAAGAGCGAAGACATAGATATGGATGACGACGAGGAGGATGATAATGAGGACGACGATTATGACGAGGACGACGAGTATAACGAGGACGACGAGGACAGCGCTACCAGCGATACGAATTAAACCGGAGGTGGGCCTTTGCCGAACGGGTACCACGCAGGTCTCTTTGCATAGCGTTCATAGCTGAACGGTACCGCCGGGGTACTTTCACTTTCACTTTCACTTTGCATTTTGCGCAATGCCTCTAGTCCAGTAAACATGAAGCATGTGGAGGTTAAACAAGACCCGAAACTCCTGAAGACGACAAAACAAATAATCAAACGATCATTGCAATCATACCGTACGTACATTGACGCAGTGCATAAGCTAATCCATGCCATCACATCACATCCATCTAAAATCCAGAATCCAGCCACGCTGAAATTCCCTCCAAAAAACGCCATACAGACCCGACCAGATATCGCTTAACCAGAACCAAGACGCGCACCCCGGAACCCCAAGCCTCAAGCCCATTGTTAGTTAGTAGGCTATTGAATACAGTGGGCTTCTCAGTGGGCTTCTCAGTAGTCTTCTCGGTGGTCCTCTCGGTGGTCCTCTCGGTGGTCCTCTCGGTGGTCCTCTCGGTGGTCCTCTCGGTGGTCCTCTCGGTGGTCCTCTCGGTGGTCCTCTCGGTGGTCCTCTCGGTGGTCCTCTCGGTGGTCCTCTCGGTGGTCCTCTCGGTGGTCCTCTCGGTGGTCCTCTCGGTGGTCCTCTCGGTGGTCCTCTCGGTGGTCCTCTCGGTGGTCCTCTCGGTGGTCCTCTCGGTGGTCCTCTCGGTGGTCCTCTCAGTGCACTTCTCAGTGGGCTTTTGAGTAGACCTTTGGTCGACTTATTAGTAGATCGTATAGTCGACCTTTCGGTAGTATCACCGTACCACCATCTCCTAAGAGGGTCAGAGAGCTTATAGCCCTTCCGATCATCATCAGTCAGATCATATAGCTTTGTAACCCGCACTACCAACTCCGTTCCATTGAAGTTGCCCTCGAGCACACGGACACTGGTGCTGATGAAGGAGTAGAGGAAGACCTGATACAGGAAGACGTTAGTGTTTATTTTCATGTAGGTTTTCGGAAGAAAAGAGAGGAGAAGAGGGAGGAGAGAAGAGAGAAGAGGAGAGAGAGAGAGAGAGAGAAGGCTTGGTGAGGACAGAAATGGAGCGAAACGTATAGAGATAATCGATATAAAAGATGTGGAACCGAGAGAATCGATGGCACAAGAGACAACAAGGCACAATCTCTTTGGGGCGCAAGAGAGAGATAGGACACGAGAAGCAAGCCTACCGGTGCATCGATATGCGGGCGTGTCTGTCGTGTTTTCAGACGCTGCAGAACGATCTCAAGGATTGTGACAATCTCGCTGTACAAGAGGCGGTTCTCCTTAACGATATCGGTGCAGAGCATGCATTTGCAGTCATTGTCTTTGTCGAGCGAAGAGATTCAGACTCCATTTCGTAGAAATATCATCCAGATGGGATGAATCAAGAATGGCTTATTCAGAAGCAAGAATATTATAAATTTTATGGAGGTTTAGCAGAAAAAACAAAAACAAAAAAATAAGACTTTAATCAAATATTATCGATAGCCAACTGAGCTATACAACCGACAAGATAATCACACAAAAAATGTAACAAACAGCTCAAAATCAGATAGATTATGGTATCTCGAACAGTACAAAACACGCAGATCATACAGAATAAACAAATCGATAAACCAACCCAAACCAACAAACACACACAAAAAAGTCATCTATCACAGACAATATATGCAAGTAGGTAGCGCAGCAGCAGCAGCAACAACAACAACATTAAATTACCAGATCCGTTTAGCAACCATCTCATACCGCTGTACATGGTCCAGATTCAGCTCCTCTTTCGTATTCTCGTCCTTTTCCTCTTTCGTCTTCAACCGTCGAAGTCCGTCCGGGTCATCGGCGTAGATCCATTGTCGGTGGTCTTCGTTCACTTCGACGACGCCCCATCCTCCGACTCGTTTGCTGCCGTCGACGGCGAATTCTCGTCCTCGCGAGGGAGCGCCGTTTTCGGTGGGTGCGTGGGTAGAGGAGGTGGATGATGAAGCCTGCTCTGCCTCGCGGTGTTTCATCGCCTTGTAGCGGGTTCGGGCGTAGGCTAAGAGGACCATGCCGAGGAGGAGTTTGAAGATAAGGAGCAGGACAAAGCCCGTGAGTAGAAGGACAATGGTGAAGAGGTACACGGCTTGGGCGGGCGTGGGCATGGCGTTTGCGAGCATCTGTCGGAAGAAGGTCCCTGCGTGGGCTGCCGACACTGGGAGGATTGTGCGGATAGTTAGGGGTGGAGGTGAGGGGATCGGAAGAGGTGCGTAGTGGCTGTGGATCGAGGACAGGGAGGTGGATGACACGGCTGTTGATGACGGGTGCTGTGGGAGTAGGGCAGCGAGAAACATGTGGTATGTCTGCACTGAGACACGGAAAAAGAGACACGATAACGGAATAACCGGCAGGCCCAGCCGCCGGGTGAGGTTCTGGTCCCCAAAGGCATTAGTGTAGTAATCTTTGGCTAGGATGTCCAGAAATCGGCCATAGATAGCGGGTCGCGTGTTGTTGAATTTACTGATATAGGCGTGTTTCAGCCAGTCAACCAACATTTCCGAGCCTAGTACGACTAGGAACGGGCCTAGAACTTGGGCTAGATTCGGGAGGAAGGAGTTGACATGGCTAAACGACGCCACAATCGATGATGGAACGATAGTAAACGACTGCGGGAGGATCGATGTGGCCGTTCGCGGGGGAGTGGAGAGCGGAGTGCTATTTGTGGCAGTAGATGCGTACGTGCCACCAAAACTAGCACCGAGAGTACCAAAGAAGTTGAAAGCTCCCGTCTCCACGATGTTCCGAGATGCGATGATCGTGAGCATAAGCCACAGCTGGAACCGCTCCACCACGTCCGCGCAGGTCAGTTGGAATAGGTTCTCCTTTTCAAATTTCTTGAATACCGTTGACTTAATCTCAACAAATTGGTTTGAAAGAAGTAGGGTAATCAAGGCATTCGAGTAAGAGTTCACCGCTACATTCAAGGTCATGACCTGGAAAAAAAGCGACGTAGAATGGATGACAGTGTATGCAAGGGCCAGCAGGAAAAGCCCAAACGGACGGAACACCTTACTTCGTCCATCGGGGCGGCGTTCTAGTGCCTCGCGTGAGAAAAGGCACTCGAGCACATCTTGCCCAATAGCGCCAAAAAGCCGATCACTGACTTCCAATACGTTGTAAATAACGTATAGCTTGATCGCAGCCTGTCCCCGAATCCAATGATACATTCGACTTGCGTCAAAATACATCAAGACTGCGCAGGTTGTGATCATGAGAAGACCATTGAGAATGTCGGCTTTGTCATCTGGGAGCAATGCGGATGGAATGGATTTCTGTCGGCGGTGCTGATGCCTGTGCTGGATGTCGTTGCGATGCCGTCTGCGTGTTTCTGAAGCTCGTTTGAAGTCTCGCTCTATCGGAGCCTGCTCCTTTCTGGTCGAGGTTGCACGGGCTCTTGTCTCCGGTTCGGATCCACTAGGCTGCTCGTGGATTCCATCTGGCGGAGGTCTCGTTCGTCTCCTCCATACCCTTCCAACGCCTTTGACAATAAACCCGGATAGGTACCGAAGTTCCACGCCTAGATTCGTCATCCAAGATTCCATCAGCATATACAACGCCTTAATAAAACGCAAAGGGAGTATAGTGAAGGAGTAAAGCCAGGAGTCTAAGCACGCTAAGATGCCAAACCAGAGCACTTGCTCCAACGCCGGTGGGAGAATCAAAAAGTTCACCAGTCGCTCTAGCTTAACGCGCGATGACTCGTATGGAAAATCGCTCATTGCAGAACGGTGAATATAGAGTGGAGATGGCCGCCCGGAAGCAAGTTCCAGCTGCAGGTATGTCGGAACCGATAGAGGCGGTAAGGGTATAGTAGGTGGCATGGGAGATGGAATTGCTGGCTCGGCCTTTGCTGCCGAGGGATTGAGATGTCGCCCATCTGGTTCCTTGCCGATGGTAGGTCGATCTTGCTTCGATCGAGAGGCCCACGTTTGAGCCAGCCGCTCGTTCGAAGGCAGTGTTTGGCGCCGCATGGAATTTGGGGTAGAGACAGCGCGGGGCACTGCTGGTCGAGGTCGACATGAAATCGAGGGCTTTGTGACCAGTCCCGAGACAAAATCGACGGTTGAGGCTTTATCTGGTTTGAGCTTGGGAGTATGTTCCGGAGAGCCTTTCAGATCATTCAGCGTATACGAGCCCATCTCTGTGGTTTCTTCGTTGGCGACTGGTTGCGAGCCCTCCGAAACCACTCGTCGAGACTGCTCTTCCGCAGTACGATAAGGGATTGACTGGGGCGAGGACGTAAGCTCATGTATTTTGGCGGGCGATAACTTCGGAACCCGATCGAGATCCCTATCCTGGTTATTCCTAGACGGCGACGATTCGAATTCTCCGGGCCACTGAGTCGAAGCGTTATCAAACTCCTGCGAGTGTCCAAAAAGGCCCAATGGCTGGTCGGGAGATAGTGACGACTGACCGCCTTTTCGGTCACCGTTCATAGCGCGTTGGCTAGGGGATTTGAGGTGATAGTCATTGTGGGGACTAGAAATGACACCATTCTGCTGTAGGCTGGAAGCGGTCTCTAGAATCCTCCGACTCTGCGCCTGATCCCCTAAGGTCGGACTTTCAAAGGTGGCTGCAGATCCCTCCGGTGGCGCATGACTTCCGGCGCCGTTGACCAATTTCTCCTGCATTTGACTTTGGCTCTGATCTGTATGCGGTAGGGAACGTGGTCGGTATTTCCAGGCCGGTTCCAACGTTGTGCCATCTTCTACGACGCGTTCATGGCCTCGTGTTGCGCCCTGAGGGCTTGTGGACACGTTGAATCCCGACCCTGCGGCGAGGTCCTGCGGCTGCGGTCGCTTCACCGGGTCGCCGTGAACCGTATCCATTGTTGGTGCCGTGGACGGATCTGAATGACCATGCGAGAATGGAGTCGAGTCTTTGCGCTCGTTGTTCAGCCCGTGGGGATCGGCTGGGGAAGGGAGGGAGCGGGAGACACCATTGCAGGGGGCGGAAATATCACCCATGCGGGACGATTCGATCGAAGGCACGGTGAAATCGAGCGGACAGGCGCCTTAAGGCGGGCGCATGGTTATGCGATTGAAGGGCAGACTCACAGCTTGCAGCCGGGGGCGTATCTGCAGCGAAAGCAAGACTGGGCTTGTCGCAAGAAACACGGAGTAGAAGAATGATGGATGGATGATGCTGGGATCATCGCCCCGACTGACCGCCCTGTCACATGACCCCACTTGCCTGGCACGTTTCCCCACTCGTCTGCTTCCTTTCGTTGACAAGACACTCGGTGTTTAGCATGTCGATCTCGGTCCCTGGTTATATGAAGTGTCATATATGTACGAAACTATGCCGGATGGGACGGAGAAGCAGCCCCTGACCAGGCCTGCTCAAAGCCTCAATGCGGTCAAGATACCCAATTGTTGGACGACCAGCCCATGGTTTTAGCGTATCTCCACTGCCGGCAGCATGTCGCTCGGGTTAGATGGGGTCGGCAGTGCTTTATCAAAAGCGCCAGAAAGTGTATAACTGCGACAATACTGAAACTTAGATAGAACATAAAAGACTGTTTAGAGCTCTTATTCTTTCTCATGTATGGAGATCTAGTTTTAGATAGAATCTCTATAATTTGGAATTCAAAGTCTAACGTCCTAACCACTAGACTATGGCGCCAACTGTGCACATCTCATTATAAAGTAGGTAATATCTCCAATAAAGGTTTTGAATGGCGAGATCGTGCTAGAGGCAAATGAAGGGAAGTAAAACAGAGACAGAAGGGTGAGTGCCACAACCGTGCTTGGTTGGGCTGGCGGGCTCACAAACAGTGCCTTTTACGGGAGAAAAGCTCGAATGATGAAAAACGCCACGGTGCCAGAGACCTCCCCTTGGGGTACTGAGGTCAAATCTTCTCAAACCATACATACAAGCCAGAATTTATTCGAGCGGTCTGCCGGCTGGTTCGATCAGTGGAGACTACTTGCTCGAGTATTCTCCTCTTTTGCTTGCTTGACGATCCTCATATAGAGCTGATCGTCAAAAAACCTCTGAGTCTTGGTGTTGTGAGGGGAGGAGGTCTAACTATTGATATCTTAGCTCCTCTACTTTGCCAAATGAAACCATTACTTGTTCATCAATAATAGAATTTCTGCAATTCCATCTATCTGTCTGTCTATTGCGCGAGAGCGAATCCACAGAATTCACAGGACAGAGAGGCATGGGTAACACAATATGTCCGAAGCAGATTAATATCCAGGGTATTCGAAACTGAGCTACCAAGTTGCTCGTCATGAAGGGTATGGACAAGGAGAGTTCAATCGTCAGTTCCCGAAGAGACAGCCAGCTCTTCTAGGGATCGTAAACAAGGACACATGATAAAGAAGGGTTCACGGTCAATGATGCAGGATTTATAAGGCCACGACAGGGCGAGTTTAGAAGAAGTCTTGGTGATGAGGCTGCTGCGAGTGTGGACCGTACGTGTCGTGAGGGGTATAAGCTCTTACGGTAGGCGCTGACCCACCGCTGTAGTCACTGGATGGCGAAAATGTCCTTGAAGGCGCATGAGGGGGGTAGACGGGAGCGCTTGGTGCTGGTGTACCGGTAGCAGACGCCGGGGAGTTTCTGGCCGGTGGGTTGAAGGGAACATATCCATCCGCTCCCTGAGATTGCATCGACCTACTTGGTCCAGAAGGGCCAGTAGGAGGGAAGGGCCTCATCGGTAGATCCTCTACAGGGGTGAAACTTTGCGGTGGTCGATTCGCAGTGTAACTTGCGGGTGTGAATGATCGCGGAGGGTACCCAGTCTGCGGATGTGGACGAGGAGTTGCACCGACGCTGGGAGGAGGATATGGTCGGGTAGGGCCGTGGTTATTCGGCGAAAAGGTCGCACCAGGTGTAAATGAGCGCGCATAGGGATCATCGACCGGACTGAACGAGTGATACGGTGCAGATGTTTGATCATAAGGTGGAAAGGATCCGTCATCGCCTGGATCCCGGTATCCACTAGCAGGAGTCATGCGGCTCGGACCACGGACTGAGGGCGGCGGGGCCGGTGTGTAGGTCGGTCGCGACATCGGAGTCTGGCTACGTTGAATGGGCATTGGGATCTCGCTGGGGAGAGGCGGCACGGGCGGTGCTGGCGTTGTTTGACGATCAAGTGGGCTGTATCCCGACACTGCGGTGCTTCCTGACATCGAGGCGGCGTCGGAGTATGCACTTGACTGCGTCATAGTCCGACTCAGCGGTGGCTTTTCGTCGAACGCAGCCACGTCCGGAAGCGTGGGGTTTCGGTCGGGGGCAGCAGTCCCAGGGCGTGACGAATATGGCGGGAGGGTCGTCTGAGTTGTGGAACGCGAGATGGTCGTGACAATTGGACCCTTGTCATCGTCGCCGGCTCCGACGGCTGGCAAGGTAGGCTTTGTGTCCAGGGTCAGATTAGGTCGAGTGGGTGCCCGATTTTGCAACACGATCCCCTTTGATAGGGCCTTGTCAACCTTCTGTCGCACGATACGCGTAAGCCGACTATTGATTTTGCGTCGGCAATATGCTTTCAGCGAGCCATCCTCCGAGGGAATGTGGTGGAAAAGGAAGATGAGGTAGAGAATGATCGCCAGAGCTAATTTCAGAATTGATAGAACCCAGATGATCAGGGTGAACAGCATGCCGAAGAGAACGACAGCACGCAAATTGTTATGTTCGGCCAGAATCTTAACATTGTCGAAGAACTGAAAGAAGGCGGGCGAGTCACTGTCACTGCTGGCGTTCTCTCCTCCCGGCAGAAGATCCATTTTCATAACCGAGTACAGTGTGATGGCATTGACGACTTGACGCGGACCGTCGGCAAAGATGGTATTCATCCAGGCTATCAGGCGAGTCAGCATGGCTGGTAGCGTAACGCGGCCACGGGATAAACAACTTACTCTCAAAGGAAAAATACGCGAACAGGGCTACGTACTCGGCGCCCTTCTTACTCTTTGTCAATTCGGCAAACACAAGAAATCGCTTCCATCCGCGACCCTCTTTGCCCATGCGAATACTCTGGATTCGCACGGCAAGCGAATCGAGGTAGCTTTGCGCAATGCTACCGGATCGGATAGCTCGGATCGCCTTCAGCCATCGCAAAACCAACAGAGCAAAAGAGATGATGATACAGACGGCGAAGACCCAACGGGAAACCGTAAACGGAATGGCGGGTTCAATCTGCCCTGCCCAACGAGAGAAGGCCAGCAGGTTGACCGCGGTAAAGGTGTCGACACCGTAGACAGCCAAAGATACCACCAAGAATACCCAAAGAAAGAAGTAGGAGAAGGGAGAGAGACAGGACTCAGACTTGAAATCGGACAGATTCTATGGTAAGCGCCTAACGTTAGCAGGCATTCTGCAAGAGATTGAACGCTTCAGAGGTAATAACACTTACCACATAGTCCCATTTCTCCTCGAGAGAGACCGTTGCTCCCTTCTCACGGTCTCCGCAACAGGGCATTTTGCTGCAAAAGCCCGGTGCGGCCAGGCACCGAACGATTGGCTCAGGTATGAAACGAGGGGAAGGGGAATAGATGCGACTTCGTCGGTCCAGCCGTGCGAAGTCTCAATCGCAAGGAGAACAAGGCGACAACAAAAAGAAACGAGGGCGGTTGTCTCGGTTTTGTACAAGGAGAGGAGGGAGAGAATAAAAATAAAAAAAAAGATAAAAAAGAATGGCTACCACGAGTGGATCGAGTATGCTGGATCGGCGGCTACGCGCATTGATTGCGCATGGCCGTTGGACAGTTGCAAGGGGTCAAAGAGTGAAGAATGGAAGAAATCAAGCGACCGAGGAGCCAATCGATCCGGCTACACCAGGCGCATTGTGTCAAATTTCCAAATTGACGTGCAGAAGCAAGCTCGCAACGATTGTGCAACGCAGGGCTGGCGACAGATGGGGGTGTGGGAACATGCCAAGGATCAGGGGCTTGTCGCAATTGCGGGGGTGGCCGGTGACAACGAACAAGTCAGAAGAATGTGGCTGAGGGAAGAAAGAATGTATGAAGGAATGAGTGACAGCCAGGCGGTTAGGTAGGAAGAGGAGTTGCAGCGATGAAACAGAGCCCTGGCGGGAGACAGAAGCTGAAGAAGGGGAGAGGAGAGAAGGAGGGGGGAGACAGGACTGAAACCGAGAATGCAGGCCGGAAGGGAGCCAACCCTGGCGAATGGAAGGCCATGGTGAATTGTGAATTCTGATTTGATTGAAATTGAAGCGATTAATGACGATTGATTGGCATCGACAAATCAGCGGGGAGCGATGAAACACCAGCGGGCGCTTAAGCACGCGCGAAGTCGTGAACCGTCGGGGCATTCCTCGCTTGGCTTAGCGGCCCACCCGACCCTGGCACTACGGAGTATAGGGACTGTGCCCTGTGCAGTATACCTACTGTGTACATAGAGTAACTCTGTACTCCGTCAGGGTGAATTGTTCTGATCGGAAGACTCAAATTATAAACAAATTAGATTGATGAGTCCCAATTTTAATCTAGTCCACATATTCCTTCTGTATCCTCTTATCAACACAACCAAATCCGACTCATCGGCAAACTGAGCCGTGCCAAGGGCTGCTTAATTACTGCTCCACTGACCAGCCGAGCAAACGAATGCACATTCTTATCTCGTGAGCTCAGGGTCGGCATGTGTTCCTCCGTCTTCTCTACGGAGTAATTTTATTTATCATCTTAGTTCCTGACTGCAATTGATCTCAACTCATGGCGCCATTTTTGACCATCAATATTATGGAAGTACTCCGAATAACCCAATTTGGTTCTCGAATCTGTCCGTTTTTATCCACTATTCACAAAATCCCAGCTACAGAAACATTGCCCAGTGGAGAATTTCTGCAAGATCTGCAATGGCAGAGAGGTTCAGAAAATCAGAACCCCTCCTGGCGCCTACTTGCCGAAACTTTGGAAACCTGAAACTTGAGACTTGTCGCTGATCCACTCGGGCGTCAACGGATATACATTAGTTTCCAGTCAGCGTACGGTGTACTGCTTAAAGTTGCTCCCACCTTCCTGGCGAACACGTCGCCACCGTACCCCTGAAGGTCAACCGGAGCAAGAGCACGCCTTGGGTATCAGGCGTCAGCTAAGTCTCGGGATTGATCTCCGTGCCAAGAGGGAGCTATGCGTTCATTCCACCATCCACTTGTAGAACCTCGGCTTCCCAAATGGCGCGCCTGATGATCAGCGTATACCCTCGCTCTCATCAGATCGCTCCTAAAACAATCCCGAATCATCTTTCCATAAGCTGTGGGATCAATCGCTCCGAGGAATGCACGAACGACTAATGATCCGGCATACGCCGAGTTCTCTCCCATCTCTTGCGATAAAAGCACTTCGCACCCATGAAGATATCGAACGAGTGACCATGGGTTCAATGGAAAAGCCAATCGTGCGAGTATCAATTTTCTATCATTTTTGCAGCGTTGTTGCCAGATCAATCGCAAGTCCTGTTCATTCGCCTTGAATGGCCTTCTACTTATGAAGTATTCCTATCTCGACGAGTCAAATTTCCATTCCAGACATTCACAGTAGATGGGGCTCTCTAAGTCATGCGCAAGAGTCTTACCTTTGTTTAACCTCTTGCTATGAGATATCTCCATCAGATCGAACGAAGGCTTTCTCAAGCCCAATGCTGAGCATCTTGCACCTTCAATTCTACTGACTCTATAGATCGAGTCCCGATAGAGGGCGTAAACAGGACCATGGATGTCACTAGATACGGTTTCTCTACGGTGAGGAGTAAGAGACTTTTTTTTTTTTTTTTAGTAGTGCCGAGAGTTCTATTTCACTCAAACAATGTCTATCTATATAATCGCTAGAAAACAAGAAAACGAAAAAGGAATTAGAAAGCCCAAAAAAGAACAGAAAAGCCAAGACAGTCTTCCAAGAGAAGAACGACGAGATAAAAAGCCAAGGAGAAGGCTAAAGAGAGAACATACAGGAAATTGAAAATTATATAAGTTTCCTCCTCTTTCTCAGCTCGACTGGGCGGACGGAAGCACGGAAGAAAGCCCGGGAGTAGAGGAACACGTCTACAAACCAGCGGACTCACATGCAGCCACAGAATCAGGTGTAGCTACGGAAGGTCCAGCTGGGAGTCATGATCAACTCTCAGCACCAAGGGACAGGTCGAATACCGCGCAGGGTCGCAGGTTGAGCGGGATCCCGAGGAAATCTGTCTCGAAACTCTTTCAAGCCCGTTGCCATTACTGGCCGGACTCGAAGAGCGAGAACAAGTCCTGTCGAAGGATCAGAAGGGACGGCGTCTCCCGTTCGAACGATTGAACGGGGACGCCCCGGGGCGGGTCTTTGCGTCGGACAGGGAGTTCGTGAGGCTTCGGATTTGATCGTCCAGAGCCCTAACCTGGACGCTCGACGCAGTTTGGGCCGCCGCCCTCGCCCTCCGCTCGTTGTCCAATTCACCCTGGAGCTGGCGGATGAACTCATCCTTAGCCTGGTCGGAAGACTCAACGACCATGAGGCTAGATTGGCTGCGCAGCATCCGGAGTTCATTCCGCAGCTCCACGACCTCTACCCTGCTCTTCTCGAGGGCCGTGACGATCGATCCCATGTCGCTCGTACGGCGCTTTTGGGGGGTCCCCTGCGACAGACGCGCAGCTTCCTCCAGGTCCCTCACGCGGTTTCTGAGGGGCTGGGCTATACGTTCGAGGCGCCCGATCTCCTGCCGACACTCCCTGGTTTGGGTTTCTGCGTTCGCCAGTTTACCCTCGAGGTGGTCGACCTGCCGGGCATTTCGATCGCTCAGGGCGGCTTTGGCCTCGGCACTCTCGAGGGCAGTCTCTAGATCGGCAAGACGCCTGTCGCGGTCCTCTTCAAAGGCGGCCAAAGCTGCCCGACAGTTTTCATCGACCCCTTTGGCCCAAGCGAGTGTCCCTTGATACAAAGCCTCCCCACCATCCCTCTCCGACTCTAACATCCCGGCCTTACCCTCCAGGGCCTTGACTTCATCCTCCAGAGACTTGATCTCACCCTTCAGGAGTTCGCACCGCTGGTTGGCGGCATCGCGCTCCTTGGCTGGCTCTGGGTCGGCGTCGAAGGCCTTGCCCATTTCGATCTCGATCAGGAGGTCGCTCCTTTCCTTGCAGAGTGCTTCGTTGCTGGATACGAGTGCATCGTGGCGGGATACGAGCTCATAATATCTTTCCTCGAGCTGCGTATAGACCTGCCCCCCTTGATCACTCAGGCTTTCCAGTTCCCGTACGCGTTGCATGCTGTTATCGAGCGCGCGGTCCCGCTCCAAGAGACAATCCCTGAGCGAATGGACCTCGTTCATAGCATCCACGTATTCGGCCTCGGTCTGCGCCATCAACTTAGCATGCTGACGTTCCAGCTCGACTTTGGCAGATCGATAACGTTGCAACTCGTCCTCGGCGCGATCTTCCTTGGCTTCCAGCACTCTGACCCTCTGGGAGAGAAAGTCCCGATCCTCACTGACCTCCACCAATTCCCCCTGCATCTTCTCGAGCTGCGCGTTCTTCCTCTCGACCTGCTCTTCCAAATGGGAACGAGTGATGTCACGCTGCCGCGGCTCCACGTTCGAGGTAGTATAAGATGTTTCCCCGAACGAGACGCGAGGCGCAGGCAGCGTGCCGAAGAACTCCCCGTATTCTCCCCGTTGCTTCGTTGCCAACTGCTTCGCGGCGTCCGCTACGATGCGCTCCTCCTGGGCTTTGATCGTCTTCTTGTAGCTTTCACACTCGCTAGCGTGTTCGTTGATCAAAGCCTGCATCTTTGTCTCGAGTTGACGCTCGCGTTCAAGCACAGCAGAATCGTCGGTCTGTGCTCCCTGGTCGACGGCGCAGTTCACTGTCTGGGCCTGAACCACAGGTTCAGGCTGGGCGATTTGTTCGGCAGCGACGGTCTCAGAGAGAACGTAGTACATCCAGGCAAGGACACAGACAAGAGCAAGCAGAACAATAGGAAGAAGAGGCCACTCATCCTGATGACTGTCAAGCAGCGCTTGGTTCTCATCGACCACTCCGTTCAAGTTCACGCCCAGGTTACGCCCGAAACAGTGGAACTCTGCCAACAATCGACCCCGGCCAGAAGGCAGGTAGAAGTAATTTCGAGGCGAGAAGGAGCAGTACACACCCATGTCCCACTGTGTGGAGAACAGACCAGCGGCAAAGCCCGACAGGAGCTGTCCTCCGCAAAGGAACATGGTGATGCACGCGACCACGCCGAAGAATCCTAGCGCCATGAATCGAATGATCATGACCCGGGGGTCAGGGGCAGAGTACAGCCACAGGATTGCCTCGAAGGGGACCCGGCACAAAAGACGGCAGCTAGTCGATTGCTTCAACTCATTGAGGGTGAGGAGCAACGTGGTGCGGAGCCCTTGGTAAGAGCGTACGACGGCGAGCTGTTTAACCAGCCACTTGAAACCGAGCACCACGGAGAAGAGCTTGTTCAGTCCAGTCATAATCCAAGGAGAGATATCGTCCCAGAAACCCATCACGAAACCTAGCGTAGTTATCACCGCAAAAACCATACCCGAGCAGATTGATAGCTCAACCAAGTCCATGTCTGGGATGAACCAGGGTCCGGCAATAAGTTCAAGGTTGATCAGGTCTTGTGTGAAAATAGGCGCTTGATATTCCCCTTCTAGTTTCGATAGGAGATCCGGGAAGAAGAGACCAAAAAGCTATTCATCGTCAGACAACAGAAGCCTTGCATGACTCCAGACAACTTACGACGAAGAGAAGGAGTATCAGGTAGTTCTGGTGGGTCTGGTTGAACTCGGTAACGTTGAACCAAATCATGTTGTTCGAGAGACGAAGGCCTTTTTTCACACGTTAGACAAAATTCTTCCATGACTTTGGGCAGCTTACTGATTAAATCAGCTTGTAGGGGTAAGTCAGGCGTATTTGTTCGTGTGGGTTTCTGTCGCTCGAGACAGAACAGAGGATGTTGCAAGTAAGATGAAGAACTTCTGGTTGTTAGACAGAGATCTTGCATGACTCCTGGCAACTTACTGACTGAATCAGTTTGTGTGGGTACAGCAGGCGTGTATCTCCTTGGATGAAGCTTGCGCAGATGCTTGAAAGTACGTTAAGATAGATGGATGTTTAGAGAGAATACTTGTGAGATGATGGTTTGGAATGAAGAGGGAGATAGTGGATGAGGAGGGGGATTTGTTTGGAGCGAAGAGGGATGGATAGAGGAAGGAAGTGGGAGAAGCGAAAGGATGTTTGATTTTCACTGCCTTTGAAGTGGGTGAATGGTTTCTTCAGGGCAGGTTGGGATTTTCTTTTCGCTGATGAACAAGCTCTTCAGTTCTGGGGGTGAAAGACCTTCTTTTATGTTGACGGCGAGGAAGGCCCCAGGACAACTTCGCCGGAAGTTCCCAGCTCAAACTACATCATACGGAGGCTACTTACTGGAATCTTCCTGTCTGCAGAGGCCCAGTGACAGCTGCAGTCACCGCAATGTTCCTGTAACAGGTTTCCCTGCGCTGTGATTGGACTATCAGTGAATCTTCCTTCCAGAAGAAACTTGCAACCTGGGGAAGTTCCGTTATCCTTTGGCCTCGTGAGATTGATTTCCTGACGTAATGTTTTTTCCAATGTTGACAGACATTTTGCAACATCGCCATGATCGCTACTGCCTAGTCAGAAGGCGCAGTGAATCTATCTGGAGCTTCACGATGTAGTTTCATGAAATTTGTCTTTGGCTTGGACTACAGACATTGAGGGGCTATTGCAAAAGATGCAATATCTACTTTGAGTGAATGTCACTACATATAAAGACATTTCGTTGGATTCAACATGGGTTTAGGATATAGCTCGATGTTCGACTATACCCTGAAAACCAGCGGATACAGCGATTCTTTGGCACGAAGGATGAGATATCAACTTCACAGATAGGTTCTGACTCCAGTATAGTTCGATGCTATCCACCGGCCAATCAATTTTCAGAGCGAACAGTATATATTTTCATACGTAAACAGACAAAAGCAGGCCTAGCCTTCGATCCAGGAAACTCTGCAGTACTGCATGGTCCATGAAAAGGTCTAATACTGCTCGTATACGTCCGACCATACCCCGCACAGACTTTTGCTTAAGATTTAAACAATAGAAGACCATCTTCGAGGGAACTGGCGGACCAGTCTACCCCAGATATCAAGATCAACCAGCCGATTTCGTCTCCACCGTGGTTATGTATCACGCGTCTTCGGATAACGGCAAAGCGGGGAGGTCTATACTTCGTGTGGCTTCGGGGCTTTCTGCCGAGATCTAGATAATCTCTGTTTGTTTGTTACACTGCATGAGCCGAGTGGAGATTAGATACATAGGATCTTGTTGCCAAGGAAGATACTTCGACTCTGGAATGTCGAGTAAGATCCTGGCTCGGACACTATATATTTTTATCATGCAAACGAGCTCCACTACCGTACTCCAAGTAGTTTAAATGGCCGTTTGATTTATGTTTACTTCGTTTATATGTGGGTTTCGGTTGGTTGATAGCGTCGCCCCGATATCACAAGCCTGACCGTTCAATGCAAGACTCCAGGAAGGCAAGGAATCCAGCCTACGGAGTAATCTATCTCGTGATCCACTCGAAGAACGATCGGCGCTGGTCAGAAAAATATCTCAGGCTAGCCTTACGCGGTGCTAACCTGACAGTTTAGCGGCAATAGAATGGGCCCAGGGCCTTTGCTCATTTGAGAATGGGTCTAAGAAAACACCTCTTACGAGTACGAGGCATAGCGTGCACTATTTACCGGAAGGTTGGTCCGTATTATCGACGGGGGACTCTGTGGGGAGTCAATTGTCCGGGAAAAGAAGAACAGGAGACATCGAAGTGGAACCAGGAATGATGGCGAAGATCCATGATCCTCGTTGGAATTTCCTAGCTGGTCGATGAAACAACTGGATTGTCATTTAAAAGGGGCTGTCGGCTTAGTCGCACAATTGTCATTCCAACCAACGTTTGTATGATGTGTCCACTTGTCAGAATGAAGATTCTGTCGAGAATAGATCGGTGCTCAGTACGGAGTACAAGCCTTTTCGATAGAATTCAAGTCCTAGAATAGAGTCATTAATTCATCGGGACAGAAGGGAAAGGCGGGACAACGGCCAGGGGGGATATTAGTTTTAATATACTCCGTAGTGCCGAGACTCAGGCCATCCATGCCAGCCTTCAATCTCAGGTGTCAACCAGGCTTAACAGCCCTGCAAGGCGGGCGCTGATTGGGCGGGACGGGCTCTGGGGGTGCCTTCCCTTTTGGGGGCAGACACCTACCGAAAAGGGCAGGTCTGCTTGGGATCAAAACAGACAAACAGAACAAACAGCTCCCTGTCAATTACCTCATTTCCCTGTCCACCTCCTCCCGGAGTCCGGGGGAAACTGTCGTCTTCATCTTCTCGTGTACCATCATCCTCCCTCTTATCTTATTCACGTTTATTCAAACCTTTTTTCCCCCGTTTCCTTTCTTCTATCCTTTGTTCTCATCAACCATTCAATTCAAATAATCAATCTGAAATCTACCTGCTTACTTGCTTCGCCGTCCGCCCCACCTCCTAGTGTCTGCTTGGCTTCCGATCGCGACTGGGCGCGGCACACCCCTTTACCCTGGATTTGTTCAGCCCAGGCTTACCCGCAAATTGTCAATAGGCAGTCCGACTAGGGACAAATAAATATGTCCCCCATCTAACCCGCTGCCTCCCTTTCATTCTTTTTCTTCTCCCTCGCTGCCCCGCCCACTGCTGATGGCTACAAGTCCGGCCATCCGTATTCTGGCCCTCCGGCCGGTTGTCCACGGTTTAGGAAAATTGTTCCTTTTCACTCTCGCACAGCTACCTCTCATCGCCGGCGCTCCGACGGTTCCTTATCTCAAACGCTCCGAAGAAGTCCACGCATTATCCCCCAGCGACCCTAGTCTATGGCTGTATCTCGGTGTGGCCGCCGCGCTCGTCTTGACCGGCGGCGCATTTGCCGGTCTGACCATCGCTTTGATGGGCCAGGTATGTTCGCCACCGGCAAACCAGGCAGCACCTATTAATCCTTGGCTAATTTTGGCGATAGGATGAGGTCTATCTGCAGGTCATTCAGACATCCGGTGAAGGCGCAGAGCGAAAAAATGCAGCCAGCGTGTTGAAATTGCTAAAACGGGGAAAACATTGGGTTTTGGTGACTCTCCTGCTCAGTAACGTCATCACCAACGAGACCCTCCCCATTATTCTGGACCGATCGCTTGGCGGGGGTTGGCCTGCGGTTCTCGGCAGTACAGTCCTCATTGGTAACAATGCACTTCCCCCTCACTTTCCAATATGAGCGAAATTCGACTGACCTTGTCGGTCGGCGTCCAGTGATTTTCGGCGAGATCGTCCCCCAATCCATCTGCGTTCGGTATGGCCTTCCCATCGGTGCTTGGATGGCCCCTTGTGTTCTGGCCTTGATGTACCTTATGTCGCCCGTGGCGTGGCCCGTCGCCAAATTACTCGACCGCCTGTTGGGTGAGGATCACGGTACAATCTACAAAAAGGCGGGTCTGAAGACCCTGGTAACGCTCCATAAGACTCTGGGAGAAGCGGGCGAGCAGCTCAACTCCGATGAAGTTACCATCATCAGCGCTGTCTTGGATCTAAAGGACAAGGCGGTTGGTGCCATCATGACCCCAATGGAGGATGTTTTCACCATGTCTGCCGATACCGTCCTTGACGAGGAGACGATGGATTTGATCCTCTCCCAGGGATACTCCCGCATCCCCATCCATGCTCCGGATAACCCCCTCAACTTTGTCGGCATGCTTCTAGTCAAAATGTTGATCACTTACGACCCGGAAGATTGCAAACGGGTCCGCGATTTCGCCTTAGCCACGCTCCCCGAAACCCGTCCCGAAACTAGCTGTTTAGATATCGTCAACTTCTTCCAGGAAGGCAAGTCGCACATGGTACTGGTCTCAGAATACCCCGGTGAGGACCGGGGCGCCTTGGGCGTGGTTACACTAGAGGATGTGATAGAAGAACTGATCGGAGAGTAAGTGCCATGCAAACTTTCTACAAATTAAGTGGATCGTGAACTAACGCGATTGACCATAGGGAAATTATCGATGAATCGGACGTTTTCGTTGATGTCCACAAAGCCATCCGGCGTATGACACCTGCTCCGAAATCCCGCGTGCCCAAGGGCAGAATCGTGGAAGAACCACCCATGCTATCGAGCCATCCCGCTCAAGGCACCTTAGTCGACATCGGAGCTGAAGGTCGGGGACGAAGACAGTCGGAGGGACGGCGAAGCTCGGTGGAAGCCCCGTTGCCACGATTCCAGCTCCGCAGACAACAGTTGGACAAAGGCGCGGATTCGCCCGATGGTTGGGTCACTCAACGGGGAACCACAGATGAGATTCGCGAACATTTGAAGCATCTTGGGCCTTCCAATCTGGCCAGTCGGCCCCGTCATACCCGGTACCAGAGCGTGAAGATCAAGCGAGCCGGTGGTTCACCGACACGGTCGGGACAGACGGATGGCGATTCGGCCCTGAGTACTTCCGGGTCTGGGCATCGTCGTGCCTCTTCGCTCGGTTTACCCGGTACCAGTGGTGGCATCGGTGCCGGGCTCCTCCAATCGGGCGGCTTGGACGCACGCGATGGCGCGCATGCACTACGTCTCGGGTACGACACCATGTCGCATCCTCCAGCCACAGATACCGCAACCCAGACGAAAGATGGGTCAGGGATATCCATCCCGGAAGCCGTCAATGAAGAGCAGGACGAATATGGACGCTCTGCCGGGTCAAGTGCAGCGATCAGCATCTGGTCTTCTGACTCGCGGTCCCGAGACCGCCTTAAGGCGACCAGCTATCAACACCAAGGGCCCGCCCGCAGTGGCAGTATTACCGAGCAGGTGGTCGATGTCAACGGAATTCGTAAAGTGGTTCTACACACGACGAGTACGAGTTCCTCCGACGATGAATTTGGAGGCAAATTCCCAGTGCGCCAGGATGGACAGATCCATGACCTTAATAATGATACCGAGATGACGAATACCAATGGACAGAAGAAACGTCGTCGGCGACACAAGCGGGGCAAGGCTTCGAAGGGATCGCGGGATGACCAAGAAGAATCGGCACTTCTGCTGCCGCAATGACCTTAAGCCCAGGCTCTCATGCTCCTTCTCTGCTGGTCAGACAGGGCACACTTCAGTTCTACGCACGGGAGCGTCTCAGATTGTATGATTTGTTGTGTGGAGACGTTTGGACGTGCCCTTTCTCTCTATCACTTTGTGGGGACATAGCTTCCACCAAGCATAGCCTGTATAATGCATCATTGATCTTTCTTGTCCTGCTATATGAGTTTAACATGCACTCTTCCCCTAGTATCAGTATAGCAGTATGTATCCGACATATACAGCCCTACAGCCGCTCTGCCGACGCTCGGCTCTAGTCCTGCTCTACTATCAAAGCCCCTGATCATCTCCAGTTCTTTCCACCCAGGCCAGACATGGTTATCTATCCAATATGCTAGTAAAAAGAATTACCCGTATTAAATCAAAGACTCGGGCCTATTTCACAGGACTCTACAGTGCTAAGCGTTTCGCCAGTCAAGTCTAACATTCATCAAACCAAATGAATAAATTTTTCAAATGTCATTCGAACCAAACTTTTTATGTATCATGCCGTCAATATCTACGTGTCGTTGAACCATTCATTAACTCCGCGAACAGGTAACATAAACATCAAAACGTTAGAAAAGAGAAAAGCAGAGGCAAAGGAAAAAAAAAAAAAAAAAAAAAAAAAAAAAAAACAGATGAATTGTGTATGTGTATGTGTAATGCCGAGCAGAAAACAGGATATCAATCGTCTTAAGAGAAGAGGATGCGAATCGTTGCGATGAGATCATTGCAGGAGGGGATCCTAAAGTAAGGTTATGTTAGTTAATTGTTGATTGTAGATTTGATTGTGAGATGGGAAAGGGGACAGAGCAGGTGATAGGTAGGCAAGGATGAGAAGGGAAACATACCCGGAAATGCTTCTGGTGATTGGCGGCGCGTTGCACCCGAGCCGTAACTCTCTGTTCTTGCCGGATGGCCCTGGTTCGTTCCTTTTTCTCCGACGCAGCAGCAATCTGCTTCTGGGTGTCCGTGGCGCCGATCATACCGGAACCACCGTTGGCACGGCTGATGACGGCGCGGTTGAGGTTGCGGCCTCGCGGCTTGGGCTGGTCCTCCTCGATCTCGCCGTTCTCGATGGCCAGCTGGCGCTCGGCGCGTTCCTCGGCGGTGGGGTAGTTGTGCAGGTTCTGGCGGTAGTAGCGGGCGAGGGAGCGGTGGCCGACGCTGCGGCCGGAGGGCAGGTGCATCTCGTAGTCGGTCTTGTAGACGACGGGGGCGTTCTTGGGAAGCACCTCGTCGCCGTCCACGGAGGCCGAGTCCTCGGTCTCCCAGCCGTCTTCCTCGCCGACGACCTTGACGCCGCCGGCACCCTCCTCGACCATCTCCTCGTCCTCGTCTTCGTCGTCCTCCCACTCGTCGTCGTCGGAGTAGGTGCTGCGGAAGTCGTAGAACTGGCCGATCTCGATCTGCTCGTCCTCGGTCTCGAAGGCAATCATGCAGTGGCCCTTATCGCGCATGTGGGTGCGGATGCCGGCGGGGCTGTTCTTGATGGCATGGCAGTAGAGACACTCGCTGTTCTCGTTAATCTTGCGGTGCAGGTAATGCAGGAGACCCTCCATGTTGACGAGGAAGTCCTTCTCGGGGATGAACATGCCATGGCTCTTGAGCATGTGGTCAGCGTTCTCCTGCATGTCGGCAGATTTGACGGGACAGAAGAGGCAGCGGGCGGGCGAGAATTCGCCGTCGTCCGCCGTCTCGTCCATCGCGTCCTCATCCTCGTCTTCCTTGATCGTGGCGGCGTTCATGCCCTGCGTGATCTTCGACACCTCAGTCTGTTCGCGCGGCTTGTTGATCGGCTCGCCGAGCGAGAACGTCGAGCTCATGACGGACGAGGCATCGTCGGCATTGTTGCGGTTGAATTGCGCCTGGCGCGATCGGTGCTTCGAGCTCTTGATGTGGTTCTGGTACGAGTTCTCGCTGTAGAAGGTCTTCTGGCAGGCGGTGCAGCTCTTTTCGAACGAGGCCTTGGCGGCGGCTGCGGTGGAAGTCGCTTTGGCGGCGAGGACTTTCTCGTTGAACGTTTCCTGGGCTACGGGGGGAAGGGAGGCGATCCGACGTTTCATGTTATACAAACTGTTATGAGAGAGTAGATATGTGAGCCATTGTCACTGTCTTTCAAGGGCCCAGAAAAAAAAAGGCAAGCGACTTACTGCCAGTCTCCGCGCATATGATTCCGCTGGGCATCGCTGCCGCGGAAAGCAACCAGACAGGCATTGCAGGTGTAAGGAAGGGATGTGGCCGGAGCGCTAGGATCGAGGGACGCCATATTGTATGGGTTTTTTGCAACAATTCTGACGTTGAAATTCGGGAATATTGAGGGTATCACGGATTAAATCAAAAATGGCCAAAAAGCGGCGCTCGGTTGTGTGCGATAAATCTCGAGCGGGGCGGATGTGCTCAGTCTCCCAAATACTGAGATGATGAGTTTCAGATGTAAACAGTCACAGTCAGCAACAAGACGGAAGGAGAGAGAACAGCAATAGGAAGAAATGCTGATTGCTAATATGGTTGTAAAGTCACTGCCCCTCGATCAGAAAGACTCGAATCGCATGAGTAATCCGATCACTAAGCGGAGACTTGCCGCTTTAAGCCACTTTATGACGTTCTTGCACGTGCCCCGCTCTAATCCTTTTCGAGAATATTCTAACCGGATGGGGTACTATGGTTATGGTGCTTTGCATGGAATACAGATGCTTCTATATTGCAACCTGGGGCTTGTCTTATCAAGAAACAATACCCTATCCCACCGATAAACACATGGATATTTATCAACGATGGGCAGCAGCCCATTGAAACTATCCATATCTCGCATGAGGGTTGACTATTGCTCCAAAGGTCGTGGTTGCATGTGTCTAGATTTGCCAATGAACTTGCCGAAGACATTTAACTTTGTGCATTTGCAATGAAGCGGCAGTGTAGTGGAAATAATGTTTGCCCTTGGGAGAAACCGTAGAACTGAAAAGGTAATCCTATTTCCCACTGGATGTAGGAATGTATACCGCTAGCGATTCGCCTCTTGTTTTTGGTTAATGCTTGGTAGTTGGCTCTTCTGTGACGCAAGCCGAAACCTCTGTCAAGTTTGTCTCTACAAAGCCTGCTGATACTAGGCAGCAATTATTGAGACATCTTCTGTGTCGGGAAACAAAAGGCCTTCTAGAGTGTGGATAGTTCTGAGGGTCTGGAGGGCTGATGACGTTGTGGTCTGTGCTCTACGCTAGCCTACTTTTGGTACACGCTAACCGCATAAGGGCTCGGATCAGCCTTTCCTCCGAGAATTCTGCCTTAGTCAGGATAACAGGGTCTTGGCGCCTAAGGCCACTTCTGGCGGTCTTCCGCATGATATCAGCTTAGCCCCGGAAAGTACAGACCACCCACCACCCTCACCTCTGCTTCATTCTGCAGTTCTTGATTCTGGCCGGAATCACCAACTCCCAGATTGGACATCCTGACTGGGGCCAAGTAATGCTCCCCAGTTCACGAAAATGACCAGGCTCCGCGGAGCTTCTGTGAGCTCGTATGAGACCTCCCGTGGGAGCATTGACAGGCCTCAGCACCGCTCCAAATTACCCCCGAACGCCCCGGAGATCATCGCCCAGAATACCGTGGATGTGTCGGATCCTGCACAGGTGCTACTTTGGTACAAAGATGAGCGACGGCGACATTTTAATCTCTTGGTTCGCAGGTTAGTACTCTGCTTCTTCAACCAAATATAGGTCCCTTCCTTCTAAGTCGAGCCGACGGCTAAGTTCTCTCTGGAAAGATACAAGAACCAACTCCTCTACGGATGTCAGGACCCCGGATGTCAGACCGCGACCTGCGCGAGCTATCGCAGGAGGGTTACGGAAGGACCGTTTCGTCGTTACACCGAACTGAGTGCCCGCACGTTGGCTTGCTATCTGGCGAGCTTGGATAACGCAGAGAGCGGTCTCTGTCGCAATAGCCCCCGCGTCCCATCAGATCTCTCCTCGCAGGACTCCCACCAACGCCGATCGAAACGCCGCACTCGCGCACTCCCCACGAATGATACATGTCGAGACCGAAGCGGGTCATCAGCAGCGGGTCACAACGTTCCGAAAGGGACTTCGCCACAAACGCCGTCAACTCGGAATGCGGATTTATCAGGCGTGAAGAGCAATGCTTCGCGAAATTCCTCTGAGTTCGAGCCACAGAAACATAGCGAATACTTGCCACTTGATGAGAGCGGGACGATCCAGCAGATGAAAGATCCGAAGTCGTTCACGCAGAACCTTTTCGACACGCTATCACTGAGAATGATCGAATGGCTGCCTTTGCGACGATCCCCGAGCAGCATTTGCCCCGAGCAAGATCAGACAAGCGCTCGTACTGCTGCGCGATCGCCCAAGCCAGACATTCGCCATGCCCAGGTCCAATCAGACACCGAGAAACAATCTAAAGGTCGCGATCGTCCGTCCCAGTATCACGCATTACCAGGGGGTCATCCCCACACTCCGTCATCTCGGGCTACAGGAACCCAAACTGCTGCGGTGGAAGTGAGAATGGCAAACCAACAGTTTAAGCGGCGTTCGCTAACCGAGATGGACCAGTGGCGCCACAGCCCGCGATCGAGCCTAGAGGATAAAACTCTCACTGAACTCAAACCGGCTCGCAAACTCTCTTTCAACGCCCATACATCCACCGACGAGTCTGTCAACATTCCCTCACCGCCAGCGCTGAAACATCGTTCACAAAAGCACCGAGGTCGTACGGGCGACACGCCTGGTGGGGCTTCGCTTGAGCAACGAAAAAAGGAGAGACGTGTCTCTTGGGACGGTGCGAAGCTACTGAACGATGCCCAGTACTACGACGCGCAGAAACCCACCGCTGCTATAGCAGAGCGGCAGCGTGCGTTGGAGGAGGCCCAGTCTCCGAGTGAGCACAAACCACGTCCAAAAGGGGTTCATTCAAAACGAGAGTCCTCCACAATTCAATCAGTCACGCATCTCACTGGTGAGATTATCGATGGGCTGAGGCAACTGATGGTGCTCTCCGAGGATGATGCGGAGAGATGGAAAGACGAGCTTGCTTACATAGAGTCTATTGGCACCTTGGAAGATTCTGAATGGCGCTTTGCAACACCTCGCCAGCGTCAGGTCTTCGCGTTTGTAGCGCAAAGCATCTTTTATGCTTTGGGTAGCACCAAACATATCCTGCAATCATTTCGCCAACCCACGGCTGGTCCGACAGAGATGGTGGAGCAGGACACCGTGCATCCTAGAATCCACATGCAGCAGCTTCAGCCGTCGCTGCGCAAGTTATATTCCATTTGTCCAAAAGATCTTATCTTCCATAGTCTTTGGGCTGGCCTGGAAACTTTGTTCATACCGCCGAGAGAGCTATCAACCCCCAGCAAACCATCTCGACGGTCCTCATACAATTCTACTTCCGGGGCATCTCTGTCTGCACCGATAATCTCCCGGCAGACCACTGAAACCTCAAGAAGCGAGCCAATTAGTGATGCCAATGCCGCGGACATTGCTACCGTCGCTCTGTTTGCCTTGGCTAGTTCCCTCCCCGAAATCGATGAGCCGACGTGGCGCGGCTTGCTTCAGATGCGTGCAACTGGCGCCGTAGCTTCTAGTTCCGAGATGCAGAAGCTCCCTTTGCACAATACACGATTGATCATAGGTATCACTGATGTTCTTGAACATGAACTTGCGCTTCGGCTGCTAGGCCGCCTTGTGCGCGCTCTCACCGCACGGTTAGCATTCTATGAAATATCCAAGGCTCGCCAGCCGTACACCTCCGATGCTCCGAAACAGCAGAGAAGTAGCGTTCTAGATCTTCTCATCAATAACCTTAGCGAAAACCATGAATCCTCCACCGCCAATCTCAACGACTCCGACCAAGCGCAACCCCCAAATCCTCCCGCCATCATCGCCGAATGGCTGCGCACGCTTTTCCTGAAAGAATGGGATGGCAACCCTGAGATGCCCAAGAGTAGTACCGTGGGCGGTGCTGTACAGATTCTTTCGATGATGTACAAAGAGCGTAGTCGCCTGGGCCTTGTCCCGGAAGACTTCCACACTCCTTTTCTCTCAGAGAGGTTGGAGCCATTGGAACTACCAGTCGAATGGATGGGACGAGTTCCCAACAACAAGACGATGCACCTCCTGTCGTATCCTTTCCTTTTCCCTCCCTCCGCGCTCGTGATTTACTTCCGCGCCTTGAATTATGCCGCCATGTCGAAACACTATGAAGCCGCGACAACCATCACCAGGCATGTGACGCAGACAGCATTCGGTGCCATCCAAATCCAAGAAGATGTTCCTTTGCTCTCCCGCTTGAAGACCTCCATGACCACGTATCTCGTGCTTGTGGTCCGCCGTGATAGTCTACTGACCGATGCTCTCAATCAGCTTTGGCGGCGAGAACGGCGGGAATTGATGCGTCCGCTGAAAGTGCAACTAGGACTGGAAGAGGGCGAGGAGGGCTTAGACCACGGAGGCGTCCAGCAGGAATTTTTCCGACTGGTGATGGCGGAGGTGATGGACCCATGCTACGGGATGTTCACTACGGACGGTCGAACGCGTGTTTCTTGGTTCCAGCCCTGTTCATTGGAGCCCCTCTACAAGTTCGAGCTGCTTGGGTTATTAGTGTCGATCGCAGTCTACAATGGCCTCACTCTGCCCATAAACTTCCCGACTGCGTTTTACCGCAAGCTACTGGGGCTCAAGGTCAAGCACCTCGAGCATATTCAGGATGGCTGGCCAGAGCTCACCAAGGGCCTTGAGGGACTCTTGGATTGGGATGATGGCGACGTGGGAGATATCTTCATGCGCACGTACGAGTACAGCTTCGAGGCCTTTGGAAGCGTCGAGACTGTGGATATGCAGAAAGTCGGCAAGGACTCACCTTGGCCTCTGCCATCAGCATTGTTCCGGGCCGGAAGTGCAACCAACCGACCCTTCCCACCGCCGTGGTCAGACGTACGACGCTTCACTGACCGCATGAGCCTGAGTCCTCCCTCGTCAATGGCCGCCGAGGCCACCGACTCGCATGCGGATCTCGCGAAGTCGGTGGATGGCTCGGTGCCAGTTCAGTCGCCAACACCTCCCGCCGAAGAGGCGCCACTGGTCACCAACGAGAATCGTGCCCAGTTCGTCAAGGACTATATCTTCTGGCTGACGGATAAGTCCATTCGACCGCAGTACGAGGCCTTTGCGCAGGGATTCTACACCTGTCTCGATCGAGCCGCCCTCTCCATTTTCACACCGGAGGCCCTGAAAACGGTGGTGGAAGGGTATCAAGAAATTGACGTCACCGAGCTTGAAGGACATGCACGCTATGAAGGCGGGTTTGGGCCGAATCATCGGACGATCCGAGATTTCTGGAGCGTTGTGCGAGGATACTCAGCGGCCCAGAAGGCACAGCTTCTGGAGTTCGTGACGGCAAGTGACCGAGTTCCGGTCAATGGTATTCCTAGCATCATGTTTGTGATCCAAAAGAATGGCGTGGGAGATACTGTAAGTTGCCCTGGTCGCACCATCAGACTTTTTACTCACCCGCTGACCTTCTTCTCCAGCGTCTTCCGACTAGTTTGACCTGTTTCGGCCGGCTTCTTCTACCGGAGTATTCATCTAAAAGCGTTCTGGAGGAGAAACTCAGCAAAGCATTGGAAAACGCTCGTGGATTTGGCGTTGCATGAAAGTGTGAATGACTGGAGTTGGACAATACATAATAATTATACCATTGACAGTGTCAGCTACTTGGCTCGTATAATATCATCTCGTACCAGCACATGGTCTTCCTCCGCGCTGCGGATGGCTCGGAATTCTTTCCTCCGAATATTTTAAGTAGCCTTACGGATTTCCAAGGGTTCTTTTGCTCTTCGCCATCGCCGGATCCACGGATTCGCTGCGAGAGAGTTAAAAACTCTATCTGCAGGTGTCGGTCATATAAAAATCCCGGCCATCATCTTTTTCGCTCTGTCCCTCTTGTTCCGCTTGACGGGTGGAGCTTTATTCTAATTAATTAATGGATTGATCAATTGATTTTTGATCAATATTTATCGCATTCCTGCTGACGCGCCATCTGCTAAAATTCTGATTTCTTCGTATCTCTTTTTTGCCCCTCGGAAATTCCTTTTCCTCCTTTGCTTTCGTTTCTTTTTTTCTTTCTCCTTGTTCTTCTCTTTACTTTCTTCATCTGTTCTGTGACAGAAAAGAATTAGATCGCCTGGATTTACATCTAGGTCAGTGCCCGCGTCTTACTTAACTGTGACTCAATGCTCCAGTTTGCCCCGCCACTAATTCCTACCCCACGTTTTAATCTCTCCTCTTCCAGTCTCCCCTCCGGTTCTCACGGCCCTTCACTTACCCCTTACTTACTTTTCTGGGACAGACAGATAGATCGGTCGCATATCTGATAGATATATACTTCGACTTTTTATATAGACGGAACGAACGAACGATAGAAACCTCGAAAATGCCCCCAACCGTCCACTGCGTCCGTCACGCTCAGGTCCGTTCCTCTAGCCCCTCACCCTCTTACACTGTTTCAATCATCTATCGATATTCAATCTATTCAATTTACATCGCAACTTCCACTCACCATCAACACAGGGCGTCCACAACCTCTCCACGGCCAACCACGTCATCCACGACCCCCTCCTCACGGATCTCGGCAACGAACAATGTCGCCAACTCCGCGGAGCCTTTCCCTACCACGACAAGATCGAGCTCGTGGTTGCCTCGCCCCTGCGCCGAACCATGTACACGGCGCTGCAGAGCTTCGAGCCATTCTTCAAAGCGAACCCGGATAAGAAGTTGATCTTGCTGCCGGATACGCAGGAGACGAGTGACGTGCCGTGCGATACGGGTAGCGAGCCTGAGGACTTGCAACGTGAGATTGAGGAGAAGGGGTTGCCGGTTGATTTGCAGTATGTTACGGAGGGGTGGAATGATAAGGTATATCTCTCTCTCTTTTGCATACACTTTTTGGATAATGGGGAATGCTGACGGGTGGGATGATTCATAGACGGGTCGCTATGCGCCGACTAACGAGGCCATTACGGATCGGGCGCGTGATGCACGACGGTGGTTGAAGGAGCGACCGGAGAAGGAGATTGTTCTGGTCACTCACGGTGGGTTTCTGCATTTCTTCACGGAAGATTGGGAGGACAGTAGTCAATACCAGGGTGGGTTTCATCTATCCTCTTTATCTACATCTGACTTGAATAGTCGCTAATGAGACCAGGAACCGGTTGGCTGAACACCGAGTTCCGCGATTACGTCTTCTCGCCAGAGTTCCACACCGAGGATCTGGACGGCAAAATACTGGCGGGCGACAACGCCAGCTTGGTCGAGACCGTGGATTCGCGCGCCCGTCGCGGAAAGGACGGACCGATGGCTGGTCGGCGACGACAGAGCACGCTGTACAAGCTCGGAACGCAGGATTGGGACGCCCAGGGGTTGCAGCTCAGTTCGGCGGAGCGAGAAGTGCTCAAGAATATCGATCCGAATGGTGCTCGCAATTAAGATGGCTTTTTCGTCGCATCTTAATGGGTATGCTAGGATCGGACGGAAGATACCCGGTCTGTTTCCTTTGTAGATAGTGCTAAATTAGTTGAATAGAAGAATAGAAATGTGGTTGCATTCATCTATTGTCGACGAAAGGCACGGAATATCTGAAAGAATTGATACTTGTGCTGGGCTGAAACCCCTTGTGGATAGAATGCTTTGAGCCGGCGTTGTGGTTGCCAAGGGCCACACAATGACATTGCCGTCTGCGCATAGGGTCATCAAAGGGATGAACAGATGCCCAAACATGTCAAAACAAACGTGATCTTGTAGCTCACATGCACAAAGAGACACCCCTGCATTGTCTCGTTCGTCTATAAGTAGCCGACGACCGCGAGTCCGAGTCTTCTCTTCGACACTCAGCAGCATTCGTCCTTGAATAGGTGCCACGGCAGGTGAGTCTCACTGCGTAAGGAACAAACTGATGGCTCTTAGGTCGATCCCAAGCAATTTGTTTGATCGCGACCTGTAAGTGCACTTCCTCATCCGAATGCTGACAGCGACAGGCTCTTCTGGGCTAAAGATACCTGTCTCCACGACCGATAAGTACATCTCCCTCCTTACCGGTCTATCTGCTGATACTAGTAGGCACTGTCAAGAGCCAAATATCCCGTTGCCCCATGAGCTCTGTGTAGCTCACGTGTGGTATACGCTTCTCTCTAAGTACCTCCCATTTAATCTACCAACAGGGGATACTGACAAGGGCACAGGCAGACAAAAGGAAGCCGGATAGAGGATTGGGTGTCCTCTAAGTATTCATGTTCTCTTTAGGTTGATGTCGGGCTCTTTTTTTCCTGATATTTTTTGGGCCGACGGATGACATCCCGATTGATGAGCACGACCTGCCCGGCTGAGCAGGTAACCCAATAGCTGTACACCGTAACACTGACGCTTAGATATAACATCTTGTGTGGCCGCAATCGAAAGCTAGTTCGCGGTATCGGTACAGAGTACTTTAATCCTAACTGACGAAGTGGGTAAATTAGGTACCGCTGATAGTCTGATACAGCAGATGCAGTGACACGCAATTGGTCTTGGCAGAGGCTTAGCTTGCATATGCAGAAAGCGGACAAGTGACTGCAGGAATACAACTGTGACGCCTGACTGACAATGTGGAGTGGTAGCGGTGTGGGGATGCTGGCATATTTGTACATAGGTCTTTGGTTTTCCAGAACCTAGATGCTGTGTGTAAGAGGCCAAACCGTGATATCTGTCCGCTGGTTGAAAGCTGGTGTGTGCTGCGTTGGTCCTCGATTCTGACGTGTATTTAAATGATTCAATTCAATTGTTGTTTTCCATCTGTCGATTCAGTTCATACTGGTCCCATGGTAAAGTCAATTCGTGCCGTTCCGTCTTGATTATGGTACATTCCCATCATCGACCTCGGCTAATCGGTGTCGATCCAGGCAGAACCGGCAGGCGGTTGCATTTATTGGAGGCGGAGTCAAGGCAGCAATATTGATTATCAACAAATTCCATCGTATTCCTGATATTGATGCTGATCGGACGGTGATTCGTCACCATGTCTGTTTGCTTTCCATCTGTAGATGATAGACTTGGCTAGTAGTACTCTGAGTACTGGACCGTGCAAAGGCGGTCTTAGAATGCGGATGCCTGAAATGGCACCACTGAGGCTTATATATGAGGCCGTGCTTGTAGAGTGGAACAGATGAGAGATCTGCTTCCGATATCTGGTTGCCTGGCAGGAGGAAGCAAAAGGAAGATTTATAGAAGGCAGAGAAGCGGGCGATACTCGTTGCGGTAAAGGCGCATGCAGGTGATCGGCGTCTATTTTTAGCCGACCGCGTGGCCCAGGCCTGAGGCAGCCTTCGCTCATCATCTTCGACCTCGTTTATTTGGCTTCCTTCCTCCACCCCGCCTGTGGTTCTTTTCGTGCTGGCTTTATAACCAGTCCAATGGCATCTACTTGTCTGCGCCCATCCCTGGATTAAACTCGTCTCCCAGCCAAAATGCTTGATGAAGCCCTCCCGAGTATGGTTCCACGGGTTTCCCTGTCCCTGACGACAACCAGGTACTGACATCAGTCAACATTAGCATTCTTCCTCAAATCCACCCGCCAATCTCACCTTAAGTCCATTTACTTCTGTCAACATGGCAATGACCCCTCCCCCGCCTACTCTCTCCGCCACGCCGACCCTTCCACCCCCGACGGCAAGAACCGCTACGCCGCCGCCCTTGTTGACCCTTACGTCCCCGACATCATCTACGGCGAGGTCCTAATCATCCCCGAATGGACGCAACCTAGCCTCTCCGCCGACGCCATTCGCGCAAACGGCGGCGTCACTCCCCCGCCGGAACCCCTCCTCCCCACCCACTTCACCATCCACCTCTACAACCCCGACCAGCAGGTGACCGTCGAATTCAAGCCCAAGAGCTGGAACAGCCCGGCGACATGGACCTTCGAGATGCCGCAGCATACCTTCCGGCAGCCATCCAGCTCGAGTCTCGATCGCACGCAGACCGATCCCGCTGCTGCCGACACCACGCCGAAGCTTCGCTTCAACTGGCGCCGCGATAGCAAACTGTCCAAGGATCTGACGTGTTACCTATCCGGCAAGACGACGTCCATGACGGAGAACAAGAATAAGGCGAAGAGTAAAGAGCCGGATATTATCATGTCGATCTTCAAGGGACTGCGGGAAATGACGCTTTACGAACCGAACATGTACCGGGTCGAGATGGAGGATTTCAAGGGCCTCGAGGTCGTGCTGCTGTTGGGTGCCGTGGCTATTCGGGACGTGTACTTCTCCAGCATGAAGGATAGCTTTAACCTCTCGAAACAGGCAGCCTCGACGGCTGCACCGCCCGTATCTACCTCTATCCCTACCTCTGGCCCTTCCGCTGCCACTTCTGCCGCTGCTGCTGTCAACGGCAACCACCGACTTAGTCTTCCTCCGATCAACACAACATCACACCAGAATCAGAACATCCCAGTCGCTTCCGGGGGTTTGAACGCCGTGCCAACCCAATCCCCACCCCAACCCTCCAAACCCACCTCCTCCAGCACGAAAACCAAACCCTCCAACCAACAACGCAAAGAAGAAGAACGCCGCACGCAAAAACTCCTCGAAGACGAAGAAAAAGCGCGCCGCAAACGCCAAGCCGAAATCGACCAAGAAACCCGCCGTCTGCAGCGTCTCTATGGCGAAGAAGAACATCGCGCTCGCACCCACACGCCCTCGCTTCCGCCTCGCGCGTCCGGCGCTCGACCTCAGCAGCCCTCTAGCTCGAGACCGCACGCTCCGCCGCAGCCGAGACCCATGCAGCCTAATGGGCGCGGGGCCCCGGCGCAGCGCTACTACCACTATCATCATCATTCGCCGTCGACGCCTCATATCCCGTCGGGGCCGTATTTGTCGCCCCCTAGTGGTCGGAGACCAGATCCGAGACAGCAGTCGACGGTGACGTTTGCGACGCCGGATGGGCCAGTGGGCACGACCACGGGGGTGCGGCCGACGGTGCAGCCGAAGAAGAGCAGTTTCTTTGGATTCCGGAAGTCGGGGGATGAGAGGGAGAGGGAGAAGTTGAGTAAGAAGCGGAGTTCGATGTTTTAGTTTTGGTGTAGATTGGGGTGTTTTTTTGATTGGGATGGTTGATCCTGTTTTTTGGTGTATGAAGTTATGATACCCCTGCTTGTTGGCGTCGCGTTCACTCTTTGAATATCTGCATTTCTTTTGTTTTCGTCGATCTTTTCTAGCATGTCTCTGTATGCATGCATGCATCTACATAAAAGCTATTCTGCAATTGATACCTCACGTCGTCAACGTACACGAACCGGCCAAACAAAAAGAATACCAATATGAATATCCAGTTACCCACGCATCTAAACACTCACACCATGGATCTACAACGGCCTCCCCTCTACCCCCTCCGTCGTAATCGTCACCGGCTTAATATTCCCCTGTTCATCGAACTCCATGCGATCGATGCATGTGACCCGATGATCGCGGGCTGTGTCATTCACATACCGCCGATGGTACACGATGTAGTAGTCCTTGCCGTCGGGCGTGAACACACTGTTATGGCCCGTGCTGGTCCCGACCTTGTCGTTTCCTTCGAGGATCTTGGTCGGTGTCGATGAGAATGGGCCGGTGGGTGAGGGTCCTGTTACGTAGCTGACGCCGTAGGAGTTGTCGCCCCATCTGGTTTGATTTAGAGTTAGTATTAGTTCTTTGGTTGGCCATAGGGAGAGACCGGGGGTAAGGGATACACAACAAGGGAGGAAGTATGAAACCAGAGAAAGAGAAAGGCAAACTCACCCGCCCACACTATACATAAAATAATAAACCCCATTCCTCTTCAACACCCACGGTCCCTCAACATAATCCTTCGGAGTGATCTCCAAATACTCGCCCTTCAGCGTGACCATATCCTGCTCCAACTCGACCACCACCGCATGAGTCCACCCCCCGAAATACAACCACACCCTACCTTCCCCTTCGCCATCCTCATCCTCGTCCGCATTCCCATCGGCATCATCCCTAAAAACCTGCGCATCAATCGGCTGCGCCCCCAGAACCGTCGGCCCAGGAACCAACGGCCTCCCAAGAACATCCTCAAACGGACCCTCCGGCCTGCCACTCACGGACTTCGCAACCCCAATCCCGGCACCATCCCCCGCGCTGAAATACATAAAGTAATCACCCCCCGAGGACCGCTCCACGGACGGGGCCCAGGCGGCGCGGTTCGTGGACCATGGGATCTCGGTGAAGTTGAGGATATGGGGGTGTTTGGTCCAAGTGAGGAGGTCGGGGGAGGAGAAGGCGTCGAAGAAGGTTTGGGTCTCGTAGGCGGCGGAGTAAGTTGGGTAGATCCAGTAGGTGTGCGAGAAGATGCGGGCTTCGGGGTCGGCGTACCAGCCGGGGAAGATGGGGTTGCCGGTGAGGGTTTCGTTCGCGTTATTGTTGGGGTTGGGGGAGAAGAGGGTGGTTTGGCGGGAGAGGGTTGTTGGGAGGGAGGAGAGAAGGAGGGTTGTTAGGATGGAGGAGTGCATTGTGAGGTTGGGGTTGATTGATGGGTTAGAGGATAGAGTGAGGGAGAGAGAAAGAGAGAGAGGTGGATGAAGAAGGAGAAGAGGTTGGGAGGAAAGGAAGGAATGCAGATCAGATCAGACGCGATCAGAATGCGGGGAAGAGATCAGATGATACATATTCGACAGTCTGCAGACTGATTGACGGAATAAAGTTGCTTCAGCATCTTTGTCATATAATTAATCCATATAATTAATCATCAATTACTCCTGGAGTCAGAAAGTGAAGCCATCAACTTAGGGCTACGGTCTATACAGACAACCACCATAACCAAGATAGTCCTCCCTCCAAATTATAAAATGACATAAGGTAAATAGATAATAGAGATAACATGATAAATAGACGTCACAAAGAAACAGGACAACCCCTACCTCATCCAATATTAGAATAAATACAACCCCCACCAACCGAACGGCTGAGAGAGTAAACACGAGCCCCGTCTATGAGCTTATCCACGGTAAAAGATTTAAATAGCAACGAAGCTCGTACCGCACCTTAACCCGATCGTATTCTCCCGAGCCACTTGTCTACTCCGGGCTTAGAGTGCCTCGTACCTGAATAGACAGTATCCTGTCAATAACTGCAGATTCCGCCGCTATAATGGGAGCAGCACGGGGCACGCACGTCATGCACTGACCACGCACCGATCACTCTGCCTTGGACATCAATTCATCTAGTCAAATACTATACTGTTAATAATATACTGCAGCTAACTAATGCAATGCCCTATCTAAAGGTTATAGGTTTTTCTGGAGTCAACTAGGTGCACAAAGCTACCATGGCTCTACGTTCTCTTTGTCCCTTGCCCTGCGCATAAAGACCTCTTTGTCAAAGCAACCTTTCGAATGAATATCTACAGCTCCATCCTCTCCCCTCCATGTTCTTTAATCATCTCCCTCTATATCCCTTTTCATCCATTTATATTCCTCCATATGGCACCCTGCCAAAGTCCTCGCCGGCAGACCAAGAGCCGACCCCTAAAGCCAGTAGCATACTGGGATAACTTATCAACTACCTGGCTGACCAAAGACGCTCTACGAGAGCTACAACGGAGGATTGAAACTAAGAAGATCCAGTCTCATCCACCCACAGACCGGGGATATTCTGAAGGTGCGACCAGCCTCCTTCAGCAGTGTTCGCTGCGCTACAGAAGAAATATCCAGCGGCACTCGCGGCGTGGAGGACCAGACCTGTCCGACCTCCGAGGCGTGCATATATTTCCTAGTTGGGCTCGATATACACAATACTAATTCGCTAGCAGTATCCGCCACCCAGAGCTGGTCCAGCAACACCCACCAGCAGGCCAAGGATCAAGGGTAGTAGGCAGATGGGTCAGAAGCTGTCACCGTCACCGTCACCATCAACACTACACGATGACACCTCAACAACTCCTTACAGCCGGAACTTCGAACAACACCTAATCGACCACCGGATTTACCTTCCTCTATACCCTGGCCAGAATATCGACGACGACAACGAGCCCACCAACATCGCCGAAATCCGAAGACGACTAGCAGCGCCCCGACGCTCCCTAGACCCAACAACCTTCTCCGAAGCCGAACACAGCCAGTTCATAAGGGCACACTGGGCCGCTCAAAATGAGGCAGACGTTAAGGCCTCCGTGTTCCCTTTCATCGAGGGATCCTCTACTTCTCGCCAACAATCTGTCAGTCGCGATACCCGCTTCACAAACCTCGCTCCCATAACGGACGGCACCATCGCTCAAGCAAAGCCTGATATCACCTACGGCGCACGTCCGGAGCAGCTCGATCGTGAGATTCGCACACAGCTCAACAGGCACATCGTCCCCTTAACGAACGACAGCCTCCCAGTCGCACCCAACTTCTTCGTGGAGGTCAAAGGGCCATACGGGGTGCCCCGCGTCGCGGACCGACAAGCTTGTTATTACGGGGCGCTGGGGGCGAGAGGAATGGAATCTTTACGTTCTTATCAACCTGGTCATCGCCAGCAGCAGCAGCAGCATAATTCAGGGCCCGAGCCGCGAAATAACGCCTACGCAGTCACCGCGACGTACGCCAGTGGCTCTTTGAATTTATATACCTCGCATCCAACAATGCCAGTCGCTACAAGCCAAGAAGTGGAAACAAGTCAACGCCGACCGGAGTATGTCATGACACCGCTTCGCTCGTTCGCAGTTACCAGTGACGTGGAGAGCTTCTGCGCTGGGGCGGCTGCGTATCGGAATGCAAGGGACTGGGCAGGGGAGGTGAGAGATGAAGCAATTGCGCGGGCAAACGGGAGGCTTGCGGAGGCGAGGGTCAGCGGTGCGGGATCCGGACTCCATTCGGTGGCTGAAGAAGAGGAGGAATGAAGATAGGGGGGATCGTTAGCTGAGGCGGCTTTGAGATAGAAGTTCAACAGACAGTCCTCCTACTCTACCCCCGCTGCATAGTACATACTTCATATCGATAGATTCAGAATCTGTAGGCTGCAAAAGGCGAGTCGTATGAATTCCTTTCGAAGGCGATTGTTTGTGATCATAATATCTTCTTCTGTCTAAATAGTAGCATGACCAATGGCGTATGATGGATAATTCGGTCAGACTTGTGTCGCTGTAGCCACGAATGACTGAGCGCTCAGTGCACGCACCTCCGCACTCACCACACGACCCGAAGCCGCTCCCAGGGCGAAAAGCGGCACCGGTAAGGGATCCTATTCAGTAGCGTGTATACTAGTAGTATGCACGCATGTATGCAAAAGTCCCTATGGCCCGGATTCAAGCTTACACTCTTACTCTCGAGATTCTATATATGCCGTACTGGGATTCCTTCCCCATTCCTGTTATCCTGTCAGATCCATCCGTCCTGCAGGTACCTACCGTAGATGTCATAGCTTTAGGTAGCTCCTCCCCGAGCCCACTAACATAACACACTAAGTTCGGGTTAGTTAACGACTAACGCTAACCTACCAAGAGCGATGGAGACAGGGTCTATGGGGTACTGTAGATCCTCGTTTTCGTTCTATTTTCGGACGTTTTACGTTTTACTTTTTCTTATCGGTGATCTACCCCGGGCCGTTTTTCAGCCTCGAGAAATGGGCTCGTTAGGATTGGCTATTATCCTGGCCTTATGCTCGTAAGTCGATAACCGACTAGGACCAGGAACCGAGAGATGGGCTGGAATGGGGAAGAAAAAGAAAACAAAGCTCCATAATTAGGTACGGTAGTGTAGCGTAGTGCAACTTGTTCGTGAAGATCTAGTGGATATTACACATTTACTAACTACAACTGAACGACTCGCGATTCGACATCCAGCTCCTCTGCCCGAGCCCGATGGATTCGAGTGCAGATCCAGAAGCAGACCTAGAATAGAAACAGGGAGGGCTTGAGGATGAAGATAGAGGGGAGTTGAGCGATGGATATAGATAAACACGAGATGATAGGCTTGGGGGCTGTTTCGTATATCTCGTCTTTCTTGATCTGGGGTTCAAGTCAAGCATATAAGAGGGAAGCTTTAGGCTTGAAGATCAGATCCGGACAGGTTCAAATCAACTTCAAGATAACGACAGCATTCCTACCTATCGATCAGAGATCGTACCAACGTTCCTTCCACTTTTACTTTGCGGACACTTTCCTTGACTATTCAGTACTTGCCTCGTCAGGTCGAACTATTATTGCTACAACACATTCCTTCGTCTATTTAGCTACATTTACTACATATCCTTATACCACCACACTCCTTACTTCAAACCCATCTCAGATAAACCACAGTACCCAGCAATCAAAATGACCGGAGTTCCCTACAGCACAGGCTGCTCTCTCTGCCTTGCGCGCCGCGTCAAGGTACATATCCATCCACCCACCACAAATTCCTCGTATATCACCCAACTAACAATCTCCTAAAAGTGCGACGAAGCCACCCCCTCCTGCACTCAATGTCTCAAATATGGCCGTCCGTGTCCAGGATACACACGAACTTTTCGATTCCAAGACGAAGGACCACGTCTAGAGCGTCGACACGCTTTGTCCGCGGCCCCCATTACCACTACCAGCAGTAGTAGCCCCAGAAAACGGAACATAACCACCTTGAACCCAGCATCAGGCGCCGCAGCGGCAGCGGACGTTCACGATCATGCGCTGGCATTGATGCATCGAGGGCAAGTGCACGCGCAGCAGATGCAGCCCCACGGGCCATCAAACGCCGGCAGCCTCTACTGCAATTCCGGCCTCGACGCTTTCCTATGCCATGACATGCAAGCAACCCTTCCTATAACGGACATCAACACCCTACTCCGCACGATCTTCCACACTCACTACCACCACAACCTCTTCCGACTGCCCCACGAACCCGACGCCCGTCAGTTGAGGAACATCGCGAACAGCCCCTTCCAATACGCCTCCACCGCATGCCTCCTTAGCATCTACCAAGCACAAATCTCCAACGACCCCACGCAGCTCGAAACCAGCCGCGAACTCTACGCACAAGCCATCCGCGAAGTCGTTTCGGGGTTATACGGCGACGCAGCGCTCAGTGTGGACATGCTAAGCGCGACAATGAACCTAGCGCTGTATGAGATGCTTGCGCGCACGAGCCCGGGGGCGTGGGTCGTGCATGTGGAGGGCGTGAGGCGGTTAATGAGGAATCAGGGGGCGGAGGGTCATGTGGGGGTACTGGCGAGGGAGATCTTTTTGGTGTTTAGGGGTTTTTTGGTACTAGCAGCTTTCGAGCAGCGAGAGAAGTGTTTTTTGGAGGAGGAGGAGTGGAGGGCGTTGAGGTGGAGGGTTGCGAGGGAGGATCTCGCCAGGGCGGGAGGCGGAGGGGGGATGGCGAGGTGGGTGGATGTTGAGGAGAGAGTGTTTGGGGAGGTGGTGAGGTTGCCCGGTTTCGTTGCAGCGGGAGGAAGAGGAGGAGGGGAGAGGCTGGGAAGGGAGATGGGACAAACGAGGCAGAGGTTGGTGCAGTTGGGGATGGAGTTGCGTGCTGGCATGGAGGCTGAGACGCCCCAGATTAGGGTTGCGGGGGTCACGATGCCGGATCGCGGGCCCGGGTTGCTGCTGCAGGGCGTGGAGAGTGCCGTGGCGCTGCTGGACAGATTGCTGGCACGAAGGCACAGCGATGGCCGGTTCAGGCCCTTTCGCCTGGTGTGCGCGTTGAACGAGGGCCCGGCTGCGATGCCGCCCATCGAAGGCATCACTTGGCTGGACCAGCTGGCTTCGTCTTTTGGGATGATCGGGGTGAAGGTGGTGGATGGTCAGTGACCATTTTGATGTCGAGATGTGCTATGCCTAACGAGTTTCTTTTGTTGTTTTCTGTCTCTATGCCAGTGTTACTTACCATATCAGCGTTAAAAGTGTTTCATTGCAGCGTTGAATATCATCATTTTCATAGTATATGTACACGGGGAAGAAAAGGTTAATACGACATCGATTCCTCCAGCAACTTCCTCAATTCTCCCTTCTCGGCCTCCAACTCCTCATTGAGATTGGGCGCAAGCATCAGCACCCGCTTCTGCGGAAGCGTCCCCTCCACCAGCGACTCGACGTCCGACGGCTTGAATCCCAGATCCTTCAGTCCGCGCGGCTGGTCGCCCAGCTTGGCCAGGAAGTCGGCCAGCGCCTCGCCCAGTACCTCGCCCGCGCTCTCGCGCTTAACGTTCGAGATGTCGACGCCGAACGCCTCGGCGGCGGCCAAATGCCGGTCCGGGTTGGACGCCGCCGTGAATCGGAAAACAGCAGGCGCTGTAACGGCGACCGACACGCCGTGCGGGATGATGGGCTGGTCGACCTGGTAGCCCGCGTGCTTGTATCCCGGGTTCTGGCTGGAAATCGGGTAGCTCATGCCGTGGCAGAGGTGCACGCCCGCGTTGCCGAATCCCACGCCGGCCAGCGTCGCGGCCAACAGCATCTGCGACTGCGCCTCCATGTCGTCGGGATCCCGCACGGCTCGGGGGAGGTACTCTACGGTGCTGCGAAGCGCCTGCAGGGAGAAGATATCCGAGATCGGGTTGGCGCCCTGGTAGGCTGGACGGTTGATCGGGTTCGTGGGGCGCGGCGTGCGCTCGTTATACGGGATGGCGGTCCACGACTCCAGCGAGTGGCAGAGCACGTCGAGACCTGAGGCCGCTTTCACGGCGGAGGGCATGGTGCGCGTGTTGAGGGGGTCGCAGATCCCCAGCGTGGGTTTCAGATTCCGGTGCGCGATCCCCGTCTTGGCCTTTTTGGATACGAGATCGAAGATGGCGGTTCCTGTGGTTTCTGAGCCGGTGCCAGCGGTGGTCGGCACGGCCACGAGAGGCTTCAAGGGTCGGGTCACCGGTAGACCCTTGCCTAGGGGCGCGTTCACGAAATCGAGAAAGTCGGCCTCGGGGAAGACGGAGTAGAGGTTCATCAGTTTGGCGGTATCAATGACCGATCCACCACCTATGAGTGTCAGCGTCTGTCAGTCAATGTTCACGTCCCGGTGATTGGGAAGGAATAACGCACCAACAGCAAGGAACGCATCCGGATTATACGGTTTAGCAAATTCAATTGCTTCCATAACCCTACCTAAAATCAGCTCTATCCCCAAGCAAACAATCCAGCCAGCCCAGATAACCTACGAATAATCCTTCGGCTCAATGCGAACCTTATCAAACACAGTAAACTCGATACCCTCGCGCGACAAACCCTCAACGGCCTGTTTCATCGCGTCCAGTTTCACCACGGTGCTGTCCGTGACCACGCAGACGCGCTTGGCCTTCATGTTGGCGAAATCCATCCCCACCTCCTTCGTCGCGCCCGGCCCGAACCGGATGCTGGAGGCGGCCATCTCGAAGGCGTATTCCTTCTGGCGCGAGGGGTCGGTGGGAGTGGCCATGTGGCGGCGAACATGGTCGGCGAGGGTTGGGGAGCGATGATGGTGGTGGTGGTTGGGATTCGAATGGCAGGGACACGAGGGAGGATGCGTGTATTGGACGGTGCGTAGGAGGTTGAGAGCTCTGTTGGCGGCCGAAGGGCCCACGCGGATTGAGGGTGTGACCATAATGGGTATCTGGTGTAGATGGAATTGAAGAGACGAATTGGTTCAGAGAAATGTAGACATATAGAGATTAAATTGGTGACGATGGCAAGGGAGAAAGACGGTGAAGCGGAAGGGAGAAGAAGGAGAAGGAGAAAGTTGGGGTTGAAAGTGCGGGGAATAGAAATGTCCAATTCGGGGATGTCGCACTGTTGGCCGAATGAGCTTCCTGTACGGAGTACCTAATACTGTGTAGTCTGGGCTACTCACGGCCTGTCCAGCTAATTACGACCTACAGTTGGAGAGCGACTAATGTCAGCATCTCCCCAACCATGGGTCTCTCTACTTACTAACTCAAATCCTTGATTCCCACCGATCGGTCACTTGTCCGTTCTACTAACTATGGGAAAGGGAAGAGCCGAGGTCCCCGGGATTGGCACTGCGATGATATCATTCATAGTCGTGTCTCATTATTTTGCCCTAACAAACTCGTCCTGAGCAACAATTTGGGCCAGAGTTCCATCCAATCCAAAGAAAATAAATGAAAAAAAAAAAAAAATTATTCAACGCAAATTATGCTCCATCATTCAGTATGTCGTAATTCCTGTCGTTCTTGCGCACTCACATCAGCCTAGACTGAATCCAGCCGCACCATTAGCAAAAATTCCACTTACATCACATAGGATAAACCAACCTCAGCAGCTCAACAGAGCGTCAACACCAAGTCCTTAGATGCATCCTGAATCCGCACCTGGCTACCCGCCGGCGGAATGCCGTCTTCCCAAGTAATCGCCGGCTCCGACGGCAACAAACTGACCTTGCTGCCATGGAAGGGGTCACCAAAGACATCCGACAGGTCGTACCACACCGCCCGGTCGACCAGGTTATACGCGAACACGGTCTGCGGCGAGCTGATGTACAGGCCGTTCTTGATGGTCGTCACCTTGAGGCCGACGCCGCCGGTCAGGCCGTCGTGGCGGAACGCCTCGGTGTAGTTCTCGTGCGGCTGCACGGTGATTTCGGGGCTGACAGACGAGGCGACGGACCAGACGTAGACGGGTCGGGTGCATTGGTTCACGACGACGGCGTGGCCGAGGGTTTGGTTGGTCATGCCCATGTTGGGGAGGGCGAGGCCCAGGGAGGCAAGGGAGAGGGAGACGAGGGAGGGGAGTTTGAAGTGCATGTTGGCGAGGGGTTTTCGAGTTTGGCTTCTTGGTTTGATGGCAATTGAAATGGACTGTCGATGTCTGGTTCTCTGGTTCTCTCGGGAGTCAGTCAACGGGAAGAACGACTTCTATATATCCTCATCTCCCCTCCCAGCCTCCGTGCTGATTTCAAAGGCTCGTTTCATGCTAACACCGCCGGGAACCCTGCTCCCTGCTTCCGTGTTCTGTCGGGAGGAGACATGGCTGCAAGGGGATGCCGAATCGTCCCCAGCCAACCGATACCTATATCTAAAAAAAAAGTGGCAGGAACCGGGAGGCAGGGCACAGGAACAAGGTCGAGGTTACATACCTTAGGCAAGGCGTGGAACACAGGGGCGGGAATGTTGGCGCGCGTGAAGCATTCCAGGGAAGGTCGGATAGCCGTCGCGCCCTAACCTCCTTTCTCCCTGCTAGTACAACAGATGTACTACTATGCCATGGCGCGACAAAGACCTAGTATCCTGCAGTGCAGATCCTTCACTTTTCTTCCTGACAGGTTCACACACGAACGGCAAGTTATGTTCGAGACCAGATCGGCCGGCTGATTTCCATTGCCAGAGAAAGCATTGAAAAATTGCGTTGACACCCAAATCAAGGTAAGCATGTCGCAGTTCCACATGGTCCGATATTTCCATTCCCTCTATCAATATTTACAAAACAGTCCCAAGAGTATATGTACAAAACAACGATCCAAAAAAATGACCCCGCTTCCAATGTGAATATACAAGTATATATGCATAGGTATAAGATGCACACGTGGCGTCATTCTAGGTCAGTAGATTCCACGGTTGCACGTAACCCGATGGAATTACATGCCATGTGCCACCCAGGTATTCGCCATCGGTTCTTTTAAAAGTTCACAATTTCGGAGGTACTAAGCGGGATGTCGCCCTTGCGTGCAACCACCTGAAGGAACGAAGATTTCAAACCGGTAAAATCGACTCTGGTCTCAAAGCCGGCTCGTTCAACAGTCTTGAGGAACGTGGTGTCTTCAGAGTCCACGGATGGTGCCGAGTAAATCGCCCAGTTGTCGTACTCCGTGGCGCCGTTCCAGCTCATCCATACCCGGGTCAGGTCATCTGGAGCCCGTTGAGCCACCAAGGCAGGTTTCCAGAACGGGGTCGCCTTCCATTGGCATTTGTAACCACGGTACGATGCCACGGCGTTGTCGTCTCCGAACTGTGCACTGAGGACCTGCTTGTTGTCGGCGTCAAACTCCTTCACCTTGGCGATCGATCCGTAGCCCAGTAAAACGTGGTTTGTCTCTTCGCTCATGAGCTGGTAGCTGCCTTGACTGACACTGTGAATGACATCACCTTCGTCGCTCAGAACGCGCAAGGCGCTGACCTTGCGGTTGACCAGGTCAACATTCAGACTCAAACCCGTCGTTGGCGCAACTTCATCGGTGGGAGTGTTGGCATTGTTGAACAGATTGAGAACCATTCCTTCTTGTGTTTGGTTGTAGATCCGAATGTCGTGCTGCCACGAAAAGAGAGCGTTGTCATCGATCTCAAAGTCGCCGGCACCTTTCTCTCCCTGAAGTCATTGTCAGTACACGTCCAACAAATTGAGGGAATTAGCCTACACTCAGTTGCCACGCGATCGAGCCGTCGTTGCGAACATGGATGCCCGACCAGTAATGACGCAGAGAGATGATATAGCCGTCATCCAATAGATTAACCGAATTGATGTGGTATGCATCCCAAGGCTTCTCATGCGTTCCGAAATCGTCTCCTAGACCCTGCTTGGACTTTTCCAGAGGAATTTCGTCAAGGTGATTGAGGGCGCTCCACGAGTACACGATCTCGTTAGTCGCGATATCAATCTCGAAGAACATCCCATCAAGCATGTAGTCGTCCGGCTTGCCGCCAATCGAGGTCAGGTCGTGTTGCGTCACATTGTAGGCCGTCACCAGCAAGGTGTTGCGATCCGTGATGTGACTCTCGTGAAGATCGATGTAGGAATCCTCGTGTTGGCCTTCGGGGGAGATGAAATTGTCCTGCAGCGTGACGGTGTAGATTTCCCGGTAGGTGTTGTCGAGAATGTGAACTGTTCCGTATCCGAAACCCAGCTTCATCATATTTCCGGCCCAAAAGGTGATCACATCCTCATTGAACAGCTTCTGCACCTTAAAGTTGGCGGCGACCTCGGTGGGGCCCTGGTAGACCAGATGGCCGTCATCGCTGTAGATCAGAGCGGCGGTACCCTGATCCTGGTTCCCGCGAGGACCGATGAAGATATAACCGGGATCGGTCTCGCCGCTTTTTGTGACATGCAATTGCGGAGGAACGAACGGGGCGGTGGCCAGGGTGAGGAAGGGCCAATTATCGGCGACGGCGCCGAGGGATAGCAGCAGAGTCGTGCAAGTGGCTAGGAAACGGCGAGCCATGGCGGGAGGTCTATTAGAGTTCTGTAGCACAATTGAACATATACATTGATAATTATAAAGAATAACCACAGAGAACGAGAATCAAAAGAAGGACTACCAGTTAGCTACCGGGGAGAGGTAACAACGGTGAACGCCGCAAGGGGGTATCAATTGAGCAAAAAAGAAGAAACAAAAGAACAGAAGAAAGAAGAGGAAGATGATGAAAAGCGCGCACCAGGGGTAAAAGAGAGAAAGAGAAAAGAAAAGGCCCGAGATGGTGACGAAACAATAATGGCGGCCAGGCCCACCGCCGACGTGGAGGCGATGGAGGAATAAGAATGAAACTAAGAAATTGTCTTGCGTTTAATCACTTCGGCCGCTTCAGGCAGGCGGTGAGGTACCGGTTTCGCGTGGACACGGGACTTCCGCAGGCGCCTGAGGCGCTGATTGGCCTGCGGCGGCTCCCTGACGCGCAATGGGATGGATCTGATCATCCCAACGGGGGACTTGGAGTCTCGTCTGCCTCGCTCTCCCCCACATGGAGCGGCCGCCTTTCCTATGAGGTCCCGCCTCGCTTCCTAGACCGTGACTGAAACAGGCAGCCAAGACCCGCAATAGGAATGTCTGCTATCAAGCATCGGTTGGATGGGTCGATTGACATTTGGTCTCAATCAGCCAAGACTGCTCGATTGTGAGATCGTGTTTTCTATCTACGCCGTACGTTGAAGTAACTGAGATCTATCGGGCAGTCTTTCCTTCCGGTACTCCGTACCTCCCAGAACACTGTCTTCGATAAGACTCGAGAGCAAGGGGATACTACGCATAGTGAGCCCGACCGATGATCTCCAAGCCTGATACGGAGACCCAATCCGGAGCACTCAATCTGCCACGAACCCTGAGCAGATGATCAGCATGAATATCATTATCTTTGATGCGTCTAGCCGACCCGCCCATACACTTGGAACACCGTGGCTCTTATCATCTTGTCAGATCGGAGTTCTACTCCGCGAGACCTAAAGCCCAATACCCGTCAATTAAAACTGCCAGGTGCTCAATCGATGGTTACAGTCGGTCAAATGCCGGACAGTGAGATTGAACGACGTGAAAACAAGAGAGCCTTAGGTTGGTTAGAAGCACTCGACTTCCAGAGCTCCACCTGTTTCCTTTAATCTTCACAAAGAACTAATTTATTGGTGCATGGTTTTCAGCTCCCTGCTTCGTATTTCGAACTATTCGCTACTAGTTCCAATGATCTAAGGAACATGTCGAATTGGCCGCTGCGATAAAGTGACGCTATCAGCTTTCTTTGGAGATGTAACATTTGCATTCTACATTATCCTATTAGAAATGAGATGGTTAAAATAGAGTGTCACGTATGATACCTACTTAGATAGAACCCCATATGAAATAACCACCAACTCGAGAACCTGGTGCCTCAAGCAAAACATGCGCATTCATTCAGAACTTCTTGAAACTCCAAAATCAAATGTCAGCTATAATACGTAGGAAGTGCGCAGAAAGAACTTCCAATTCGACAGCCACCAGTTCATACCCCGTAGATGTAAACCATCGAATTAGTACGAGAGCACTATAGGTAGACGCTAAGTCAAACTGGAATAGAAGCAATACGACTCCCGACCATCATCAGCAACACGAGAAACACCTTCGTACCTCTCCCCTCTCCCTCTCTCCATTGACTCAGAAGAGCCCAAACCTCTCCTACACCCATCTACATAGCTACACACACACATAGAATCCAACATCCACAAAAAAATGACAACCCCAAACCCAATAACCCAACCCCCCCAATACGACCCCCAGAAAGTCGAATACATATCCACCCGCCCCCAAAAGCCCATCGAGATTGTCGACCCGAACCCCACCTGGCCGACCACCTTCACGCAAGTCTCCCAACTCATCCGCTCCGCCCTAGCACCAGAAGCCGAAGCGGAAGACCCTAACCCCTTCCTCCTCTCCATCGAGCACATCGGCTCGACCAGCGTCCCAGGCCTCCCCGCCAAAGACATCATCGACATCGACGTCCTCGTGGCGGACCCCGGTGCGGAAGACCGCTACATCCCCGCTCTAGAGGCCGCGGGGTTCCAGTTCCTGATCCGCGAGGAGGAGTGGCATCGGCACCGGCTTTTGGGACTTGAAACCCCCTACGTGAATTTGCATGTGTTTGGGCCGGAGAGTCTCGAGGCGATTAGGCATCGGTTGTTTCGGGATTGGTTGAGGACGCATCCGGAGGATCGGGATCGGTATGCGAGTGTGAAGAGGGAGGCGGCCGCGGAGAGCCGGAGGATGGGGGAGACAACTATGCAGTATACGGATCGGAAGGACCAGGTGATACGGGAGATTTTGAGGAAGGCGTATGAGGCAAATAAGATGTTGGGGTAATTATTATTGATTGGCTAGAGTGGGTTTGGAAATTGCAGGTTGGTTGTTTGAGTGAATTGCTCTTGGTAGGTAGGTAGATTAGGGGGGTAACAGCATTGACTAGGTGAGCATTATGGCTGCTGACAGTCCTAACTTGAGAACACTCTTATAGGAAGTCGAAGGGGTAGTCAATGTCCAATCCTGTTATCTAGAGATAGAATGCACAGTATGTGCAGACAGGATGTGCTATTAGTAGAATCAGAATTTTAGGGAGGGGGTGATTTGCACGAGTAAGCTATATTTTGACAGCATGCATCCCTTTTGCGTCTGGTTCTTCATAGTGCATTAGCAGGGTGAGTCTGCTATTGTTGCAGTTTACACAAGCAGTTTGTCGTTGTTAGTTATGGTTGATGACAAGTGGAATGTTGGGAAGATATCTACTAACGCTCCGTCCAGGCATCACCCACGCCCACCCATTAACCAGCCAAGGGGGAAAAAGAATCCAATTCTTGATTTGTCCAAGGAGAGAGACGGGAAGACACCTATGTAGAAACCGAGAAAATAGAAAAGCAAAAAGAACAGCCCAACGCGGGGCTCGAACCCGCAGCCTTGTGATTAAGAGTCACACGCTCTACCGATTGAGCTAGCCAGGCGCTGTTGTTTAAACGGGTTCTGAATCTATGTTCTATGAACCTAAACAAAACAACAGTAAGTCGATCAGCCTACCAGGGGTGTGTGAACGTTTTCAAAGTAAGGAGCAAAAAGTGAGCTACCACCAAATTCACTCTGGTACTTTGATTGCTCACTAGCAGAATCTTGCTATTTGCCATTACTTTAATTGCTCCTGATCAGGCGGTGGTTGGTCCTCAGGATCCCGGAGGCCACGGATAATCTAATTCTTTTCAAACTCGCTCTAGATCCGTTGCAGATCCTCTTTGTCCTTGTTAAGCAAGATCTAAAGCTTCCTCAATAGACTCCATTACCATTAGTAAGATTCCTTAATTACTCTGGCAAAGGAGACCGGATAACACTTCCGATGCTAAAGCGGCGTATTTTCTGTATTCGGCTGCTCCAGCAGGCATAGCCGCAGTAGATGAAAGATATCTAGCCTGATCTGTAACAGTATAGATAGTACTAGATCTGATAATCTTCTTGAAAGATTCCTGCCTCTTATCGGAGAACCTATCGTAACTAACAATCTAATCTAAATAGCCAGATACAGATTTAACATCTACAGTGAATCGGTTACTGCTCCTTTTTATCAATAATATAAATAAATTCGGCTCTTGCCCCTCTAGCACAGGGTAGAACAGTGTGGGGTCTTCCGGCTGCGCACCTGGTACCCTTCCCCGGACATATGTAGCGCCTGCGTCAGCAATATAGGGGGGATATCAGCTTCCAGCTCCCACTCTAGCTCGTCCGGGCGTGGCTCGGTACAGAGCAGGACTCTACTGTCTACGCCGGTGAGCTGGCCGGGATCGATCTGGCCACAAACAGGATAAACAACCGCAAAGTAGACACCCGCAAGGGATCAGAATGGAGCAAACTGGTTGTGTTTACCGATCGTCAGGCCGCCATCCAGGCGGTGCAGAACCCTGGCAGACCCTCAGGTCAATACAAACTGAGCAATATATACTGGAACGTGCGGACCCTACACAAAGAGGTCGAAATCAGGTGTATCCCGGCCCATATAGGTGTCCCAGGGAACGAAGCAGCGGACCGCGCGGCTAAGCAAGGCGCAGAGGGAGGCATTCAGTGGGCTGAGGAGATCCAAAGGTGCAAAGGGAAGAGGCTGAAAGAGGACCAGTGCAGGCAGGTGATCCGCCTTGCAGCAGCAGCAAAGCGCGTGGTACGAGCGAGTTTAGCAGAGAGATGGAGAAAGCAGTGGAAGATAGAGAAGACAGGCCAGCCCACAAAACGCCTGGTCAAGGCGCCTGGCAGGCGATCCCAGGATCTATACCGCGGGCTGCCCAAGCACTATACGTCTATCTTGATGCAGATGCGGTCTCAAAGGATAACCCTGAGGCACTTTCTCTACAAGATCAAGCAGCTAGAATCGGACCGGTGTCCGTGCATGGAGGGCTCACAGACTCCTATACACTTGCTTATGCAGTGTCCAGCGTGGACCACCGAGAGGAGAGATATGTGGGCAAAGATCCTCTCCAAAACCGACCTCCGGGTCACCGCAGACTACGATACTTTAGTCTCGCATCCGCAGGCAACCCGCTACGTTGCCGAATTCATGATCCAAACACAATTACTAGGGCAGTTTCACCATGTGGAGCTCGAACCTAACCCAGATAAACATACGAGCCGCAACGCCGCGGCAGGGGACTAGGTGTTGAAGACGCTGGTTAGTAGAATACGCGAATATATCCTCTTGCCGAGGAGGCAGGCAGTCAAATAACTCTACCGACTACGATACAGCTAAGGCAGGAGGATGACCAGGGAAAAGGGGAGAAAGAGGGGCCTTTCGGAAGAAGGGGGGGAGGGGGATTCAGGCGTTTGGGCACAGCGCATATGCATTTACTATCTCTTTTCTGCATATTTTGGGCATTCGGAGTTCAGAGGGACTATATTCTTGCCTCAGCTGGATGAAGCGCCTGCATAGCTAGACACCAAAAATTTAGGCTCGATCAGGTTAATAGAATATTGATTGATTGATTGGATCCCCCTGGTCTCAGTGAAGGTGGCATGCGGTGGATCGACACCATCCTAGCTCCAAGCAACAGTCGCGTTTGGTGGCAGGAGGCAACTTGGAGAGCGATGGATGAGGCTGCGACGCGATACTCGACCGAAGAACTTGCGTCGTCCATGTGGCATGCCGACAAAAAGGATAATTGTCAATTTGAGAATGAGGAGCTTTGGGGCGCGGAATGGAATTCAGAGTACTCGGATTGTAAGGCAAACTACTGGAAGCCTTTCATCCTCGAGGGTATTCATGCAGCAGCCAGGACGAAACAGGAAATATCTATGCGCCGGGCTACTGAAATTTAAGGCAACGGCAATATATAGCAGAAGTGGCGTACGCTCTACTAGCTAACTTTACGGTTAACTTGTGCAGTTTGGATTCACCAAATAGTAAAGAAGTATCCGAGAGAATGTGGAAGGGATGCAGAGTTAAGACGCAGGAGCAATATTGCATGCTTTACCATCCATCACGCACACGTCTAGGGCCAATTCTCAAACCTGCCGCCTTTCTACCCTGTCGCAACTCGCAAACTCGCTGCACATATTCAATAGCAGTCTCACCTTCCAAATCTTGCAGGTTCCGTGTGTCCCCAATAGTAATCCTGACTTGGCCAAAGTTTTGAGGCTCCAGGTCGACCTGAAACATGACCCGCCCGAGGAATAGGCACCGAATCTCCAGGCTTCGACTGTCCTTGACGCGGACTACGATGCCTTCACGGGGCTGTGGCGCGAACAAATCCAGTAAGAGCAAGCTCTGCTCTCTGATCTTTTTGTTACTCAAATTGTGGAGAGTTGAGTTTTTAGGAAAGGTATCGAAAGAAGCTTTAGTTCCCCCAGTAAATTCATCTACTTACCAGAAGCCCACAGCGTCGCCATTATCTCGTATGTCGGCCTTCGCCAGCATATCGTACTTTCCTAGTGCCAGTGGTGTCTCGAGTAGATTCGAAGGGCACCAGCAGAAGCCATTTTTATCTAGTGTATCACCATCGTGGAAGATGTGCTGAAAGGGTATCCGCTTGAACGAGCAGACAATTTTTTTGTAGATTTTAGCCGAGTCCATGGATTTTACCGATACCCCGGTCAGTAGCCCGGCAATGATCGGCGGGTCGCGCTCCCAGGATGTATGACGATGGCTCAATGCAGTCAGGAGATCATTTAATGTGGTGATTTTCCGCCTTCTCAAACTTCGGATCAAGGTGGTGGCTAATTGGTGAGCAAGCGACGAAGGCTGGCGAGGTTGCGCCAGTATCTTTTTATCCAAATCCAGTTTGGTATCAGCAAACTGCACGACCACCCGCTGACTTACAGCCAGCTCCAGGGCTGTCCACGCGCGACTGAACCATGGAGATAGAACAAGAGCCAAAGCAGCAGCATCCTTAGTTTGAGTAACGTTGCATGACTTAAAAGTTGTCATGGACCAAAGTCATTTCCGCGTCACGGTAATAGTTATGCATAGTTCGTAGGGCCTTGTCTCGTAAACCTCCTTTGTCGGGAAGGGATATAATATCCCACCAGAACCCGTTGCACTGCAGTTCAGTCGCATACTCTGCGAAATCATTGAGCAATCTGAGCTTCTCAAGCAGCCCAGAGCTTCTAGATAATCTAAGATTTTTTTAATTTTGAAATCTGCAGATTTCCATTAAAGATAAAAATAACTATAAGACTGAAAAACTTATTTAAAATATAAAAAATAATCTATTTGACAATCTACACAAAAATCTACATTTTAATAATTAGTCTCGGCATTCTAAATCTTAACATTTTAAATATTAATGCATTGTCAAAATTACAACTATCAATATTGATCATTTTTGTGAAAAAAAATCAATTTTTTTTTTAAATATTGATGAAAATGATGCTAATTTTTATTCGATATAACATTTCACAATGAATAAAAAAATTCATATTGATAATATTTTTTATTTAAATAATTTTTTCAAGATCTTATACGCTTTAAAATATATATTTAAAGACATCTTTAAGACTATAAATCAATACATCACATACACGAAAAATATAATCTATCCAACTTTCATGAGGAAACTCAAGATGTATTTGGACATTTATTTTTTGAAAAAAAAAAGAATTAACAATTGTTAAACAAAATAAAAACAAGTTAATAATTATTTGTTATCAACATCTTTTGTTTCTTTGAATTCATGTCGAAATCCTCAAAAAAGATTATATAATTAAATTTTAATACATTCTCTTGTCATATATCAGTAAAATTTTTAGTTACAAAATCTTCCACTTTATAACTGAAATTCCAAAAATGACCCAACACAAAAAACGCAGCAACAAAAAAATCAATTTTATTTTCAATAAAATTT